CAGGAACATCATCTCTCTCTTCTTGATCAACTCGGAGAACATATCTTGGTCGCTCGGTTCACCCGGAACTGTTCAGATTGGAAATTATTGTTTGTCTCATGACACGACAGGAATAGCAGAATGGGAATAAAAATGGTGGAGGGGGGAGGGGAAGGATGAAAGTATTAAGTAAAATGTATGAAGCTCATATGATGGGACCTACAGCCAAATCACCCAGAATGTGCCTGACCTTGTCAGCAAGTTCGAGCCTGGATAGTGCTTGTGCTTGGATGGGCGACCACCATAATAGCAAGTGTTATATGCTACAGGCCTAAGGTTGCCAGTAGAGCCTAGTGCAACAAAAAATGTGAATTGCATTCTTGTCCCGGGTCGATGCTCCCCACCTTCACCAACCCGCACTCACCAGCGTTGTGACGTACGGACAAATAACCCCCGCGGCCTTCGCACGGCATGGGAGGGAAGGTCCCGGTGCCGCAGTTGCACAGTCATACATCCACCTATTATATGGGAGGCAACATTGCAGGTTCCCTTCCTGACACTCACTTCTCCACTCCACACAGAGAGGGGCAGTGGGAAGAGGGAGTCTCTCTGCCGCCGTTACAGAGCGGTGCACCTGGAATGGATTTGGTTTTCCGTGGCATGCGTTGGGAGTGTGACCCAGAGGCTCAGATTTCCACAGGGGCGACAGACGGACTGACAGCCAGCACTTTTGACGCGTCAGACAGCTTCGTTAGCCTGTAATGCATCCGCCCGTTTACAAAATACCGGTTCGATCACTGCAAAACTTATGATGTGAGCGTGTGAATATAAATGGCAGAGGGGGGCCCCCCCAGAGTTTTGACAGTGGGGGGGGCAAGCCATATATACGACATTACCTCCATTACTACTCGCCTTGATCTTTAGTTGTTACGCATCCTGGCTCTGGAATTCAATTCCAAGTCCCCCTATCACGAATGCTGCTGGCACAATCGAATCTTTGAAATCGAAATTTTAAAAGCATATTTTGTTTGCGTTAGCTTACTTTTGAGCTGGATTGATTGGCCGGTCGCCTTTAAAAATAAAAGCGTGGCCGCTATTGTAAAGCCCCCTGGGATGCGCTTTGCTTGACGTACGCTATATAAAAGAAAATTATGCTGTGTTGTATTATAGCCTTTGTGAACGCCCCCCCTGGCTACTCCACATGGACCCCCGTGCATACTTTCCTGCCCCCCCCCCCTACCACACGCCGAATTCACAATCATTCCAAGGCGCCAGACTTAAGCCGTGCCCTGGAGGCTATCGACTTCCGAGCTCTCGTTTAATTGTGGGACCGTCTCGACCCGCCCTAAGTCCGTCCGCAGTTGAAATGAATTTGTGATTTATGCCAAAGCGAGTCCTGCGTATGCGGGAACATGTGATTGTGGTTATCTGAGAGCGGTGGAGGTTGTTGGAATTTGTTCATAAGTTCATGCGCGGCACTCGGAATGTATAATGTTCGGTCTGTGCACTCGCCTCGCTAAGTCATGCGCAAACTGGAGTTGGCGCAGGGCGCGGGCAGAAGTGATGCCTGCTGTGCCCATGTACAGAGTCGATGTTAACGTTGCTCCTTTTATAAACCTCTTAATATCAAGGCCTTAATCGGCTCCCGATCTTCTTATCTCTCAGAACTTGTTGTTTCCGATATTCCCAACTGTGATCTTCGTCGCTCGAGTTAAATTAAGAGGCTTTTCTGTTGACGTGTTTTTTTTGGCTTGTTCCACCCTTGAGAAGTAGACCTTCAACTGGTTTACAATTACTTAGTTGGGTAAAACCACATTGCAGCATCCGCCCCCTACTGGCGGACTTCACTTCTCTGTGCATCATCACACCTTCCTGACAGCCTCGGGATCTACTGAGAAAATATGCCTTGCAGATGTAAATTATTATTATTATTCTAAGAATGGCACGAATGCCAAAAATATTAACTGTACTCAAATAAATCTTGACTTGAAGCTTTCGTGACTGCAGGAATATATACGAAATTAGTGTTATTGTGATAGTAATGAGAAGATTAAGGTAATATAACGTGTACGTTTCAAAAGCCGATTGTATTTCGAGTATAGCGTGGCGAGAAACTGCTGGCATTGTCAGGAGTTAAATTCGTGGCAGCAGCAGTGCGTGGCGAACGCTCCAGAACAAATGCTCAACACATGACCCAACCCAGGAGACCGCACTCGGAGTTCACGAGCGGAGTCGAACGTGGAACTTAACGGCCGTGAAACTGCGGCAGGATTGGCGCGAGGGCCGTGCAAAGCGTGAGGCCTCTGAAGCGCAAAGGCTCTGTATAAAGCACGAGGGCTGTGCGAAACGCGAGGCCTCTGTAAAGCGCGAGGGCCGTACGAAGCTCCCCGTGTGGGTTGGAGGAGCTGTCCATTTTTGAAAGCATGCGTCGTCGGGAAGGGGGGTCGCGAGGCGCCCGGCTCGGCATGGAGAGTTTTGACAGAGAGCGTGGGACGGCACGTGGAGTGCGAGGGAGCGACCGCTGCCGTTGATGCTGGAATGCGTGGAACAAAGGCATGGGCTCTGTGCGGTTGTGTTTGCAACGGATTGAATTGTAGAAACATAAAGACCGCCGTATACACTGTATGTATTCGTTATTTTTTTTTTAGCAGCAAGCTCGTTGTTAGGCACGGGTCTGGAGCTCTGTTAACGCTGTTCAGCCGTGTACAGTATCTCGATTTTACACATTGAATTCACGCGTTTATTGCTATTCATATTAATTTTCATAAATGCTAATGATTGGCAGATTGGTGACATTCTGGTTAATGTAATGCCTTATGAACTCGGTGACCCCGAGTTGAATTCCCAGATGTGGATAACATCAGTGGCACGTGATATCTGAACCGGTCCTGGGCTTCCCCTTCATCAACCCGCACTGATCAGCTTGGTGAAGTACGGTCAAACAACCCCCATGACCGACAACAGCATGGGGAGGCCTTCATCCCGCAGAGGATTTAGAGAGGGCTGAAAATAATTTATCATTAAATGTTTGATATTTATGATCATTTTACATTTATTTACTCGAGTGATAAATCGGACGCCTTTATTACCTGTCCATTTATTTTGTAGCCTGCTATCCTCGGAGGCAGCGCGTAATTATTTCAGTAATTTACTGTCAGACCTTCGCGGGGTGACTGGCTTAGCCCCCCCCCCCCCCCCCCCCCCACAAAAACCTCTTCCGCGCACAGCCTTCGCACAAACATTAAGAAATTACCGTTTCTTTTTGAAACGACCAATACGATTTGAATCCAACCACAACGGTAATCGAAAACGCGTGGGCTCGTCCCCGAGCGATCCCACCGTCACCGCGGAACAATTACAGATTTGGCTTTTTGTGACAAAAAAATCACCGACCTAATGGCTGCTCGCGCAAAGGACGTCCGCACAGATCCTGTGCAGCCGATCTACGGAATAACAAAAGCCGTGGCTTCGTCGCGCTGATGTCCCCCCCTCCGTTCCCCCTCCCTAGAGTCACGTGGAGGGCGACGGTTTTAAACGTTTTTACTTCGAAAAACTGCATCACCCCGTCGGCTCTGTTGACAGAGCTGTATTCAGGCAAGAAAAGCTTTGACGCTAGGAGGGATTTTTAAAAATACCTTTCAGCAGCACCCTTTAGACTTTTAACGGTGACCGTTCACAGGATTCAAAGGTGGTGAAACATTTTGAGTGTAATAACTGCATTCGGGAATCGCCGCCCTCTTGTTTAACGCAGTGGCCGAGAGTGGCTGCAGGGTGTATTCATTGTCCCTCTTGTAATAATTGGGGGTGGTGACGATGTCAAGTTCATTGATGAATATCGATTCCCAGAGTTCCCGATATGTGCGTTCAGTCGCGCGTGTGAGGAACGACATTCTTCATTTGGTGTATGTTGTAATTAATGGGTTCACGTGACCCCCCCTCACCCAAGCCACGAGAGGCAGCGACACTAACCACAATGTAAAAGTATAGAACAATTGATTCTTCAATATAATCATAACAATATGGATAGTACAGACAAGAAATATCAGATAAACGACAGTACGGATGAGACGGCCAGTAGAAGGGAAATATTACAAACAAGGAATTGGTTCTTGAATAGAATTGCGATACCGCATCACGAAGAATCATCGAATCGCCAAGGGGTGAATCGTTGCACCTGTAGAAGCTCCTGTGCTATCTTGAAGAGGCAGCAGCACAAATCTACCAAGCAAGGACTTTGTGGCTGCACCTCAGAGCTCTGCATCCTCCCTGACCTGTCCAGTGTGCCACAGAGAATTCCGGGCTCGGGTTGGCCTGTTCAGCCATCTGCCCACTAATCAAAACCCAACAAAATGACAAACGTGCCATGGTCATCATCAACTTGATGGACGAACAAGAGAGAGAGTAATCATAATAATATCGTACATCCCTTTGTAAATTCACTGCTGGATGATGTCTTGTTGGTCATGTGGGCTGTTTAATCACGCCTCAGCGTGCTGGTGAGATAGGTGTCTACAAGATGAGAAGCGTGCATCTTATTTTGGGGTGGAATCTCACTCTAAATCAGCGCTGGCGTTTAAACGACGCCACGTGACATGTTCCCACCCTCAAACAGTCGCTGCGCTGTCACCACCCTTTTCTGATAGTGGTCTTTAGCTATGAGTGGAAATTCCATATTCTCATGGCAGGGACCAGTCTCGTATGTATATATTATGTTGAACTGCTTTCGCACCATGGCCAACCGTGCTAATCGGAGGGATGCGTTGACCCACCATAAAATAGAGAATCCTCATTCGGGATGGATGATGATGATGAAGATTATGATCACAATAAAGATGATGATGGTGAAGATGACAACGGTTGTTCACGTGTGGTCATTATTTCATGTCAAGATGATATGTATGGAGATGCACAAATCACAATAACATTGGTGTTCCCGTCGAACGACGGTGGTGACGCCGTTTAATTTTTATTCGGTCTGCGTCTCTCTAACGCGCGCGCGTGCCTGCGCGTTTTTCCCGCAGGCACGACTCGGCCACCCCGGGAGGGCGAGGTCCCCGACGTCGACTACAACTTCATCAGCGCGGCAGAGTTCTCCGACCTCGAGAAGAGGGGGGCACTGCTGGAGACCGGCACCTACGAAGGTGCGCTCCCCGCCAGCGCCGCCACGATGGCGCTTCTCACGACATGACACAATATCAACTTTGTTTGCATGTTTTGCCACAGGTACGTGTGTTTAATGCAGTACTTTTGACGCCTTGCAAAAGGTGTCTTTCTTAACACCTGTTTTATTGCTTGAAAGGGTAAAACCTATTCTTGTTTTTCATCATTTTTGATACTGGCAAAAAGGTCCCATAGATATTTCACAAACTCACGATCGTCGCCACTTCTTACTAGGATTGCCGCGATATCGTTTTTTACCACACGATATGATGATCATATTGTTGTATGACACTGATCCACCGATAGACTTGCCATGGTAGGATATTTCATGATAAGAAATATCCTATGACGGTTATCGGGATATCACTTTCCTATATCTCTGTAATCGTAGTCAGCGTGTTATTGTTGTATTTTTGTTCTGTGCTATGCAAAAAGTTCTTAAGCTGGAGTTCACTCAACTTAGGCCTGACATAAGTCTTCCAGTCATTTCAAATCTACAGTCTCTACTGCTTGTGATGCTCACACTGCCAGTTACACAATAATCCGTTCTAAAACAATTGCAATGAACTACGTAAATGAGACACCACGTAACCACTATGCCGTCGGTTACTCTGGAAGACATTGCGTAAAGCGCCCGTGAAATGGACAATAGCTATTTATCTACAGCTCTTAATAAGTGAGTTTGTTACTTTTGATACACATTTGGCCAGCAGATAAAATAGTCGAGGAAATGTAAACAAACAACGAGATTCACGATGAAAACAATCATTGATAAAAACGAGCGATGCAACGGTCGCGAATGTCGTATCGTACGACGTATCGCGGTAGCGTCATATCGCGACGGCACGATCCACCGTCCCAACGGGGACGGCCCGCCTCGCGCAGTGGAGAGGCCGCGCCCACCGCCGCGCGTTCTTGACCGCGGTAATTGACCGCGGTAATTGAGTGGCGCGCGCCGCGCTCCGTTCATTGCCAACGTGGTCGATGGCGTCGCGAGTGCTCCCGTGCGGAGCGACGTCCGCTTCACGCCGAGGTCAACCGCGGGGGGTTTTGTATCTCGCGGGATCGGAGCCGTGAATGAGGCCACGTGCCTTTTTTCCGCTCGCGGCGGATTGCACGGCTACATTCCCGCGCGCTCATTTTGTTTGTGTTTGCGCGTCTGCGATTTGAGCAACGCTTTGGGCAGACCACCTCGATCGGTTTAGTTGGTTTGCACGCAGATGAAATGGGCCCCCGAAACGCATTGCTTTCGCGGCGGAGACATCGGCAACCTGTTCACCAAAACTACAATACGGCTGAACAATCGCCAGCACGCGAATCGGGCCCTGCGTGCAACTTGTCCGTCGCTCGCGTACTCTGCAAAGCTGATCGAGCGTCGGGGGAAGTGGCAGTATTTCCGCTCGTTTGTCGGTTGCTTCTCTTTGACGCTGCAGGCATGGGGGGGACGAGGGGGTCGTTATAAATAAATTAAAACCTCAGCAGGTGAGAGAGCTCTGCCTCACGCAATCATGCTGAGACCCAACTGCCGTCTCCCCGACTGACGTCTCCCGAACACAAACCCACGTAGGCGATTGTTGTCGTGTCGCTCGCGACGCAACTCTGTGTTTAGCGTGGGCCGCATTCTGACACTCGCTCATTGTGGAAGAGGCCGCAATGGCATAGAGAAATGGTTAACGATGGTTAATAGGCCCCACCTGCCCCTCGAGGCTCTAATGGAATGTTTTAAGCACGATGTCAATGATTATAATTAGCCGCTGCTCTGTCGTGTGATTATTGCTAAGCATTTTTTAGCTTTTGTTTTATTTAACGAGGTTGTGAGCAGCAGTCGGCTTGCGTTTGGTGCAGCCACCGACCATGATCTGTTTTGTTCTTTGAAAGACAGGCCCTCGCCTTGGAATTTCCACCGACTGACTTGGATACACTGTTGTCCCATGTGGATCGGAACCACGGGCGTTGACAAATTAAATGAGGAAAAACGATTGCGCTTAGAGACCGAAAAAGAGACACACACGGATTCGAGACTATATGAAAGATCAAGTTTGACTGTTTATAAAAGTAAGTGGACTTGGGCAGGAAATGTTGCCAGAATAGACGATGGCCGGTGGTCAAGACTAAAAATGGAGTGGCCGTGAAAGGAAGGAACATGCCTAAGAGCACCTCTACTGTGCAGATGGAGCGATGAAATGAGCTCGTCTGCAGGCTCTAGATGGGTTCTTACATCACAGAACCGCGAGAGACGGCAATAGCTTTTGGGAGGCGTCCATCCAGCAGTTGATAGATCATGGCTGCTAATGGAGATGGTCAGCACAACGTGCTCATTTGAGTAGAGGGACACTTTGACTTTGAGCAACCACATTCAGTTATATATATAAAAAAAATGGGGCTAATAGCGCTTCAAATTGTAGAAAGAGCAAATTATTAAATATAACATGTGAAAAAAAGGCCACCCTCCTATTTCAAGTAATTATCTTTTAACGACGTTAAAACGAGAAGCGTCTCATCACGCCCGCTCACCAAGGTGACATTAACCGTTCGGATCTGTGGCCCGCGTCAAACGGAATCAGACCACGGAGCCACCGACAAGCCTGTGACATTCAATATAACACGATTATATAACACGATTACTTCGGTCCTGAATTCAGAATCATCATCATAATCTTTACACATGTAATATACTGGAGCAATCAGCCGACAACGCAAACCGTCGTCTCCCCCACCGCCCTTCCGGGGCCAGCGGAAACCGTCCATTTTCTGCCACAGGGGTGAAAGGCTAGAGGGGTTGGGTGGGGGGGGCGGCTGTTTGGGAATCCGTCTAGGGTCAGCTTTTGTTCGTGAGGCTTCGTTGCCGCATTGGCATCCGGTTGCTGAACGAAGACATTACAAGGTCGCCCTCATTACACACAGAGTGCCTGCCACAAATGAACCACGATATCTTACTCATCTCGTCAAGGAGCATGAACCACCGCGAAAACTCGGGTCATGCTCGCAGCAGCGGCTTTTGGCTGGCCATCGAACAAAGACGTTCACAGGCATCGCACTTACGGATGCGGTTCTGCGGCCGTCTGGAATGCTCTTCCGGTATTCGGAAACCACTGGAGCTATGCACTTTTAAATCTAGATTTAAAACTAATTTATTTAAAACTGCTTTTTGTGTTTAGTTTGTTGTCCTCCCGTCGCACCTCCGATTAGCATGGTTGACTACATACGGTGTGAAAGAAGTTCAACATACACACACACTGCACCGGCGTCCTCTGCTCCCAGCTGAAGCGCCACCCTCCCGGCTTTGTCGCTCGGCTCCCAGCAATCACAATATAAAAGGACAGCTTTCAGTTTTTCCAAGTAAGGAATAGAATGACGTATTCGTCCATAACAGACTTCTGTGGATCTGTTTCCCAGCAGCCGTTGCTGAACTGGGATAATACTCGAACAGCTTCCACGTGGTAAAAAGGCCTCTGACGAATGCTTATTTGTTTAGCCCATGGACCTATGACCAAATGACCCGGACTGTGGCCAGTTTCGTCAGATCTTGGAAGCTAAGCAGGTATTTCAGCCTGGGCAGCGCTTGCATAGGTGACCAGCAATCACAAGCATGTAATGATCGAACTTGCAGAGCTATGTTGTGTGCAGGGGGTGGGAGGTGGGTTTATACAGCAAAATCCATTCTTGTACTGTCTTTCTATACGGGAGGGATGCGCCCATCACGGAGATGGAGCGGGACGGAGCGATGAACTCGGCTTGGTGGATGAACCTTTGCTTCGCAGGCCCCTGAGAATTTTAGAATTGCCGACGAGTCGTGGGGACCGCCACCCACCTGCGGATAGATGACGGTTGACCGCGACCAACAGGCCTTGTGTTGTGTCGGACCCCTCGGCCCCCTCGGCCCCGCGCGCGTGCACAGGCAACTTCTACGGCACGCCCGTGCCGTCGGCCGAGGCGGTGCTGCCGCTGGAGCTGCTGCTGCCGGGAGCCCGGCCGAGCTCTGAGGGCAAACGGCGACGCAACCAGTCCGTCACCGACATGGAGCGAGCGACGGGGCCCGGCGGCGGGGGGCGCAGCGCGGCCAACGACGCCACCGCCGCGGTCAACGGCAACGGCGCTTGCGGCACATCAGGTGGGCGTCCGGGAATACCCGAGTGTGTACGTCGTGACGTTCGCTTGGTGGTGGTAGTGGTGGTGGTGTGTGCGGTTATAGGCAGCCGTGTGGTGGATTGGTCAATCAGTCGGTCGGTTGAGCAATCGAGTCGATCATTTGGTCAGGTAGACAGTCTTTCAGTAAATCAAGCAGTCAGCGGGTTGGTCAGACAGTGAGTCGATCGGTCACTAATTGTTCATTATTTCCAATCGGTCAGTTAGTAAATCAAGCAGTCAGCCTGTCAAATAATGTAAGGTGATTCTTAATTTCAATGAGTGTCGGTTCTTACAGAGTTTTTTTGTTGTTATCCACAACCAGGGTGAGTGTCATTCATACAACTGAGTCACGGAACTGTGCGAGAGCCCTCCGAGATTCTTTATCTCTCCTGGACAGAGATCTCGATGCCTTTGCTCATGCACGTACGCATTTATTTTTGTTTAGTTCACTGCAAAACAAAACGAATTCGTGTTGACGCACCCCTCCACTAAGAGCTCTATAAATGCCCACTCCGCCTTGGCGTGTTTATCTCAAGAGTGGAGCTCGCACAGGATGCACATTGCCTCTTCCTGTGAAAGGTTCAGGGACAAAAGCAAAACGGTAATATCCTTTTCAGATTCACACAGCCGTGCGTATGGCCTCCGCTCCGTAACGCACTTACTGTTGCTGATGCTGCTGGCGCCGATGGTGGTGGTGAATCATTTGCAAATCCAGGGAACGTTTTCGGCCACGGAAAAACACCCCCTTGCCAACCTGCATGTGCACCCCTTACATGCAGCATTTGGTAGAGTCCTTTATAAAACTGGCCCCATTCCTGTAAAGGGCTGTGGATTGTTCGATGGTTCTGTAGGGGTGCAAGTGTTGACCCTGTCTACCTCCAGCTACATGTTACATTTGATTCTGCGATTTAAAATCAGTTATTTCACTTGCGCCACGTGAATTAAACAGTGCGCATAAGAATAGTTTATTTTAAAGTCATGTACACAATTGCTTACGGTTCTGGCAGTTGCCCAAATCTTGTAAAAAAATATCTGCTCACTGTTTCCCCTAATGGGCAACTGAGATGGCAACAGCCATTCAGATTACAGACAGAGATCACGTGACTATCGCAGGTTGCATTTCCTTGCAGACCAATCAATCATTGTTCATTGAACGCACTTTTCAGTGTATACTATTGGCGTACCAAGTGGCCAACGACGAAGACTGCCCTGGGTTTTGTGGGGGCAATTGGAGCCCCCGGTGAGTTTGAGGCTGCGTTAGTGAGAGCAAAAGACTTTGCGTTGCATTCAACCGGCGCCACCACGGTGTTCTAGCGACAATAATGTAATCAGCATCGTATTTGAATCCCATTGCTGCATCATGCCGTTCGTGCCGAGCGCGTTTGGAAACGTCCAGAGCCACCCCCAATCACCACCATCCTCCCCAGCGTCTCCTTCTCCCACGGGAACCATAATCGCAACCTTGGCCGGCCAGTGGCTCACGTCCGTCTCCACCTCCCGCCCGTTTCCCAAACCTCATCCTCACGCCCTCGCTCGTTAACACGCACGCTCCATTAACCCGGACGCCCCCCCACCCCCAGCCCCGCCCCGCCGGGCTGCAGGAGGCCGTGACCTCCTGCAGTGAGCCCACGGGCGTCCCGTCCCGTTGGGCCCCGCGAGTGGCGGCGGGAGCTCGGGTCGCAGGTGTGCGCACGGGAAAGATCGCGCACCTCCCCCCCGACGCCCCCCCCCCCAACCCGGAAAAGCAAAGGCACAGCCACCACCTCCCCCCCCCCCATTTCCTGGAATTGTCCAACGGTCGGATGTTGGAATTTTGTTATATATTTTTTTATCTCCCCCCTCTCTCTCTCAAATAGAAGCGAAGATGAAAGGGAATGTTAATGCTCTATGTTATTTTTTACCACCCCTCCTGTGTGTTCGCCACTTCTTTGATCACGATGTGTGCATATATATATTTGTTTGAACGCTTTAATAAAAAAATGTAAGTGTTTTTTTACTTTTACATTTTTTATGTTCACAACAGAGGTTGTTAATTTACTTATTCCCCGCCCCCCCCCCCCCTTTGAACTTTGTCACCCCCTCTATCCGTCTGGGTGTTGGCCTGAATCTCACGCCACGAGCGAAGGGGTACAACACACCCAGGAATGCTCGCCACTTTTGCCCCCCATCGCAAAGCTCCGCCGGTCGTTTCGCTCGCTTTGAGACCGCGTTGTTCGATCCCAGTAATCACCCAGTCCTAGCTTACGTTCACATACCGCTCTGTTTTTTATATATATAAATAGGTCAGTCATTTTAAGGGTTATGACTCACTCATGAAGGAACCAATGACTCAGTCATGGCTACCGAGTGTTTGTTGAAATTTCTATGTTCATCTGGCGGGAGCCAGGCTGTATAACCGTTAATGAGTTCACGCAAAGTTGTCCTGATTTATTGTCTTTTTTATCATTGCTTTGTGTTACTTCTGGGTTCATTCTCCGCAGCTGTTAATCTGGGAAATGTATTCTTGTGTAGGTAAGCTACACGGGATTTCATAAAAAGAACTTGGCAAGAACATTGTAGACCTGTAATCAGGAAGAGAACGTTGCGATGGGCAGGACACATCTGCATGACGGAGGAGGGCAGGTTACCTAGACGGCATTGGAGTGGCAACCATAGGGGAAGACCTACAAGCCAGATGGCGGTGGTGGTAATGAGACTGCCAGAGCGGTTCTTGAAGTCCATGTTGACTGCGTAACAAGGGGCAGACGCAAAGCCACACAGTGGCGATGATCTAGCAGAAGGACTGGCGAGCTGCAGTGGCTTCAACACCGCACTCCTCGTTGACCTATTGACCTTCCCCTCACCCCTGGCAGATTCGAGCGAATGCGACGAGGTGAGGGTCGACTCCTCCTCGAGAAGCCACTCTCTTCTGTATCGCCCCCCTGACGGTCCCTCGCTCTACCTGGGCACCAGCGATCCGAGCCGCGGGGCCCCATTCCTGGGGGCCCCCTCCTACTGGGACGACGACGAGGTGTTGGGTCCACTGCCGGATCGCTGGGAGAAGGCGTCGACGGAGGAGGGCGAGGTCTACTTCATCGAGTGAGTGCCTCCGCGATCGGCGATGGGCGATCGCCACCTGTCGTCTGTCACACCGTGTCCTCCAAAGGGGCGCCACGGTGGCTAGGAGATGTTAACTACCTCTCCTGGTATACAGGAGGTCGTGGGTTTGATCCCGACCCTGACAATGCCTGTATATTTGGAGTTTGCGGTGTCTGTCTCTCTCCATGGTCGCGTGGATTTTTCTCCGTGTTCTCCGGTTTTTCACTCCACATTTAGAATCAACGTCATGCGTTTGGAGTATTTGGCTGCTATACATTTCACATGATAAGCCACTTGGTTGAGCTATCATTTGTGGCCAGGTCGCTTCTGAAAAAGAGCTACATCGCTCAGTGGGCCTTTCCTGTGGAAACTAAAATTGTTTAGTTTAAGTGATAAAAAGTTAAAGGGACTCACTGCTCAAAATTATCATCAGCAGCAGCATGAGCTACATAAGCTTGGTATTATTTATATTATCGTAATGCAGCGGTCAGCATCCTGCAGTGTAAAGCTGGTGACCTGCAATCGAAACTCGACCGAGGCCAACACGAGTGGGGGCGATATCTACGCATATCCTGGGTCCCTCTTGACCAACCTGCACAGCCCAGCGTGGAGACGTTTGCCCAAAGAACCCCCATGGGCAACGCGTTACGCTGATTGACAAAGGGCTGGGAAAAAAAAATCGCTGACCTTCCCACTCTTTGAGTCTAGCGCACTGGCACGAGTTGCTACTCGGGCTGCAATAGTTCGTTGGGGAAGCGCACTATAAAAATAAAGTGTCTGTGTTCTCCGCGACCGCCTGGCGGAAAGCATCGGTCGACCGAACCCGGCTGACATTGCATTCTTCCTCCACGATTGTGCAATTGCGCGTGACGACCTTTGCGGGCTGCCAGCGCTCCCCCGCTCGCTCAGCAGTCGCGCGCGATTAACGGGACATGCGCATCACATGCCGCCGCGCGTGCTCACGAATAAATATATAATAAATATATAATGAATACCTGAATAGTAAAATATATATATATAATAAATATATACTAACTATATAATGGGTATATAATCAAATATGTATAATAAATTTATAATAAATAAGCAATCTATGGTTGGGTCAAGAACCTCCACCGTTCCCCCCCACCTCCCCAGCCACCGCCATCTTTCATGGTGCCACGATGCAACCATGCACACAGGAGTCGATCTTACCGCTCAATCTTCGCTGTGGATGTACTTTAGGGCTCATTCAGTATTCCCTCCTTTGGCTACCACTCAATCGTTATTGCCGCCCATCCGCCATCATCCCATCTTCGCGACTTGTCCTGCCCAAGCGCCTTACTGTCCTAAACAGTAAAAAAAAATCATGACTTGATTGTGCGTGTGCTCTGTAATTGTCTTTGTTCTGCCTATATATGCGCGATGCCAAGCGTGCATCTCTATGCACACAGTGGATAGCGCAGTTGTGAACTCTACTTCCAATCTATTCATCAATGTCCAGCAAACCAATCTGACCGAAGGGTGTGCGCCGTGGCCAAGTTTGTTTAAAGTGTTGCCAAAAGCCTGGAGACACAAATCAGAGCACAAAGGACTAAGTGCAAACATAAAAATGCGTTTTGCCCTGACAGCTCCTGTCTCGTTCCTTACTGCTAATTAAATACCCCCCAAGGCAGATGTGTTAAACAAATCAGATTGAAAGCACTTATGTAATCAATGCGTACTCGTGATTTTTATTCCTTGTCGAAAATAAAGTAAAGCTGTGCGTCGAAATGTCCGAAGAGCATACAGTGAGGGAAAAAAGTATTTGATCCCCTGCTGATTTTGTACGTTTGCCCACTGACGAAGAAATGATCAGTCAATAATTTTAATGGTAGGTTTATTTGAACAGTGAGAGACAGAATAACAACAAAAAAATCCAGAAAAACGCATGTCAAAAATGTTATAAATTGATTTGCATTTTAATGAGGGAAATAAGTATTTGACCCCTCTGCAAAACATGACTTAGTACTTGGTGGCAAAACCCTTGTTGCCAATCACAGATGTCAGACGTTTCTTGTAGTTGGCCACCAGGTTTGCACACATCTCAGGAGGGATTTTGTCCCACTCCTCTTTGCAGATCTTCTCCAAGTCATTAAGGCTTCGAGGCTGACGTTTGGCAACTCGAACCTTCAGCTCCCTCCACAGATTTTCTATGGGATTAAGGTCTGGAGACTGGCTAGGCCACTCCAGGACCTTAATGTGCTTCTTCTTGAGCTACTCCTTTGTTGCCTTGGCCGTGTGTTTTGGGTCATTGTCATGCTGGAATACCCATCCACGGCCTTATTTTCAATACCCTGGCTGAGGGAAGGAGGTTCTCACCCAAGATTTGACGGTACATGGCCCTGTCCATCGTCCCTTTGATGCGGTGAAGTTGTCCTGTCCCCTTAGCAGAAAAACACCCCCAAAGCATAATGTTTCCACCTCCATGTTTGACGGTGAGGATGGTGTTCTTGGGGTCATAGGCAGCATTCCTCCTCCTCCTAACACGGCGAGTTGAGTTGATGCCAAAGAGCTCCATTTTGGTCTGATCTGACCACAACACTTTCACCCAGTTGTCCTCTGAATCATTCAGATGTTCATTGGCAACTTCAGACGGGCATGTATATGTGCTTTCTTGAGCAGGGGACCTTGTGGGCACTGCAAGATTTCAGTCCTTCACGACATAGTGTGTTACCAATTGTTTTATTGGCGACTATGGTCCCAGCTGCCTTGAGATCATTGACAAGATCCTCCCATGTAGTTCTGGGCTGATTCCTCACCGTTCTCATGATCATTGCAACTCCACGAGGTGAGATCTTGCATGGAGCCCCAGGCCGAGAGAGATTGACAGTTCTTTTGTGTTTCTTCCATTTGCAAATAATCGCACCAACTGTTGTCACCTTCTCACCAAGCTGCTTGGCAATGGTCTTGTAGCCCATTCCAGCCTTGTGTAGGTCTACAATCTTGTCCCTGACATCTTTGGAGAGCTCTTTGGTCTTGGCCATGGTGGAGAGTTTGGAATCTGATTGATTTATTGCTTCTGTGGACAGGTGTCTTTTATACAGGTGTAGAGTAGGAGTTAGTGACGTCATGTCACGCTCGCCGTCTGGTACGATGACGTCACGAATGGTGACGTCATGTACAGGGGGCGGGACGGTGACGTCATGTCCCCCTGGGGGATTTAAGCTGGAACCTGTCACGGGTTCAGGTTCGTCTGGAGAGTCCGGGAACGTGAAGGGTGGAAGTCGGGACCTAGGGTAGGGGGAAATTGACACCAGGCTAGGGTAGCCTGTGGGTGTGCTAGGGAATCCCCAGTACCTTTCGCCTGGGGTGTGGAGTGTAGGCAGTGAGTATGCAGTACACGGAGTCGTGTGCGAAGAAAGGTCTTTAATAAAACAACTGGCGCAAGCCCCTACACGAAGATCTGCCTCCGAGTCATCATTTACGCCTCAACACAGGTAACAAGTTGAGATTAGGAGCACTCCCTTTAAGAGTGTGCTCCTAATCTCAGCTCGTTCCCTGTATAAAAGACACCTGGGAGCCAGAAATCTATCTGATTGAGAGGGGGTCAAATACTTATTTCCCTCATTAAAATGCAAATCAATTTATAACATTTTTGACATGCATTTTTCTGGATTATGTTGTTGTTATTTTGTCTTTCACTGTTCAAATAAACCTACCATTAAAATTAAAGACTGATCATTTCTTTGTCAGTGGGCAAACGTACAAAATCAGCAGGGGATCAAATACTTTTTTCCCCTCGCTGTACGTACGACGCCACGCATTAAATATTTTCTGTTGTTTCGTCCGCTTCTATCTCCCTCTCTCGTCGTTCGAACGTCATCGAACATCGTTGTCGTCCTCGCAGCCACGACACGAAGACCACGTCCTGGCTGGATCCACGTCGCGCGCGCTTCCAGAAGCCGCTGGAGGAGTGTCAAGACGACGGTGAGGGTCCCGATGGCATGACGCTGTCGCGCCTTCCTCACTCACTTTCGTGTGGCGTTCGAGACGCAGCGGGACCCCGTTTGCATCTCTTGGTGTTCATCCTTGGCAAGCCGTTTCAATGGCCTGTCCGGGGTCGCCGGGTGGATTCCATTTTTTCCCCTCTTGCAAAAGCGTGCGTTGGCCAATTGTCGGTGGTGTGAGCAATGGATCGCTCTTCACCACAGTCGGAATTAGGCGACTTCTTAATCCCCCACTTGCGGGGGATACTTGGATAACTTTATATTGAGAACCACAGCATCAAGCACAAACACGTATAGAGACCCATGGCCTCACATTTAGACCCAAAGACTCGCACAGAGACTCGTACATTTCAATACAATCTGACGTGAGTGATGGATTTCCATTCACTGCAGTCACATGTATGTTCAGACTCCTTAATCCCCCACTCATGGAGGAGGTAGCCGTACCTCCCATGTGCCGTTCGAACGCGGTGGTTAGGTGCCCGAGTTAAAGTGGCTTGGACATGACGAGAAGCCGTGCAATTGACAGCGCCGCACCGCGCAGGACACCGGAGCCGATCCCAGCGGCTTCTCCATCTCGCGACACAACACCGATAGCCCAACCGAAAAAGAAAAAAAAACATCTTTCGAGGGAAATTATTATTACTTTTAACTTTTCACCATGATAAACTCACACGGGAACGTCGTTGCGACATGCGCAAGCGGCCGTCGCATGCGCCAGCTGCTTCCTGTGGCCCCTGTGCCCCGGTGCGATCATCGACGCTGACGTGATGCCCGGCCGCTCCCCTTTTCCTTTTCCGCACTCAGAGCTTCCGTACGGCTGGGAAAAGATCGACGACCCGCAGTACGGCACCTACTACGTCGAGTGAGTATCGCACTCCTCATCCTCCTACTCCATCCAACTTGTCCTCGTCTTTCTCGTCATCGTCTTCCACTTCTTTCTCCTTGTCCCACTCCTACACCTCGTTCTTGTCCTCATCATCACCATCTCTTCTACTCCTCATCCGCCGCCTGTACCTCATCTTCCTACTTCTCACCCTCGGTCCTCCCATCATCTTCCTCCTCGTCCTCTTCCTCCAGTTGCTCCTCTTCTGTGTCTTCCTCCTGCTCCTCCTGCTCCTCGTTCTCAGCATTTCGTGAATTCCCTTCGTTTACCCGGTCAGCGCCGCGTGTTGATGTCCCACCCTCTGTTGTCTTTGCAGCCACTTGAACCGGAAGACGCAGTTTGAGAACCCCGTGATCGAAGCCAAGCGGAGGAGCAACCACCCGAAAGGTGACTGTGGGTTAGCAGCGCACGCGATCGCCCGCGTGTGGCGTCGCACACGCTCTCGCTCGTTGCTTTGCGCCAGGGCCTTGTCGCGTCGCACGGGGTTGTATACGAGCGTGTGCGTGCGCGTGTGTGTACGTCAATAACCACCGTTCGCCACTAAGTGACAGTGATGTCACTACCGCACTTGTGCCAGTCTAAGTGTGCATGTCACACATACACACATGGCACGGGCAGCAGTAGTGTATTATCTTGCACTCTGCACTACGAACCCGGCGATCCCAGTTCAATTCCTGATCATCGCCAACAACGGCAATGAATATCTCCACCGGTCCTGCAGCTCTCCTCCGTCGATTCAGCCTTAAATATGTACACCTGACTGAATAACAAACATACAAACCTCACCTGCTGCTGTCTTACCATAAATTCAACGCAGCCTCATGTTTATCATAAATACATCTAACTGTTTAACAAGAGTTGAAACTAGAGCTAAGTTTGGATAATGAGCTGTAACTAAACTTACATTGTGTTTTCATTAAGGACTGGACTACACCCAGATCTAAAACATTGCACAATAGAATCAATATGACTGTGGAACTGACCAATATGATTGCGGAGGTTTTTGCGGCTCTGCTGTCTAGCTCGCCGATGCGTTTTCAAGTTGTACCGTATGTTGTTCACTATGATGTCTGACGTATCGCTCCGCATGCTGGAAGCTACTTCAGGAGCTGCCCATAACCCTATTCAGCTCCTGAAGACGCTCCCAGCACATGCAGTGAAACGTCGGACTCATCGAGGAACTAATTAATCTCTGTGGAGTCAAAACAACAACGTTGGTTTCAGGCGCGCTGCTAGCCAAGAGGTTTTATTTAGCGATGTCAAGTTTGTGCCTTCTTGCCGGTGTGGACTCGTCTGTCAGAGCCCTCGGCCTCCACGCTGCCCCGCGCGCGCCCTTCGCCGGTCAGCCCCCAAGCGCAGAGGTCACGAAGCACCAACGACCTCGCGCCCACCACTCCCGCCACGCCCGCCGGTACGCTGCGCCCCGGTACGCACCGCCTCGGTATGCTCCACCCCGGTACGCTGCACCCCGGTACGCACCGCCTCGGTACGCTCCACCTCGGTATGCTCCACCCCGGTACGCTCCACACCGGTACGCTCCACACCGGTACGCTGCGCCCCGGTACGCACCGCCTCGGTATGCTCCACCCTGGTACGCTCCACACCGGTACGCTCCACCCCGGTACGCTCCACCTCGGTACGCTCCACCTCGGTACGCTCCACCTCGGTATGCTCCACACCGGTACGCTCCACCCCGGTATGCTCCACCCCGGTATGCTCCACCCTCGTACGCTCCACCTTTACACCATCATAATACTCATGCCACGAAGTTCCACCGTAGCACGCTGTACCCTGACATACTCCACCCCAGTCTAATCACTCCTGAATGCTACACTTCGGGATCCGCTAGCTCAGCACAATCTCCCCCAATCTTCCCCCAGCCGCTCCTTCCCCCTACCCCTCCCAACCTCTTTCTAACCCTAACCCCGTCTCTCTACCTGCTACCTACATCCTGAATCATCAATCATCACCACAATTGTCCCTCCCGCCTACCCTCCTTACCGTCCTCCCACCCTTCCTCACCACCACTCCTCCCCGCACCCTCTGCTGTTAAGTTCAGTTCATGTATTAGGTATAGTCCTGTGAGCCATGCGGCTCTTGAATCGGGTGCAACCGCAACAAACAAAAACATGAACAAGAAACATCTTAAAGTGACTACGCGCAACATAAAAATCCAGTAAAAAACAGCAAAGTCTTCCAGAAAAAGCACCGTATATCAATGCTGTGTGCAAAAATCCCAGTGGGATGCAAGTCAAACAATAACAACCATAAGACATAATAATAGGGTTTTTCCCCTTTTTTCTGGCAACAAAACTGAAACCTTTTTACAAGGATTCATGTCTGCATTAACGACAATACCTGCAGTCAAAATGCAAACAAAAAACACACTATGATAATATATGCATTGTCCTTGAAACTGATTGGTCCACACCAAGGGATGGCTTTCTTTTGAGCCTCGACCCAATTGGTGCTCGACCAGATGGCGCCAAAAGGCGTACAGCTCAAAGACAATGCACTATCAAAGTAATGAGGGCTCGGGGTGAGCATCTACATCATTAGACCTCCTTTGCCAGTACCAAAATATAATAATAGGGTTTTTCACCTATTAGAGAACCATAAGACAATTTAGATTAAAGTTATCAGTCTAACTCTGTACTACAACAAACAAATATGGCTAAACCAAAACGTTTTCTGTGCTCTGATGACAAGGAGGAGGTGGTGGTGGCGCTTCTGTTTGTCTCTGCAGGGAAGGCGTTCTTCACGAGGGACGAGCGCGAGCTATCGGGCGAGCGCGTGCGCACCACCCTGCGCAAGACGAGCCGGGGCTTCGGCTTCACCATCGTGGGGGGCGACCAGCCCGAGGAGTTCCTGCAGGTCAAGAGCCTCGTGCCCAGTGGCCCCGCCGCACTCGACGGGCGCATGTGCACCGGTGAGCTGCTGAAAACGGGTGGCCGGCTACGCCACGACACAACCACCACCGCTGCCGCCACCGCCTCTCTGTTATAATCGACACCCGTGATACCACCGTCACCGTCACCAGCTCTAGCGTCATGAATAGCAGCATTTATCACCAACACCAGCTGTCGTCGCCTTTAACACCGCTGCCGGCGCACTTGCTGTAATCAACACGAGTGCAGCCATCATTGTATACTACTCTCCTCTAATTAATACCACCACCACCACACCACTTACTATCACCAGCATAATTATAGCCAGCACCACCACCATTACAACCACCACTACCTCCATCATCAACACCAAATACTGCACTACTTCCACCACCATTATCACGAACAGCACCACCACCATCATCAACACCAGCAGAATCACCTCCCTCCAGCACAGAGAACAATGCTGCGCTGTCAAAGTTTTATATTAACGCCCGTCCGTCGGTGCGACGCCCGGCAGGTGACGTGATCGTGAGCGTGAACGACGCCTGCGTCCTGGGCTACTCCCAGGTGGACGTCGTGCGAATCTTCCAGTGCATCCCCATTGGTCAGTGCGTGACCCTCGACCTCTGCCGCGGCTACCCTCTGCCATTCGACCCCGACGACCCGGCCACGCACATGGTGACGGCGTTCGCCGTCTCGGGCAAGGAGCCGATGATCATCAACGGCTGGCCGCTCGCTGACCCGGGCCTCCCACCGACCGTGGCGGCGCTACCGGGACTGCCGTCGTTGCACTCCACGCCGGACTCCGGCACCGCCGTCCGCTCCCAGCAGCAGCAGTGGTGGACGAGCACCGCAACGCAGGGCGCACATGATGCGCCGGAGAACGGACATGCACGCGACGACGGAGACTCGCTGGCATCGTCGGGGACCTCGCAGCCCGAGCTGCTGACCGCCACAGTCGTGAAGGTGCGTGGGGGGGCAGGCGGGGGGGCAGGCGGGCGGGCAGGCGGGCAGGTGGGCAGGTGGGTGGGTGGGTGGTGGTGGGGCTAGAAATAGGGCGATACGGTCAGGAGATACTGACGCGCATAGAGGCGCGTCGAATTGTTAATTAAAATGTGTTCTGTCGGCGATGAATAGATTTTCAACCACGGAATTAACAGCCTTTTTTTTTTTTCAATGGCTTTGGTTCATTACATCGTGATGGCGTTACTCACCCGGAGACGCGGTCATTGCGTCCCGCGCAGGGCCCTGCGGGGTTCGGCTTCACGATCGCGGACGGCGCCGGCGGGCAGCGTGTGCGGCATATCCTGGACCGGGCGCGGGGTCGCGACCTCCGCGAGGGCGACCTCATCCTACAGGTCGGAGGTCGCGACGTGCAGGGCCTGAGCCATATGCAGGTGGTGCAGATGCTCAAGGACTGTCCCGTGGGCAGCCCCGTGCCCTTCGTCGTTCAGCGTCCCGGTACGCGCAACGGCGATCCCTCACGACGGCGGCAGTGTCTTGTGCACCTGGTTGTGGTGGTGGTGCCAGTTGGCAAGTTGGGAGGGTAATCCGGCTGTGATCATCGTCACCAGCGGCATGGTGGCACTGTGGTAACACTTGCGCCTCTCCGCAAGAAGGGCCTGGGTTCCATTCCCAATTCGTCCGCCTGTGTCTGTGCAGTTAGAATGTTATCCCCCCCCCCCCATACTTAATGGGTTTCCTCCAGGTTTCTGCCAAAGATACAAAAACGTACGGCACGGGTATCGGACAAACTTCCCTGCGAATTCACTCAATTGGGATTACACACGGCAACATTACCGCCCTTACTGTGCAAATTGGCGGGGCTCTCCTGTCAAAGAGTCTTGAGACTAAGCGAGGTTCTCCTGGGTAAACGTTAATAATCATTGCAGTTGTCGTCAACGTTAGCAGCAGTGGCAGCGTAATGGTGAGCAATAGAAAAATCACTACCGTCAGCAGTAGCAGTAGAAGCAGCATCAGCCACAGCAGAAGCATCGTTTTCATCGTCAGCAGTAGCAGTAGAAAAAGCATCAGCCACAGCATAGGCATCGTTATCATCATCAGAAGTAGCAGCAACATCAACGTATTACCATAAACATTATCACCAGCATCATCATTTGCAGAAGCATAATCTTTATAACAACGTAATCATCATAGTTGTCAACAATAGCATCATTAGCATATTTTTAATTTACTTAATACCTGTAAAAGCAAATCTCAGCACTTATTCATGCAAATTATGTCGGCTCATTACTCAATCAGTCAGGGCACACTTCGCAAACACGTCCACCAGACAACTTAACAGCGGCCATAGTTTTCACTCGATACTCGGTTATCCTCCCTTTGTCCAATGGTGACAAGATTTCAACACAAACGTGAAACTCGCACACACACAACTACGTAAGCACACAGAGCGTGACTCACTCTACCACACCACCCACCGGTTCTGTGCAAGCATCGCCCCTCCGTGCGTACGTGCGTGCGTGATTCACGTGAGCTCATTAGAATGAGCCGCCGTTTACTCGCGACGTTGCCTGCGGCAGGCAGTCACTCGCACCCTCGCACAGATTCCCGTTCCCCTGGGCTGCACGCGAGCAGAGCTATCGCACGCACGCTCCTTAATCACCATCGTTGCTTTGTCTTGCAGGCACTGGGAACCACTCCCCAAACAGAAGCCAACAATCGGTGAGTTTTTTTCGTGGCCTTCTTTCCTCCCAGTCCAATTACGTACCGTATATGACGTTACACTTAACATGGTCGCATTGCTTACACGCGCAAGAGCTCAGATTGTGTATGATGTGCGGAGCAGCAGGGGCTCCCGGTTGTGAGATATAAGATTTAATCTTGGTCAAGGTCCGCACAGCCCTGTCATTGTTATCATCGTCATCATCATCATAATCTCGTTAAGCTTAGCATGGCCAACTAACCTCCACGAACCGCGCAGAATGAAGAGGTCCTCATCCAGCAGTGGACTTACATTTGGACGCTGCAGTGCTTCAGCATGGATCTCGTGTAACTTGTTGCACTTTTTGTTGTTGCTGCTGCGTTATCACCAGGAGTTTGAGAGGCGGAACAGCGCGGGGAGCTTCCGCGAGAGCGGCCCCCCTGCAGCCCGCCCGGGCCCCCCGTCGCTGTACCTGCCCTGGACGGGAACAAGCCCCCCCGGGCACACCGCCACCGCTCCGCGCCGCGCCCTGCTCTACCCCCCGCCCCCGCCAGGCCCCCCGAGTTTCGGTCAGCAGGGGCGCCCCCCAGGACCGGCGACGTCCGAGGGTCCCCGAGAACTCACCGAGAGTGCGAGTGAGTCGAGACGAACGGGGTGACGGGGGTAACGACGCGAACACAGTGGAAGCGATTTAAGTGAGGCCGCTTTTGATACGAGCGCCGCCGGTAGAGAACACCGATACGCGCTGCGCCCACATGCGGCTCACGGCTTGTCGGCGTCTCTGTCCGCAGCGCTGGAGTTCCGGGATATCGACGTGTTCCTCCGGCGCCAGGAGACCGGGTTCGGATTCCGAATCCTGGGCGGGGAGGAGCCGGGGCACCCGGTACGGAGCGGTCCGCATCTCGGCGCCACCCTCGTTTCATCCATCGTGCCAAATAAATCCAAATCCGTATTAGTGTTTTGTCCTTTCCGTAGTCATTCTAAAACATGGATGCTCTCTGATATTTTACCCGATGATATTGTAATGTTACTAAGAAACTTTAATCTCGAAATTTCCAAATAAAAGCGGTGGATCACCTTGTGCTGCCGCACAGCCCCATTGCTGTGACAATCGCACGAGTCACGCAGCTGCTCGTAGGAACGCCCTTTCACGGAAATGATCACAATTCACCCCTTCCCATGATTCATTTGTCACAGTTCATGGTTACGATTCAAATTTACCAAGAGTCGATAAAGGTACTTGGCCCTCTGGTGCATGTAGCACTGAATTAATGGTTCGTAAGCGAAAGAACGGAACAAAACGTCGTCACTAGAATATAATCGAGTGACGTTTTTTGAAGTCGGAACGACAAAGTCAGCGTTCTCTCTCTTCACCGTACGATTTGCCCCTTGCTTGCCGACTCATCCGTTCTCCCCGCCCGCTCACCCGCCCATCGCTAGATTCGCGTGGGCGCGGTGGTGCCGCGGGGGGCGGCCGACGTGGATGGGCGACTGCGCCCCGGCGACGAGCTGCTGTCAGTGGACAGCTCGCCCGTGGAGGGCCACGTGCACCAGCACGTCATCGCGCTCATGCAGAAGGCGGCGCTCAACGGGCACGTCAGCCTCACCGTGCGCAGGGCGCTCGCGCCCGCACCCTCCGGTAGGTCGATGGGCGGCAGCAGCGGTGGTGGCACCGCCGTCGTCGTGTCCACGAATGTGTTGGAATTTCCGTAGACTCCATCGTCTGTCATCGTCACCGTTCTTTGTTGTCTTCATCTTCACCGTCGGTGTTAGTCGCTGAGGGCGTGGATGGGTTTCTTTTGTTTTTTTTCATTCCTGTTACTCTATGCCCCCGGTACCGTTCCTGTCCCCGTTCTGCTGTAACGTGCTGATGCCTGCTTTATTGAGGGCAATATTGGTACGTAAAATTAAGATTTATTGATGTGATCAGCATGAGTCATCCTCATCGGCAGCAGCGGCGGCGCAATCATCATCTTATTGACTGCAAAAGCCAAAGTGATTTAGTGCTCAAATGAACATTAAAGCAAGGCTCGCCACCTGTTTACAGCCTGCCAGAAGTGGTTGAAATTCCACATTCCTATGACAGGGGAGAGTCTATCCATAAGACAACCACAAAGTGGAACTCACTTTACTGACCCTCGGGGAGATGATGGGCCAAGTCACTCGCCAATCAGGATTTGAACTTGCAACCTTCCGATAGCAACCCGCTCACCGCTGAGCAGCATCGTCATCATTGTCATTAGAAACATGTTTATATAATGGTGTTCTCTATAAATGTTCGTGGAGTCATGTAATGTATTACCATGACAAACACGATTCCTCTCCGCTCCATGCGACGTTCCTCCAGGTCCCCTGGGCCCCCCGTCGCTGTCGAACCTGCACGCGTACGGCGGCGCCGCGGGGCCACCGGTGGAGCCGACGGGCGGCTCGTCACCGCCGGAGCCCCCGCGGGGCCTCGTGCAGGAAGTGCAGGGCCTGTCGCTGGAGTGCACGCCCAGCGACGTCACCGTCCAACGGCAGGAGCACGAGGGGTTCGGCTTCGTCATCGTGTCGTCGCTCGCGCGGCCCGAGGGCGGCCCGGCCAACGGTACGAACGCCACGCTCGTGCGTACGATGTAAACGAGGTAAACGACACGGGGCACGTAAAAACTTGTACGCGTGAAACGTACGAGCGCGGAACACACCTTTGCATGTATTGACCACGTGCGGCCAATACACACACACACACGTGCGCATCACAAAACTGACGCACGCACAAAAACACTCCGGCCAAAAGGTGAAAATGAGACGGCAGTGTGGTAAACGGGACACAGGCACTCAGATAGGTCGTGAATAAATGTGTGTGTGTGTTCGCACTTCACGTGGCCTCAAGGTGCACATAGCCTGGCACAATGGTCGTGGTGACGTCACAGCCACTTAGTGGCAAATGGCGGTTGTTGTTCGCATATCGCGTTGTAGCTCTGCGTAGCGGCACGTTAACTCAAATACGATACGAGTGCGTGTTTGTAAACACGTGCATGCATGTGTACATGTTGGATAACAGTCAACACATCACCTAGGCCTGGACTTAACCTCCTGTCAGCAAGCCTTCGACTCTTAATGTGGCCTCAAAGTGCAGTGAAGTCACCGCCACTTCGTGGTGAATGGGCAGCTGTTGCTGCTGTTGTTGGTCAACGATGCCACGAGGGAGACACGACAGCCGGGCATGGTGCTGGCTACCCACCCCCTCGTGTGCCATGCCAGCCATTCACAGGTCCTCTCTAATAAGCACTTGCCACAACAGTCTGTGAAGGCTATACGGTCGGGGTATCTTTGTCTTTGTGTCGCGGTGCAGCTCTGCCGCACAAGATTGGGCGCGTGGTGCCGGGCAGCCCCGCGGAGCGGTGCGGCGTGCTGCGCGTGGGTGACCGCATCGTGGCGGTTAACAGGCGCTGCATCCTGGACATGTCGCACGCCGATATCGTGACGCTGGTGCGCGACGCAGGGCTCACCGTCACGCTCGCCGTCCTCCCCGCTCCCGGTCAGAGCTTCCTCCTCTCTCTCTTACTGCCAACCCCTCCCACCTACACCCACCTCCTCACTCATCCACCCACTCACCCACTCATTCATCCACACACTAACCCACTCACTCACCCACTCAACCACTCACACATCTACTCGCTCAAACATCTACTCAATTACCTGCCCACTCACCTACCCACATACCTACTCACTTATCCACCCATTCAATCATCCACCCACTCACTCATCTGCTCATTCATTCACCTACCCACCCACTCATCTGCTCACTCATCTACCCATTCACTTGCATACCCAACCATCTACTCAACCACTCATACACCCACTCGCCCATTCACTTACTCGCCAATTCATTGACTTCTCTGCTCACTCACTCAGCTACTCACTTAATGAAAATAATAGTGCCAATTGTATTTCGGGAAACTTTGATCTTGTTCAGGAAATCCATTCAGCCGTAAGATGCGTATCTATTAGCAGAGCTCTATCAAAGACAGTGGAGGTGAAGTGAAACCGTTCAAATTCAACTTGAACTGATACAGACCCTCACAATAACTGTCCCTCCCTATAAATTGCTTGCTATTCTATTATGTTAAAAGGGTATTTATAGACAGAGACCTTTATTAAACTCTAGGTGACAGCCCATTTAGACTAAAAGTCTCTTAAGCAAGACCTAGGTCGCAAAAGCAGTGCGGCATACAAGACTAATAGAATAAATACTGTGGTAGAATTTAAATGGGTGGCATTACGTGACACTGAAACACGGTCCTATTAACTAGCATACCCTGACAATAACCCTGGCTCCATTCTCTACAGTTTTCCCAGCCATAGCCAACATCGTATATCGCACGATGGTGCAGTGGTTTGCGCCATACGCAATGAAGCTTATTAACCCAAGTTTTATTCCCGGCCACGATTAATATCGGTGCCGAGTGGTAACTGAACCAGTTCTGCGTGGCCCCCTTCACCGACCTGCACCTACCACCGCGGTGGTGAAGTATGGTCAAACAATCGCTTTGACCGACGACGAGAGTGCGGAGGCCTTCATCCAGCAGTGGAATGAAAAATTGGCATAAATTATACAATTCGTTGCACCATCAATGGGCGCTCTCAATCACCCAGTAAATAGAGTGGTCCTGTAATGCCATGCGCTGCCGACAGTGAATTGGGTTAACACAAAAATCAATCCACCATGTATTAGTGTTTTGATGTTCAGTTTTAAGTTATGATTTTACCAAAATAATCAGAAAAAAAAGGTAATGCGTGAACTGTTGGGGAATCGCGCGTTTTACGCGACGGGGGTCATTGTGCGTCGGCGTGCGGCGGGCTTTCCCCAGGTTCCTCAGATGTCCTCTCAAACAAAGCCAAACGCTTCGCAGAATTTCCCAACCAATCCCCCAACTTATCGGCACCCGCCTGAAGAAAAGTCTCTTGACTCGATGAAGCTTCGCCGAGTTAAGACCTCGCCACTCGTTAATGTACTTACACGACTGTCGTAACGATCGCTGTGTCTACGTTGTATTGAAATGCACGCACGTGACCTCCGCGCTGCTACGGTGTTTTTTGTACGCCTGCAGAGAGCAGTGGAAACCCGTCGCCAAACGCCACCTCCCAGCCCAGCACCCCGGGACCCGCCACCTCCAGGTGGGCACTGCCGTGGCCTAGCGGTCCTCTGTGCTGCTGGGTCCAGTGCAGCGCGCAAACACCAAACGTACTAGATTATAATTGTTAAGTATGGCCAGATCATGGTTATCATTGTGAGTGTGTTATATTTTTTTGCATCGGTACAACGCTTCGAGGGCACTCCCTTCATTTTTTTTTGTCTGGCGATGAACGTGCTTCATGCCATGCAGGATGAAGTATATTCCTGACGTCTGTCAGCATGCAAGATGTTTTGTCTATTATATTGCAGCTCTGCCACCATCGATATACACAGGAGACAGGAGATACCCGTGAACAAGACGCCGCAGGTACGAACAATCCACCCCGAATACACCTGACCTTGGCGGATCTCGTAAGCCATGCAGAGTTGAGCCAGGAGCCGTGCAGATGCTCGTCCGCTCACCCACCTCCACCTGAATTCCCCTGCGCGCTAATTTACAGGAGTGTTTGTGTGTAACCTCACACACAAACACACCTGCTTGTTTATACGCTCGCTAATACATGCATACAGAATACAAAGATAGCCTGAACAGACTTCTGAGGCAAGTGTTGCTAGCGAGCACCTATGAAGGCCGGCACGACACACGAGGAAGTGGGTGGCCAGCACCACTCCTGGCCGCCTTTGTCTCCCGAGTGGCGATGTTTACATACCGAACCAGATACTCATTCGACCTAAGGGAGGCCCAGGACTGGTTCAGATAATTGTCACTGGTATTGGGCATGAGCAGGAATCGAACTAGATTCGCCGAGTTCGTTGCACAGCAGTATACGCATACACATGCATGCACACACACACGCGTGCCTGTACTCATGACCGCGCACTCACCCACAACTGGGCGTTCACATATTCGCCCACGTACAGGCGCTGTCGCTCACATGTTATTCCACACATGGGAGACCGTCGCCCTCGGAGGATTTAGCTCTGGTAAGAGGCGGTGTTTACATTTGACGTGTGCGCAGAGGGCTCTGTACGAGGCGGTGCTCGAGAAGGGCGAGAGGGGATTTGGGTTCAGCATCCGCGGGGGGCGCGAGTACGGGATGGAGCTGTACGTGCTGCGTGTGGTGGAGGGGGGCCCGGCCGCCACATCCTCGCAGATGCAGGTCAGCACACACGTGGGCTGCTGCACCGTCCCCCGCACCCCCAGAATGAACACACTCGCACGCTTTTACACACCAACACACACACGCGCACACTCACAGCCACTCGCACACCAGCAATCACTCACGCCCACTCACACACCAAAACTCGCACACACTCGCACACCTATTCGCACACACCAACACTCACACCCACCCACACACTGACACTCAATAAAGCCCGTGTCTCTCCGTGCCATCTTGCGCGGCCACCCACCTACACGCACGCACGCACGCTCGCTCGCGCAGGTCGGAGACCAGATTGTGGAGATCGGTGGGGAGAGCACCTCGGACATGACGCACGCACGCGCCATCGATCTCATCCGCGGCAGCGGCGGCGCCGTGCGCCTGCTCCTGCGCCACGGCTCGGGGCACGTCCCCGACCACGGTAGGTCGCGGCAGAGCCGCCCTGCGCCGTCCGCTACGCCCGGTCCGGTGTGGAGAGGACCGGAGAAGGGAGTCGGGGTGGGGGGCAGGTGGGGCCGGAGGGTCGTGGACGGGTGCGTACGTGCACGCATGCATGCGGCTCATCTGGCGGATGTCGCCAAACCGACGTCCGCGGTGGATTCCCGTCCCCGCGGGAAGCACCTGCTCGGGTCGGAAGGGGATGCGAGCTGCCAACTCTCAAGAGACACATGGTCACACCGAATGGCGAGCGGCTCACCTGGCAGATCTGCACAACCGGTCGAAGTGTCGTCAGGATTTTGTCTTCATGCCATCCCCACGTCATGTTCCACCGTTGTCGGTGGAACATTACGTGTCGTTCCATCGCCAGTTATTCCGTGTTCGTCATCTGTACAGTACTCATAACCCAAGGCGACGTCTGCGCTGGTAGTTCCAGGCTTCTCATTGGTTACGTATCGCGATCTCGTGGTTAGCGAAGGATCGAGTGGTTTTTGTTACTGATGCTGCCTGCATTCAGGGGTTGGAGGGGTTTGGAAGCTGGAGAAGCCCTTGTGATGTGTGCAAAGAAATCACAAACACCACGCTGTGCTTCACTCTGACATGCGTGCCTCTCCTCCTGGGGGTGAATGATGCTGCATGGGGATTGGTTCTGACTCATCTCGCTGTGCTGCATGCGGTCCTGAATAACGGGAGTATCCATTGAAAGCTCTCTCCATGCTCCGTGGTCGTTTTCACGCATGGGTGTTGGCTTTAATAATGCATGTGTTATGGTGCGCTGCGGGGTCATGTGTGTGTCAGCTTGTGGATGTGTGTGTGCGTGCGTACTTTATTGTTTGAGCACGCATGCGTGATTATGTATGCCCGAACCTGTGTCTGTGAGTCTGCTAGTGAGCTGGTGCTGTGCGTGTGTGTACATGAGCCTGTGTTATTATAAGGGTTTGCATGAGCTCGTGTTGTGTGTATCTGCATGTGTGCGAGTCAGTTGTCAGTGTGCGAGTACGTCCTTGAACCTGTGTTGTTCTTATGAGTGCACGTGTGTGTGCCTGCATTGTGTCTGTGTGTGTGAGTATAAGTTCTGTATGTGCGAGTCCAAGCCTGTTGTACGAGTACATGCGTGGTATTCAGCGTGCATGCCCGTGCGTGCATGGCCGTGCGTGCATGCCCGTGCGTGCGTTTGAGATGCCCTGCTTGCACGTGGCACGCATGGTGCGGATCCCTTTTGCCGCAAAGCACGAGCGTCACGTTGTGCCTCCCCTCCCAGGAGTTGCTCCCTCCAGCCTCTCCATGTGCATGAAACATGACAGGCATGGCTCCCCATACTTCTTCTTATTGGGCCTTCCAAAGGACACGGTGTGTAACCTCCCTCCTCTGCCTCTGCTCACCCCCAAACGACCGCTTCTATCCATCTTTAGAGCACTACTGCACTTGACCTCCGGCCTGCATGGTGCTTCTACGCTTAGCACAGCGCTCCTAAAACCCAACGCACGCTGCTGTTCACACAAATGGTCTTCGTGAGAAACTATAGCATGCAAATGTTACCGTGCCAATCCGCGACCCAGCCTCGTGCTGAGTTGCAGTTGAACGGTGGATTGCGATCGTGCGAGAAGCTGCACGATGGGACGTTTGCAAAGATTGGAGGTGCAATTACTGCTGTAGGCAGTGAATAAGGATAAATAAAACTCAGACAAAATTTGAGGCAAAGGTTGAGATTTGGGAGTGCTGTGACTACTAATGCCGGTCGCTTAAAATGCCCGAAGACGTCTTGTCCAAGAGCCAACAAAGGTGGCGACGCCTCGCTGAACCCGCGTGTTGTTAGGACGTGCGCCGCTACCGTCGAGCTTGCCGTGAAGGGCCGCTTCCCCCTAGCCGTTTGTTCGCCCACCCACAGCTGCCCCCGCCTGCCCAGTGTTTTACTTCTTGCGACCCAGTTAGGATCAGAAAATGCCGCTCGGGGGGGGGGGGGGCGGGGGGGGGTGGGTTTGCAAATTCTCTTTGCCACGTGTGCCCAGAAGCCAATTGCTTAGTGCTGACGTTAGCACAGACCTGCTCAGCATTAAACGACTGGTGCCACCCCTGGCATGGGGAATTTTCAAAACCTGGATGACATTTTTTTTGGCGTGTTCTTTTTGTTTCGCTCCGCTCACAACTGCGCACGCGTGCTCGTATTAACCCCCTAACCTCTTTCCTGGCAGCCCCCCCCTCCCCTCATGCTGTGAAGTAACCGCGTGTGTTCTGATTGCAGGCAGTGTTGTAGGGTGTGACAGCCTAACCAGTGAGTGAAGGTAATGACCGAGAGCCCTCCTTTTACAAGCGCAGTCCTCTGGTGGCTTTAGCGATGGTGGGCACAGGGGCTGTAAGGTCTTCCCACACTTAACTCTCTCCTTGCTGTTAAGACATGTAACAATTCATCGATTCATCGCTAAGAATAACATTATTGCATTCATGCTCCATGCTCCCATTTCTGCAGCTAAGAATCATTTGTTTAAGATGCCGAATAATTGGAATTAGAATGACAGAGTGAACTCCTACTGTGATGTAACCACTCACAAATGAGACGACGGAATAATCGAGCCACGGAACAAACAAGACAGTGAAAATGAACCAAAAAGTAATCGTCTTGGATCGAATCGAGACCTCAAATTATGACAATCAATCTACGGTGGGATGGTGAATTGTTACATGCCTCCTTGCTGTATGCCTTGTGTGTGTAGATGTTCGTGTGTGTGTAGATGTTCGTGTGTGTGTAGTTGTATGTGTAATTGTCCAAAAGTTAAACTGGTTGAAAATAGTATGCACCTATTGCCCTATTGTTAACTATTGTCACCTGTAATATCAATTCCTGCTATAACGTAGAGATCAGAAACATGGACATTGGCAAAGCAAATTATTACAAAAGCCTCACTAGTGTGCAAAGAAGCTTGAAGAGATACAAGCTTCTAATTATATTGTGAGCCAGGAAGAGAAACACATGGATAAGAGAACACGAGGACGTTAGGGATCCTGTATTGACTGTTCAGAAAAGTTTGTTTGAGCAGGGCATGTTACGAGAAGTGAAGATGACCGGTGTTTGAGACTTGATAGAGTGGTTATCAAAGGAGGGAAGAAGCCCAAGAGCACGTACACAATGGAGATGGATTGATGAAATCAGGTTGTGTACAAAAGTGTTTGAGAGATGGCGAAGGTTAGGAGATCTTCATTGCATCAGTGGAAATGTCTGGTGGTAATATATATATATTATTTCACTGATTACACTACAGGGCTCAAGAATTAAGCCAAATATCACTTGCGAAAGTAAACAAACACCATCTCATATGTGCACAAAAGGCTTTCCGCTTGACTTGGTGCAATGATTATTTCACTTCCTTGGCGATTTAGACGTTCTCACGGCCTAAATTGGGTCCGACAACGAAAATTATGGTAAATTGTCACTTTGACCGAGTGTGGCTGCCAAGGTGTGTGGTGTCCTCTGGGAGCAGTGGTGTGGTGGGGGAGGCATTGGTTTCCCGTTCTCTGGCTGCGTTTTCTCTGCTTCGGCCCTCGGTGGCGGCTGCTGTCTGCTTTGCTTGTAGACGTTAGCCACCTCTCTCTGCTTCCTTTCTCAGCAGGGCGCCGCCGCCCGCCGATGCTGTGACAGCACAACCCGTGCAATGCACAGCCGCCAATTCACGAACGCTGACCTAAAATTACAAAGCGGTCTTTCCTTTATCTGAAAATGTTCATATCCTTGAGCTTTCTCCCAAAATCCCACATTATTGCAGATAAAAGGAATATTACTGTTACTTTATTTTAAACAGACAAGGGCAGCAGAGCACGTACTACTTCAGCCCAGGCATGTGCCCCCTAAGTAAAAATACTGCCCCCTGATAATGTAGCCTTCAGAAGGAATTCCAGACAATGTCTTGTCTGATCGGCCACTAAATATCCTAAGTAAATCCCGTACAAGCATTTATCACTTTAAAGTTTGTGGCTCTCGATATTTATCGTGCCACTGCGTTCACGCTTACATTGACGAGCTTAGGCAAATTAAACCTGAGCTGCAGTGGGGGATTGAGCAGGCCTGCTCCCCGTAGTCAATAATATCAATATCAACGCATGCCCACGTGAGCTTCACGAAGCCTCCGAGCAGCGTCGCCCTCGCAGAAATCGATGCCATTGCGAGAGTATGTAGGACCGTGCACCGTAGCACGCGAGTGACGCTCGCGAGCGTAACACGGCACGCCGACAGACTGAGCCGTGCTTCTATCTTTCCCTTCCTCCCCACGCAGCGGCAGATGGTGGGGTCGACGGCTCCACCACGACGCCGCCTGCAAGTTCCCCGCGAGTACCGGATGTGACTGGCCACCCCGCGGACATCGCCGCGCCCTCCGCACTGCCCGTCGTCACCGGTCACAAACCCCCGGCTGAGGCCGACGTCACTTCAGCACGAGAGAGCGAAGCCGAGCCAAATCGAGCAGACGCGATCGCGAGCCCGAGCCGTGTCGCGCTTCCCCCGGCGGAGAAGCAGAGCGGTGCGGACGCTGGGTACGCCGAGCGCCCCGATGGGCGGGAAGCCGACGCCGCCCGCTCGGAGCTTCACCCCGGCTCGCCGGGGGGACGCTCCCTCCTCGACACCGCCTCCGACGTGGCGGCCGCCAAACAAACCGAGGAGACGAGCCGACGGCAGTTACCGCCGCCGGAGGCTGACGGAGCCGTGAGCCCCACTGGGGTTGCGGGAGACGAGGGAGACGGCTCCAACAACTCCGGAGGAAACCGGGACAAGCCGCCCCCTCCCAGGGAAGGTGAAACGATGGCGGCAGCCGCGGATGCCACCGTCCCAGTAGAAGTCGGGGGGCACAAGGAGTTGGAGGGGGTGGTGGCAGCAGCAGCGTCGCCTTCACGCGAGGCGGTGGACGATTCGGAGCCGTCAAGCGCGCCGCCCAAACCGGCGGCTGTGCAGCCGGCATCCAACGCAACACTGCCTCGCAAGCACGTGGGCCGACCCGGGCCTTGGAGAGTCCCAGCTTCGGACAGGATCCCCAGCGCCATCAAGCAGTAGTGGCAAGGACACGAGGATCCTGACGTCGGGCGGTTGAGTCTCTTGCTTTTGTTAGACCGAGCGGAGCAACGAGCAGCAAAAGCACCTTCTGTAATTATTGAAGATCTCTGCGTGGTTACGACTGGAATTGTCGATGCGTGAGAGAAGAGAGAGTTTGTGCTTGCACAGCTGCACATGCATCACTGTTGAGTGCCAATGATGGATGCGTTTCCCAATGTGAGTGGCAGTGCTATGAACTCGCAACCGGACTCGCAATTTTGTATTACCGCTGCAGTGCGAGTTGCTTTCAGACAGCAGATGTTATGTTCTTGCTTAGATTTTAATTTGCTTGCTAAGCTGCAGGGCACGTTTAAACAATAAGACTTCCGTTGAAGTATTCAGTGTTGAGGCTAGAAAGTGATGCTTCGAACGGTGAACATATAGCGGTTTTTACACCGACATCATCGCGATGGCCAACTGCAGTGTTAAAATGTAAATTACTGACAACTCCTTGGAGAATCTCGGTAAAATTGCACATGCAAAACCACATCCCAGGTTCTGGGTAGGGATTAAGCAGCCTTTTAACTTGATTTGATATCGTTTAATCAGCCGAGTACATTTCTCTTTGCTGTAAATCTGGGCAGAGTAGACATAGTCAGTGCCTGGGAGTCACTTAGATGCATCGTGATATGCGTGCCCCTCTGCTCGCGTGCCTTTTGTTATTTGTCAAACACCAGCTCGGAGAGTCGCATTTTAGAGGCTTAAGAAAATCCCCTGTTCTTGCGTGGGTTCATTTTTTGCACCGGACATAAGAATCCGCTCATTCACCCATGTAACGTTTGGGGGGTTGAGACTCTTTTTTTCTACTGATGTTAAGTGTAATTAGTTGAGCTTGGGCCGAGTTATTTAATCAATGGAGTGGGTGCCGCTGGCAGGCTCGGCTCTTGGTTTACGTTGTCGGAATTTGGTCGGAACCAAAACAAACCTCGTGCAGAAATTGTGTCTGCTGCATGGTCTAGAGTTCGTATTCTGCAAGGAACCACGGGGTTACGATGACACGCTATACTGTTGGAAAAAAAATTTTGTTAATAGTTATTGGCCGATATTCTGTTGTAAAAACTGAGTCGCCCAGATCTGGACAGATAGGATCGCTGATCATCCTAGTAGGCGCAATGTCCAATCAAAATCATAGAGATCAGAGGTCGCATGACTGCCCAAGACCACTGTTCATCAATTCACTTTTTAACAATGTTTTAATTGCCGGATAGAACTAATTTGTATTTGCTTTCATCAACTTGCCACAGTTGCTCATTGTAAATGCATTACCAGTGACTATTGCCGGAAACAATTGCCCCTGTGCATCATGTGGCTTAGGGTGATGGGCAACAGCTGATTATCGGAGGAGAAAAGGCCTGCCGATCTAAATGTTGACTTTATTTATCTCTTTCGGAGTAAATCTATCCCTCCGATGTCTTACCAGGATTACTCTTTGACTGATGTATTTTTAATGAGCTGCAGGGAGGGCTTATGGACGCTTTCTGGCTTTAGTCGAACCCTTATACTGTGAATTATAGAAGTAATTGTTTTAAACTGGAACCTATTTTGTCGACACTTTTTTCTCGTTAACGCGAGTGCTTGAGACGCATGCGTTTTGTACAACGTGCCGTTTTATAATTTGTACCACGAGATGTGTTTTAGGGCCACAAAAATACAGGATTTGGGATGCAAACTGGATTCCCATGAAGCAGACTGTATCGGTAAAAAAATTCCCCTTTAATTTCCCCACAGCACGCGCGCATTCCCAATCTCCAAACAGCCGTGGGCAAAACCAAAGTGAAGCTGCTGCGCGGAGTAATAAGAGAAGCAATATCACACAGCAGGGCTACTTACGCTGACATTAACGCTGTTGGAGAATTGACGAGTGGAGGCTGCTGTTGATTGCTTCACTGGGACATCACAGGGCAATTAAAGCGAGTGAATACTTAGAATGGCGTAACAAATGACTTCATAAACTAACCATCGTTAGCATGGAAGTAGACAAAATAATGCTTTGGCAGTGGTGAAAAAAGTATTGCCATAGTCAGCATCAACCCTGCCTTTTAATTACATTGGGGACGGAGCAGAGGCATCGGAATTTATGCACTGCCCGAAAAACCTGGAAACCCGAGTTTGATTCCTGGCCACGGCTAACATCAGTGAGGAAGTGATAACTGAATTCGTTCTGGTTCCACCTCCACCAAACCCGCACTGACCAGCATGAAGTATGGTTCAAACAAGCCCCATGATCAACACATCGTGGCGAGGCCTTCATCCAGCAGGGCTTAAAATTATCGTCTGGCGTATGTAGCGTTAATGACAGACGCATGTAATGTATAGTATGATGTATTAGGCAACGGCCTTTACTCTCTTTTGAAGGGAAGAGCCATTGCCCCAAAGCATCCGGCCTAGTGTACTTGTTGCCATAATTAGCATGGTAATGTTGAAGTACGTCCAACAACATTACTCATCAAACTGTATATACATTACATTGATGCAGCACAACTAAGCCCCCTTCATTGTCAACTTTCCCGGAGTTATGCCTGAGCGAAGGCTACGTTATATGTCTATCCTGCACACAGCTGGTGGAAATAAGGTCGGGGACTGCAAGAAACGACGCTCCAAGTTTCTGCCAACGTGTCCGTCCAATGTGTCCGTCCAACGGTGCGATACCCCAGTCGACACTGTCGGGAGGACACATTTGACACAGTCGTCATTTCGTCTCAACACGCGCCTCCTTGCCACACAGCACATTTGGAGGCGCTCGAACGGGGAATTTGAGATCAATACTCGGCGAGGAAGTTACTGCAGACAAATATGTTCACAAACAACACAGTTGAGGCAATATGTGTATATAATATACACAACAGAGAAAACAAAAACGCAAATACAAAAGTATTATCAGTGACTAGTGCGGAGCGTTTGATGGCTCCCTCTGATGTAGGTCAGCAGCCAAAAGTATTGAAGAGACTGGGTGGCACGAATGCATTTCATTAATCTGCCTTCTTACATCCTCATCGTTACACTGCCTTTGCAAAGCTTTGGAATTATTTGTTACATTTTACATACAGTATACAACAAAAACTGCAGATGTGCTGATGTTTGTTTATACAAATTGCTTTCAGGTGCTTGGTTTGGTTTTCTTAATTGCAGACGTTTAGGCCTAATTGAGGTATTTACATCATTATCTGGTATCGCCCAACAACTGGTTCATTTTTGGACGATTCCAAGATTGGCAGTGGTCATTCATGATGCAGTGACCTACAAGGGTGACAGCTTACGAAAGAAATGTTTTGATTTGTATCGGAATTACGGTGTTTATTTTTCCTCATTTTGTTCGTGGCAATTAAACAACATTTGCTATTTGTGTGTAAAAGTGACGTGAACTATCCATATGCATAGCATCGTAATAAGTGCTTTGTGGTGAGAGGTGGGAATGCTGTGAGCCCATGATGACCTAACCAGGTAGTCTGCTAATTTGTATATGTGGTAATGGAGCAATTGCTTCAAATGTAGATCATTTGGAGGGCTCATGCCTACGGACTGTTTATACATTAGTAAAAATTACGACACTGTATAAAATAAAGACCAGAAGGCATGAATAGACGGGGCTGTGCCTTATCTTGCTGCGCTACCTTTGTCGCCGGCTGGTGAGGTCTGCTATAGAGGTGGATGTTGAGGGTGGTTGTGGTCGCTATCTGGGAGACATTTCGACGAGTGCACCTCTACCATTCTCGCCGTTTCATTGCACCCACACTGCGTTCAATCACTAACACTGCAGATCAAAACACTCCTCTTTCTTCTTATTCCCTCGCATTGTTCGACTTTGCAATTCCGCCCCCCTTTGCCCGGCGCTCAGCAACTGTTTTAAAAAAAAGTAAGTTAAGCATACGGTACTTGCAGACTAGATGTTCCAACATTTGGAATACCAAAGTGTAATGCATGTCAATGCATTGTTTTGCTGTACTATACTTCTTTGCTCCCACGTATTAGCACCACACCTTCACCAACCTGCACTCGACCGTGTGGCGATGGTCAAACAACCTCCACGATCTGCACGGCATCGGAAGGCCCTCATCCAGCAGTGGATTGACAAAGAGCTGTACATGTACATACACGTCTCTACCATCAGCACATTGATCTTGCATCCAGGGGGAAATTTGTCGCACCCCATTCAAGTTTTCAATTTCGATGATCGATACAATATTACATACCCGTTTCATCATCTCGCATATATGTTCAAGGTAGCGTGTCACATGTATGCCAACATTGTAATCGTGCATGTCCAAACACGGCCGTCATCTTCGTGTGGTGACTACTCAGGTGATTCCTTCCCCGACATCATCTCTCAATCCACCATGTACGGAGTACGAAGGCCAGGAGCCACTGAAGCTCAAACCTCCTCCTGGTTTGTCCCAGATTCGCGAAGCATGTCCCGGTGTCCAGGAGCAACTGTGTCAGAAAACACAATAATCAGAAATTGGTCCTGGTTTACGATGTTCTGGACTCACGATTCGGGGTAAGGTCAGGGCTTTTGAGTAGTGGGCAGAACTGTTGCAAAACTTGGCTTGCGTCGCTTAATTTGGAGAGTTTTTGGGTTTATTTTGCAACAAAATGTTCAAGTATCCTACGACAATGTTGAATACTCGGTGAATTATCTACTTTACTTCGCTTAAAATTATTTGGTAATGCTGCGTTGACAGTGGTGCACAGGCAATGAGTGTGCTATGAATCAGGGTCAATGTCCGAAACATCGCCAATTATACATTTCTCGCCGAACACGCGTTTATTTAAGACTTTAGGGCTATCTAGCGACATCTAGCGACTATCCGCTGTAAGAAGTTGGCAACACTGGAACTTGCTAGGGAAGGCCCCTAATCCATAATAAAGGTTTTTTGTTTTTTCGGTGAGATCGCGTAAATGTGTCGTTAAACCCGCCACCACCCGACACAGCCAATTAGAAAGGTTTGCCACGTAAACAGAACATGCCGATGCGTTACTAGTACTTTCATTTCATTTCTTTTTCATGTATTAGGTATATAGCCCTGTGAGCCATGCGGCTCTTGACTCGGTTGCAACCGCAACAAACAAAAACGTGAACAAGAAACATCTTAAAGTGACTACGCGCAAAAGAAAAATCCAGGAAAAAACATGAAAGTCTTACAGAAAAAACACCGTATATAAATGCTGTGCAAAAATCCCAGTGGGATGCAAGTCAAACAATAACCATAAGACAATTTAAAGTTATCAGTTCAGCACATCGGTGTGTTGGAGAGCAAATCCACAACATTTCCAATTGAGTACGACGTTTCGCCAGTAATTACAACTACAGTAGCTTCATTATGCGTTAAAGGGCCCTAATGTCTGTGCAAAGAGCCACGCTTACCCTGTGACCAATTAGAAGATTGTCAGGCTACCCCCTCTCCTCGTGCACTTATAATTATTATTAGAGGGTTAAAGACACTTCGACTGACACGCACATCCGATATTCATCACGGTTGGCTACGCACGGCGCGAATGGAGTTCAACGTAAATCCATACAAGATACTTGACCATCGATCTCAATGCAATATTGATTGTTATTTTTATGTGTGTGTAAACCCATTTATTACTAAATCCAGACTTCTCACGTGGTTGGCTGCTCTCTTAAAATGTCACGTGGAGGAGGGCTCGGGGTGCCTTGAAGCCTAACCCAAGGTATGCTCATTGTAAAATCTAAACTACTGTAAGAAATTAAGACAATTACATGAAGGTAGCGAAAGCATACATGTTAAAGCGCCCTTAAACAATGGTTAACAGGGCGCTATTAACCATTCTTACCGCTATAACATGGTATAAAAGTCTCCTAGGCCAAGAGTACAACGTGTACAATGCAGTACTCTACATGAAATGTTTATTTAAAATGTACACAATGTTAAACATTGCTTTATTATATTTTATTCCTCTGCTTAAGTGGCTTGACCTTCAGAAGAATAATAAAAGTCCTCACGGACTGTTCGCGACGTTGCACCGTCGCGAAACGTCGCGTTTAGAGTCGCGACGTTGCAATCGGGGCCGTAAATGAGGTCCTGTGCCGTAAAGCGATCGGCCGTGGCCTCGCGTAGCCGTCGTAAATTCGGGTGGCAAATCTTATTGTCGTAAACCGGATGTAATATTTCCGAAACTTAAAATTAAATTGTTTTACTAACATTTAAAAACGCGTGAAAGCAGCACTTGGTTGAATAATAACGTTTCACAAATGTTATGCGCTCAAAAATTTAATTTATAAAAAAAAATCCGTACGGAGTGTGATGATGATGGTGAGATGCAGAAACTCACAGTGCGCAAATACCTGGCGGAGATCTTGATCTGACGAGATCTCCGTTCTGTGTCTCCACATACACAGAGAAATAAAAATAACACATGTTTCCAGACCAATATTATCCATAAGCGTGTGTTCAAGCAAGCAAAGTTGCCCTTCTGCTCCTCATGGGTGCTGTGGCATAAGTCACCGTGGTAACGCGATGCTGCTCCAGTCTCAAGGGAGATCCCTGCAGGATATTGGCGTCATCTTATTTACGCAACAGCACTCGGAATTCTGAGGGATAACGTCGATTCGACGTTCGCGAGACGATGTTCAATTAACGAGGTTCGTCTTCGCACGGGACCCGTCTCTGACACTCGCTCAACAGGCGGTGAGTGTCACCCTCGCTCCGAAGCGCTTCCCGTGACTCGCAGAGCGCGCACCGGGGTGTGCGTGTTAAAAAGCGACGATTGTTTTAATCGATCGTAACAACAGTCCCGTACAGCGTCGATATAATCGTGTTTTTTTATTGTAAATTTAGCTGAGGCGGCGGGGGGGGGAGCGGTGTGCGGTGTGAGGCCGCCCGCAGCTCTGGCGGCGGTCGCGGCCTGGCGCAGGCTGCGGGCGCTCCCGATTCGTCTTCCACATCTCGCGCAGTGCCCTCGTAGTAAAACAACGAGGACGGCGAGAGTCCTTTAACAGCGATGTTTAAGCGATACAAACGCGCGACAGGGAGTCTACATCGCAGCGTGCTGCGTGTCTAACGCGTGGGAGATTTACGCGCGCAGCGTTTGCGTTGACAGCGATCACACAGACTCCTCGTACAGTGTGCTTATTTAAGAGGTACGCGTTAAACTATCGACTACAGTGCTTACATTCTGTTTATTTCATTTAAAATACATGACGCGTTTAACGCATATACAGTTTCATTAACACGAACCCACAGCGGCTATATGCAAGCGGTTTACTGAATGCTAACACGCGTTGTGTTCTGTATTCGTCGTGCTTACCGCACAATGGTTAACAATCGCGTACATGCTTAGTGCTTAACGCAAAACATTCTACACATTGAGTGTTAAACAGTGTGTTTAAACAGTGCGTTTAACACAGAAACGGTGGGTAATGATTAACACAGACGACGTTGATATAACACATCGGGGCATGTACTGACGGTGTTTACTATTGTACACAATGTGTAACACAAACACAGGACGTCACATAAAGTGTTGAGCATTTTAACAACAAACGAAACTGTGTGCGCAGAGTTGGAACACAATGGAGTGCCCGTACAGAAGATCTGCACGCGGTGAGTCGACACAGATCGCTGTGACATGCCCATGGAGCTGTTGTGTGTCCCCCACACATAATTATATTATCAGCCTTGCACACATCAACCACACAGCTCACTACAGCCAGATTCACCGCTCGCATTCACTGCTCACGAGAGCTATTTTTTCAGAGGCAACCTGGCCACACCTGATGGCCCATCGGAGTGGATGATCATGTCAGGGAATTTATCGTAGCCGAAGAACCCAAACGTCAGGCTTAGTTCACCAAGCCACAGTCATCACTGACATCACTTCGTGAAATTTAGCTCCTTTAATCACCACAGCCATCAGTCTCAAAGCTGTCGAGAGCCAGATTTATGATCAATGATAGATATCACGCGCAGCGCACTGACGCGAGTCTTGCAGCTTACTGTCATCAGATTTTTATTTGTAATTTTAGGACGTTTATTGTTATACGTACAGACTCGAGTATATCGTGGCAAAAATGTCAACTTACTATCCATTAAAAAACATTTTAATTTTCAATGGTCAGGCAGGACTGCCTTATTTATATGAGATGTCCATATTAAAACTGGATGTACGAGCCAGGAGTACAAGTCATTAGGGGGGCATCCAGTGCTTGTTGATGAGTTGAGTTTACATCGTTATATTGTGCCGTTCGGATGTATTTACTGGTGTTTTGTGTTGCGTTGTATATGTCAAGGGTCCTCGCGCGACACGATGAGTGTCCCGCAACTTTTCGAAGACCTGTGCACGGCGCACATGGTGGCAAACTTCAGGAGGCCCCTCACCGAAAGAACGATGCCCAACTGGGAAGCCGTGAAGTCGAAGTTGAAAAAGTCGGCGTACACCGCTTTGTTCAGGAACGTCTTGAGTGGCGAAGGAGGACCGCGCCAGGAGACGGTGGCATCCGAGGAGCGCTCGCCAACCGTGAAGACCAGGTTGCTCATGGTGTCCTTTGACATGCGGGTGAGAGGAAGAGGCGGCGAAGCCGACCGCCTCGAAGAACTCGGGCAGCAGCTGGAAGACCTGGCGGACGATGGCGTCAGCGCGGCCGTGGTGTTTCTCCTGGAGCTCGTCGACTCGGGAGGCACGCTTCGCAGCTGCGGAATCGTTCCAAAGCGTTACGGAGATGACGCTGCGCCCAGCAGAGTGTTCAGGTTCAAGGGGTATCAGTGCTGTGACCTCAACTACTTCGAAGCTGATTGCCTTGCGCAAAACACGTTGAGAGATCCTCTGTTCGAAGATGAAATCGAGAGGAACATGCAGCTTTTCACATCCACTCCTGGAAGTGGTCTCGCAGGAATAGGGTTGTTTAAACAGAACACGTTAGTTTGTAATGAGTACGAGAAGCAGACACATCTGTCCTTGTTTGGGGCACTGGTTCATACTAAAACAATGGACATGGACATCAAGCTTGATCTGCCATCCATCCCTGACAATGTGAATATTACTGGCTTGTCCATCAAGGTGAATATACTGCTATTAGAAAAAGTTTTTTTTTAAGTTTTTAGCTTTCATTTATGTTTAAGATTATACTTTTAAATCAATCTTAAGATCGGGATGAGAGCAGCTGGGTGTCACGTCCTCATATGCATGGACTTCTACTCACGTCACTCATTAATGGTAATGGACAAGCATCTCATTGCAGCGACCTCTTGACAAAGAGTCTTCAGACTCAGGCTTTCCTGGGTAAATAATTGGAATTATTATACAAATAATAAAAACCATAGCATATAAGACTGGATTCAAATAAATGCAGTATATCTTTCATGACGACATATTTTATTGTGGAATACGAATCCGTTTACAGGCCCAAATAGGGTAACCTGTCTGTGTACCGCAACCCCAAGTAGATATAGTCTGCCTGGTGGCGAATTTAACCTTGATTTTAGCATCACATACTTCACCATGCTGCGTGTGCTGTAGGTTCCAAGTGCGTATGACCTCTCTGATGACGAGGGCTTCCAGTCGGCCTCCAACCTCACTCCGGACTCGCAGGTGGAGAGCCACCTGCCAAACCTTTGGGAAGCTGCTCTCACCCACACGGCGTGCAAAAACAGAACATGGGAGTGGATTGGCTGGTAAGTGAAATAAAACTAAATGGGGAAAAAAGTATGATTTTATCCAAAGGAATGCGGCCTTGGGTTCATGATGACTTTGGTGTAAATGTTATGCCCCAGAACTGGAAGTCTGTGTACAAAAGTGCTACATAGCTCATCGGATTCCTCCAGTCTATATAAAGATTCTGATTCTGACTTGACACGATAATAAGGGAACAATAAGTCATCTTGCATGAGCAAATATACATTACTGCTTGTATGGGTCTTCCAGATTTCACCACTTGAACAGTTTACAGTATATCCAGACTTCAGTTTAGATTTTGATGTTTATTAATTCCTTTGCATGACAAAACTTTTAATGTAAACATTCATTAAACAAATTTGACTGACTCCTGCAGGCACTGTACCAAAGAGCAAGATGTGGTTTATTAGAGCTTTATTTGCTCATAGGAAAACAAGGGTATTTATTATACATGTGGAGTGAGAAAGGAAGAGCATGGTGCTGGGAAATATGTCAGTAATTGATCAAGACATGGATAGAATGTGTCAGCCATAGCAGAGAAGATGAGGAAGGTTGTAAGCCTGGATCTCATCAGTGCCAGCTCAGTGCCATGACCGCCGAGCCACCCAACCAATTCCACAAATTGTATTGTAATTGTTTCTATGTCGACTCTGTCTGTGCGACACTGGTGGTGTAGCAATGTGCGTGTTGTTCACTTTGCCCAGCGGTCCACGGAAGAGCGAGAAGCCGTTTGTGACGGAGGCGGGGAGCGCGGTGTTTGACCGCGTGTGCAGCGTGCGCCGTGCGGAGGCGCACCTCCTGCGGGGCACGACGCCGACTCCGACGTCCCTCGTGCCATCCCCTCGCCTCATCCAGGATTCTCTCAACGTGCTGCTGGGCGTCGTCTCCAGGACCTTTTCTTTTCACCACGTACGTGTTTGACGTATTGAAATAGACGCCGCAGATTTTAACTATGTCCTTTTTTTTACAAACCCCTAAAAAAGCCGAGGTTACTGGTAACGGGAGCGCCACGCGACTTCTCCGTCGGGGTACAGGGCCAGCAGGCGTTCGTGGTACGTGACGGGGTGGCGATGTCGGGACTGTCCACGGAGAGCCTGCACGCGCTGCTGGGCACGCTGGCCGAGTGCGGGACACTCTACTGGAGGCTCTGCAGCTTCACGGGGCTGTCCTGCCGGGAAGCCGGCCAGCACCGCGGCTTCATCTTTCAGGTTAAACATCAAACTGGGCGAGTCACACGTCACATCATAAAGCTCGACTTGACTGCTTGAAGAATAAGGCTACCAAATCTCCCAGTCTTGATTTCTTAAAGGCCCTCTCATTGTCTTCAAGACTGCCTCAGGTTTAACGTTTTATTGCCTCGTGCTTGCACCTCTGATTAGCACAGTTGGCTACGTACAGTGCGAAAGTAGTTCATACATGACATGGACAAAAGGTTGAGCTGTACGGTTAGGGTTCCGGGTTGACAGAGGAATGGGTGGGACCTATGGACTGATACTAATTATATGTTTTTTAAACTATTGTAATTTAAAACTTTATGGAACTGGTGTAGTTTAAAATTGCAGCGTTTAGAAAGCTTGTCGGTGATAGTTTGCAACTGTTTCCAAGTGAGACGCCGCAGAGGTGTTGGAACGTGCCTCGTGTGGCCGCCTCTGGGCGTGCAGGCATTTGTGAGCGGCATCAGGAGGTACCTGCAGTACTACAAGGCATGTGTGCTGTCGGCGCCACCCTCGCACAGCCTGCTGTCTCTGTCGCACGCCTTCCGACAGCTGACGCAGCAGCTTCGGTTCGTACTGCCTCCTCCTCCTCCCCCGTGTCGTTAAAAATGCCGAGAACTTTGCGTTGTTAGTTTCTATTGTTCAATCAGTTTTGGAATGTGTGTATGTACACAAATGCCATTTAGCAGTCATTTGATTTAAAAATAGTTTTTTTTTATCAATTAAGAAAGAATCGGCTATAACCAAATTACCCAGAATATGACCTATTCTATTAAACCTAAGGAGCCAAGCAGGCTTTGGCCTGGATAGTATTTGTACGGGCGGCCACAATTAAAAACGTGTCAAAGTGTGAGGCTACATGGTGAGCAACAGAGGGCAGTGCAGCAAACTCCATTGTTGCAGTGTTAGGATGCTCCTGGCACGTCTGTGCTTCCCTCCTTCAGCAAACCCACACTGACCAGGGTAGTGTGGAAAGACTGTCATCCAGCAGTGGATTGGAAAAGGTCTGTTTGTCAACATGTACAAAGAGGAGTGACGTATCGCTTGGTGTTTTACAATTCAGTTAGTTTTCAACACGATTAAGGTAAATTCCTCTGAACACAGCTACCAGCTTTTTTTTTAGGTGTTTTTGAGACGTATCTATACAAATGTAATACACATCTTTGATCATTATAATTGTAATGTACGGCTTGGACATTTGTAGGCTAAACATGGAAGTGGAAATGTACGCTTCGTTCACTTTTTTTTAAAGGTACATGAATGAGCTGTGCAGAATTCACACAGATGATTCAAGAAATGGCACCCTTTTCGACAACTGTCCAACTGTAAGTAGTTTCACTTAAAATATATTTAAAAGTCACAAATTGTTTGTGAGCTACAAGTTTGTCGGAATGGCAGACATGAAGATGTAGGATGCCTGGGGGAGAGGCTGACCATGCTTTGCATGTTGCAGGGGGTGCAGCTGTTGTCATACCTCTACAAGGAGGCCCTCTGTTGCTGTGATCAAGGAAATTACTACGTTGTTCTGTCACTACTGAGGAGCTCTTGTGAACCATACACCAGGTGAGCATTAAACACCGACTTCCTGGCGGTCTGCACTCTACTACCTAACACGTGCCTGGAACAATGTGCAACCATTTAGTGGTTATTCGTTATTCAGGGTAGAATAATTAATTCACCGGGACTCGTTCAGATATTACTCGCCACCATTGTTAGCCATGGCCAGGAGTTGAACTCGGATCGCGGGAATCATAGCCCAATATACGAACTGCAGCACTCTAACTCTATGCCTGGTAATAGGCAGAGCAGTGCTGTTGCTTGAATGTTGAATATGAACAGCGATTGTTATATCCTCTCAGGTTTATCCAAGAGTGGGTTTACAGCGGCCTCTGCAGAGATGTTTACGGAGAATTCATGATCCGTATGAATGAAGACTACCTCCTGTCTCGAGGTAATTGTTCATGGCAGCACACATTTATTAACACGGCTTTAATTTCGTTATATTATGACAACATAGAGGACTCTTAGTCCCAGACTTGTCATTTATATTCACATAATTTTTTTTCAACATTGTCCTGAAAATACGTCACACTTATGAATACAATGAAAAGTGAAAGTGCCTCCCTGCTTGGTTCTTGTTGCTATTGGTGGGCATAAGCCAGTTGTTTGACAATTCAACATGCCCATGGAATGACCGAGTATATTCATAAGATAGCCACGGTTGAGTTTCCACAAAGTGGGACTTCATTAATATCTGAGGGATGAGTCAACCCAGAAGCAGGATTTGAACTTATAACTTCCCACATATGATGCACACAGTCTAGCCACAGCACCAACCATGCGTGTATTAACATAACACTCGTATTATTAAAAACACACCTTTGGAACATAGTTAATCGTATTGGTCATTCAGATTTGTAATGCTTTTGATGGATGTGGGCCCATAAATTCCAGGTTATATGGATCTGATTTGAAATCACTGTTGTATTATAGAACCTTTGTTCCAAACGTTTTCATTGCTGCTGTCTACTTTATTAACTTAAATGCTGTGAGTTTACTCTCCAACACACCGGTGTGCTGACCTAGTAACTAATTGGCATGTTTTGTTTACGTGATAAACCATACTAATTGGCTGTGGTGGGTGTTGTGGCGGGTGTAACGTTACATTTATATGTACGTGTTCTTACCCAAAACACCTCTTATGGATAATATTGGTCCCGAAAGTCTACGTGTTAAACTACGTGACCTTTCTTTTTGAGGAAATTGGTTATGCTGTTTCTTAAACTATCTATTGCAAATCCAACAGGACTCAGTGCTTATAGTTTTGTTTCTCAGACCCGCTCTCTGTGTGCTTGACAACTGATGTTTTGTCCAGACAAGCACTACTGGGGTCAGGGATACGTGCTGGCCCCTGTGCAAGCAGATGAGAGGGTTCCCTTCTTCCTGGGCAGCCTGGCTGACGACATTTACGTGTGCGGAAAAACCATCAACCTCCTTCGCCTCTGCCAGCCGCAGGTAATCCAATCCACCTTAAATATATTAAACACTCTTGTTTACTGTGCAGTTATACCTATACATTATTGAACAGTTTACATTATCACCCTTGAAAAAAGAGTTGTTTAATTCAAATGGCCTTGCCTGCCTCTAAAATCTGAGTCTTAATTATCCTTGGGCAGATTATATAGTTTGTGGATTAACCGTGCTTGTAAAAATAATATTTATATGCCCCCCTGATCAATTATTAGCTGATCCTCACTCTTCGAGGGTCAGTGACTCTGCCAATTTGATTGCAAGCATGTTGATAGGTAAACTCATCACTTTATGAAGAAATTAAACCAGACGACACTTTTGATGCCTTCACTCACATTCTACGTAGATATAAATTCAGTGGAAGAGATGTAGAATAAACCCAATATCTAAGCCACAATATTGCAGATAGGAATAATGTGGCTAGAAATATTACAAGGATGATGAATGTATGAGTTTGTCTGCACAAAAAATGTATTCTTGGGTAGCATGGTGACAAAAGGAACTATTATTTCTATACTCTTTGGTTCTTTCGGTAAAGTCACGTAGGTAGAAATAAAATAAAACAAATCACGACGTTTCGATGGCAACACAAGCAATCTTCATCAGGTGGAACAACCACAGCAAGAAAGTGGGCGGGGCCAGAAGTGGGAAGCTGAGTGTCCCACACTCAGCTTCCCACACTCAGCTTCCCACTTCTGGCCCCGCCCACTTCCCCCAGCCTCACTTCTCCCCCTCGCGGTCACGCAGCCCCCCCTCGCGCTGCCCCACACCCCCCCTCTCTCTCTCCCCCCTTGCCTCCTCCCCCCTCTCTTACCTATATAACCTCTTGCCACGACAGCTCTCTGGCCTACTTCAGCATTTTCTTGCTGTGGTTGTTCCACCTGATGAAGATTGCTTGTGTTGCGATCGATACGTCGTGATTTGTGTATATTTTATTTATACCTATGTGACTTTACCGAAAGAACCAAAGAGTATGGATTCCTGCAGTCGCGATAGCTTCAAATCAAGATTGAACTATTATTATTTTTATAGACGTTTGTAGCATTTGGCTACTTTTGCCTTTTCACGCGTGCATTACAGAACTACGTGTGCTGCGCTGACGTCGCTGTGCCGCAAATATCGGTGACGTTCTCCCTGGCGGAGTTGGTGGAGATCGAGCGGAGCTGCACCGACTACACGAGCAGCATGGAGCGCATTGCATGGGAGAGGCGAGTTGCCCGTGCGCAGCAGGTAATGGGACAAAGTGGTCGGAAGGGAAACGCAAGCAGCTGGTGTTGGAGTCGATGACCCTGTTGTAGCTTTCGTGAAAGCATGCGGTGTGTGACGCTCATCTTGGTGTTTTAACGTTTCAGGAGGAGCGAGCCGCAGTTGCACGGGGGGAACTGGCGTTGCAGGTCTACCGCACCATGGACAATGCCCTGGGGATTGCCAAGGGTAATACATACCTCCCATTGCAATGAAGACAGACATTATCATCATCGACCACGATCAATCCACCACGCGCGTACTCGTACAACACATTTTCAGCAAGGGACAGTGTAGGAATATATATTGTCTATTCAATGCTCCAATGTCTTTGTGCCCTATCTAAATAACCTACGCTGACCAGCTTGTATGATGTATGGTCATTTAACCCCCACGACCTGCAAGACACGGGGAGGCTGTCATCCGAAAGTCTATTAACAAAAGGGCTTTACATGCGCATTAATCTGGTAATGTAAAGCGCTATTCTAGCCAAGTCATGTTGCATCGCTACGAACCAGCCATGGTTTCCGTTACATCTTATCCTACCACAGGACACCAGATGGCGCAAGCGAAGGCATTCCGAGACGCCAAGAAACGGGTTTTTCAGGAGCTACAGGACCAGTACAACAGGAGCGTGCAGGTAAAACGGTCTCCCCCAGCTATCGAGACTCGACACACCGACGTTGAATACTGCACAGTGTTGTAAGCACTGACGCCCAGTCGATGTTATCGTTCAGTTTGAGGCATTTACGATGCCACAGGATAATTCCTCATGTGTTTACACGACCATGTATTCACAGTCGTGGTATTATAGATCGTTTCATAATAAAGGTTTTTGGGTTAGATCGCGTCAGTATAAATGTGTCGTAACCCTCCACCACCCGACACAGTCAGTAAGGTTTGTCACGTAAACAACGCACCAATTAAACCTTACTGGCTGTGTCGGGTGGTGGAGGGTTACGACACATTTATACTGACGCGATCTAACCCAAAAACATTTATTATGAATAATATTGGTTGCGAAATCCTACGTGTTAAACTATAGTTTGTTTTTTCAAGGAGGCCTGCTGCTTTACATGTATTCGTGTGAGAAGATGCTTTTTTCTGTTCCAAAAAAAATGCGATAGCTGTTCTATTATTAAACTTTCCGAATCCAACCACATGTGAGTGGAAAAAGCAGAGCGTTGTGCCAAGATGTTTTTTTGCGTTGAGTGAAATCCTGGGCAATTCCAATATATGTTACCGTGGCAAAAACAAATAGATAATTTTCTAAAATGGAACAATAAAATTGTTTAGATACAGTTGCAGTGAACATACAAACCATAAATACATTAACAAGATAGCAATAATGTCCACTTTATTCTGCTATAACAGACATGAGTAATATGTTTTTGGAATCACCCTCCCCAATCTTGGCACAGGATGTTAGCTATAAGCCTCGAACTGAAAACATATCCATGCTGACTGATGTCATATTTCCATTTATCAAACAGTATCGTTCTGCATGGATTCTCACGCGTGCATTGTGTTTAAACATTTACAGAGTATTGCAAGTTCACGATAATCTCATTCTGATGTGTTTATTTTAGAAGCAGCAGACAGACAAGGAAAACAAGGTCACGGAAGATGCTGCATTGAGGAAAGAAATGCTTGCTCAGCATGAACTGCTTGGTGCTGAAGAGGGGATGTTGAAGAATCAGGCCAGGTTTGTGGAGCTTGAAAAACCCTCTCCCATCCGTCAGTGACCGCTCCGATCGACGACCAATTTGTGTCAGCACTTCTGCTCATGATATTCCCCACGACGAACTGGGTCTACTCCGTAGTGTCATCCCCCCCCATCCTACTACCACGTCCGTCTTCGTCTTCCGCTTTTCCTTCGATATTTCCAAGGGGGCGGCGTTCTTTGCTGCTCTAGGGCTCCCTGTGAGTCGCCTCCACAAACACTCGTCCAGTAATTCCCCGATTTACGTGACTCCCTGTTACGTCGTTTCACAAATACGCCCGCACTTTATTAGTACCGCGACCTGATTTGCGTCGCCTCAACCCCACACTTAAGTCGCTGACAGCATCGTCCAGCCTTTCTCGGATCCGTCGCCGTGGCTTTCGCCTCCACCACATACCCTGTAAATCGCTTTGATTGACATTTCGATATTCGTCACCGCACCTTTCAGGAACGCATCCCCAACTTAAGCAGGAGTCTTACTTTCATAGAGTTATATTTTACATTGCAGCATTAGCTTGTTGCAGATTATGCGTGAAAGTTGATCTAATTTGTTTTAGGATGCTCTGCGTAGATGGTGACTCCCAACAATACTTATTTGAATGTTTAAACTCTTTCTGATAGGAAAATACAATTTGTCTTTAGAGTGCAGTCTTAAATGTCACAGTAAAGCATATGGAACAAATAATTTTAAAATGTATACAGTTGGAGAAACATAATAGGGGGAAATAAGCCTCAACAGATGTTTCAAAGTTCAGCCCTAAAGAACTGTCGGCAATTTATTCCTGCTATCTCAACTAGAATCAGTTCCACCCCTAGTTGAAGAGGGCATTACATATTTCTCTGATCTGGATCATGCCAAGTTCCTTTTTTTTAACTAAAGACTTTCTATTAAAAAAAAGTGGCCTGTGTGGGGCAGTTTGCAAAGTGCTGTAGGTTTAAATGGGGCCCGTTTTCCTCCTGGAGGTTAATCGTAGGTAAGGATTCATGTGTGTGCGAACGTGCTTGTATTTGGGGAGCGGTAGTGTCGCGGTTAGCGAGCTACGCTACAAACCCAGCGACCCGAGTTCGATTCCCGGCCACGGCCAACACCAGTTATGATTATCTGGGCCTCCCCGAGGTCGACTCAGCCTCAGATCAATACCTGGTGCGGTGTGTAAACATCGCCCCTTGGGAGACAAAGGCGGCCTGGTGTGGTGCTGGCCACCCGCTCCCTCGTGTGCCATGCCGGCCTTCATAGGTGCTGCTCCTCAATAACATCGCTTGCCCCAACAGTCTGTTAAAGGCTATACGGGGGGTGGGGGGGGGGGGGTTGTGTTTGGGTGCACATCTAGAGAGGAGTTGGTGGCGCTCTACGGAAAGCTGTACGCGGAGGCGAGGAAGCGCGAGCACAGGGCGCAGTGGAGAGGGCGCAGGCTCCAACTTCACGACACCCGCATGGCCTTCCTGGAGCACCAGCGTGCCGCACTGCAGGTCAGCCTGCTGCATGCGCCAAACTACGTGCACGCAGCCGCAAAGTCATTTTATATGTTGTCGAAAGGAAAATGGAAAAATAAATTTCCTCTCTTTTTAGGATGAACTGAAATTGGAAAATCGAACGGAGAGAAGTTCCGCACCGGTTGTGTCTGGGGGAGTGCAGCGCAGAGAAGTTGATTGTGGAGGTGGAATGGTGATAGATGCAGTCGCTGGAGAAAGAGTCGTTGAAAGTTTGGAGAGTCGAGACTTTGCCACGGAAGATGTGTTTCCTGGAGTGGTTGAAGCCGGGTGGTTGAAACCAACCACCACCTGTAGCCTTCTTGGAGAACATTCCAGAGATGCCGCGTCTGTAAGATGCATTTCTCCAACCATGTTCTATGCGGCGACCACTACATCCATTGCTGATCGAGTCCAGCCTTTGCGTAATGAACTGGAGACTGCAGTTACACACGTGACTGACATTACCGGTTCTCACGTGCAGGAAGCTCCTGACATTCCAAAATCGTTGATCCACTTATCTCCAATTACAGGGGAGTGTGATGTTGCCAATCCACAATCCGGTGAGCATGCGACACTCGTTCGTGTGCATGTAGAGACGACACACAAAGTGGTGGAAGCGCCGACGTCTCAAGAAACCGCTCGTGGACGCGACACCAAAGCCACCGTCCGAGTTGGAGAAGGGGCTGCAGAAGGTCACGCCACGGTGCCTGTGACGCATATTTACGGCCAAGTTTCCCAGTCGAGCATTAACTCATCTGGGGTTTTGGCGACATTGGAAATGATGCACATCCCGAAACGCAAACAGACGAACGCTCACGTGTCAGACTCAACGATAGGCAACATATTGAACCCGGGCATAGAAACCAGGGGTGACCAGATACGGCTGCAGATGATGGATGTTTTGAGAGTGAAGCGAAGCGAGGAACATCCATCTGAAGGTGAGCCCAGCATTTTTTGTGCATCCTGTGATAGTTGATCTCACCAGACCTTGGAATCTAGACAGTGCCTTGATTGGCGACCACCATTTACAGCAGGGGGTTATAGCTGCAGAGCTACATGGTGAGCAGTTGAGCAAAATCTATTGGACTGTAATCGATGCCCCCACACCTATGCTCCCTGCCTTCCCCATCCCGCACTGAGCAGCATGGTGAAGTATAGTCAAATAACCCCCATGACCCCCATTGTGTGTGGAGGCCCTGATCCATCAGTGGACTGACAATAAACTATCGTTTATATTGCAACACAACACGGCGATTTTTTTCCATGCTATAATTTCTGTTATAAAGTGATGAGTATTTGTTCTCGTACACGACAGCTCATGCAGTCCCTTGGTTTTTATTGATTGAAACAATAGCATACATGCTTTACATCTATATTGATTAACGGAGATTTGCGTTTCTTTTTAGTGAATTGCTTTTAATGTTTAATATGGATTGTAAGATGATATCACTTATGAAATAAAATGATTGTTTATTTTTTTGGCAGAAACACATTTGGTTGAATTGGACACAAACGGACCAGGAGATGTGGTGGCGGTTTTGTCATCTGGCGATGAGAGTTTGGTAATTTTACACCATTTTAAAGTTCCTCGTTAATCTTATCCTACATGTGCCTTATTAATCCTGTACGTGCCTTGCATGTTTGGCTTTGAGTGGGTTTGTCTACCGCTTACAGCAGGTAACGTTCGGGACTGTGTTGTTACAGGAGCCGGTGACACCCACCAGTCAACACCTGACATCGCCTGAATTGCTGCTCAGCCAGAACGTGGCGCAGCAGTTTGAGACGCTGGCGAACATGTACGAGGCAGACAAATACCAGGATGGCTTTCCCAGCATGTGTGAGTACACCAGCCAGGTGTCGACTGTGTTGTTCTGTAGGTAGCAGTGGCGTAGTGTGGTTGGCATGGGCCCTGATGTAAGGAATGAGATGGTGCCCCTCTGTACAATTCCCCCCCACCACCCCCCCTGGTGCCTGGGCCCCTCAGCTCCATGGGCCCCGGTGCACTTGCACGCCCTACACACTCGGTATCTACACCACTGTGCAGAAATGGGCTTCACAAATGTGACCTCTTAGACCTCCAGGTGTTTATTTTTTATATTCAAGGGTTGAGACCTGTGTAGTTACAAGGGGTGTAACAATGCGTTAATTGATTCAAATTGATTCTAAAGCTCATGATACATGCATCCATCTTGTGTGTAAGAATCAATATTTTTTTCTAATTCTTATATAAAAGCATCTGCCGCCACTGGGGGTCAGACTGTTCAATGCTGTTTAAAAATATATATTCTGGAGTAGAATCGCAACCGTGAATCACAAACATTCATCGAATCACCAGGGAAGGGTGAATTCTTCCACCCTCATTGCTAACCCAGCGGCTTTGTGTGTCCAACAGCGAGTCCACCAGTGGCTCACCTTCTGCAGGCCATGGGCCACCGCGAGAGCCACTCCCATGCCCCAGCTGAGCTGGCCACGGGCACCGCCACTGACCACACCGCCGTGACCGCCAGCCAGCGCCTTCCCTTGCCGGTCCTTGTGAAGAGGTCCATCATTTCACCTATATTGGCTCAGTAAGTATATTTATGAGTTATTATACAATGGGGTTGCCACTTTTGAATTTAACAAAATATGGATAAAGATCACGCAAAGAAATGTTGCCCTTCAAAGTTCCTCATCCATCATCAGGCACAATTAATCTGCTGCTTGGTGATTGTCGTCGCAATCTGTCGCGGTAATGAAATGTAACAATCCACTTGGTACCTGCACATGGGCTCATTTAATCTCTCCGTCTCCTTAGTGGATGTACTCTGGGGCTTCATTCCTCCTTTGACTGCCATTCCATCATTAGCCTCAACCACCGGCCATCATTCATTTAGCAAAGTAGCCTGCCAGAGGCCACTAACTCTTCAATTTAATATTTCTAATTTGCATATTTTCTCGAACCCATGCGTTACTTTCTGTCCTAGTGCAACTCCAAGCATCCACCTCTCCACTCTGCTATGGACATAATTCAGCTCACGTGAATGAATCAAAATAGGAAAAATGTCTCATTCCATTGTGTTCTCAATTTCCCATGCTTGCAATGTGTTGTGCTTGTGTGTTTCAGGATTTCAATTGTAAATAAAGCAATTGTAGAGTATTACATTGTAGACCTGAATGTGAAAACTCATTTTGAAGCATTGAAGCATTTTGTGTTGTTGGAAGATGGTGAATTTGCTCATTCCTTGAGTGAACAGCTGTTTGCAAAGGTAAGATTACCATAACTTAAAATGTTATAACGCATTAATATGGCTCCATTTGTTGTTTACTACTGCAATTTCAAGTTAATTTACACTTATAATTGTGACAAAAATCTAAAGGCAGTGCCCTATGTACAAGATATTGCCCTGCTATACGTGAACATTTGTTCTATTGATATTGTAATGCCTTAATGGCTGAAGAATAGGAGCCCTAAGCTCACAATACATGCCAGGGCAACTCGGTCTCATGTTACTTATAACCAGGAAAAGGTGTTGTGCAGCTTGCCAAGAGTGTGCAACCTGGCACTGCCTAGAATTGCTCGGGGGCGCAAGCACGGACGATACTGCTTGTAGCCAGGCCGGTGAGGGGAGTGTTATGTCTGCCAGGGGAACTCTCCTGTGTGTTTTTGGTGTTACCGCGTTTTGTTCAGCACGATCTCCGACGTTTCTCTCCACGTGCTAGTGGAGGCATCTTCGGAAACTGAATTAAATTGCCAAACAATACGCCGTGCAACCCAAAAACACATCGGAGAGTTATACAGCACAGCCACGAAAACTCATGCAGTGGCATTGCTGCCATCCTACCTGCAGCCAGACACACGTGTTGGTTGTGCAGTTTGTCACTGGGACTCACACTGCTTGGAGTAAGGATGGTGATTTTTTTTTATTTTATACCAGGGGGCACTTGCCCGGTACTACGTAACCACATTGGTTTGTTGTCCTGAACCTGCCAGTGGGCGCAAACCTTGGCACTTAGTGCAACCATGCCGGTGCGTTGTGTGTGCTCTTTGCCATGACGGCTTAGTCTCACTGCCTGTAGCCAGGCGGTTGGGGAGCGTGTTCCGTTTGCCAGGAGACGCGGTCCTTGGCACTTGCCTGTAACCATGCTCGCGTGTGCAGCTCGCCAGCGGGCCGAGTCCAGCGCAGCTGCTCAGCCCAATGCCCCTCAACGCCATACTTGGCAAAGCACTGCAGGAGAGTCAGCACGGGGACTCACTGCCCGTTGCCAGCCTCTCCCTGGCTGTCAAGCGGGTGCCCGACGTCTTCAAAGCAAATGACCCCGACGCACTCAATTGCCTGCAGCTCGGCTACAAGGTAAATGCACGCACGTGTATTTAGTCGCAGTTTAACAACGTAGACGTTCATTTATTTTAACAAAAATATCAACTGATACCGCTGAGATCCTGGGTTCGAATTCGGGCCAAACACCTGTGGTTGAACCGGGTTTTCAAGTGTAGTGAGTTCATGGTTTCAGCCCAATAACCAATGACTACACAAAAACCCATAACATTAAATGTAGTTTTGCACTTATTTGAACAATTCCATTTCGGAGAATCCTAATATATAAACACCCAGGTCTGTGATTCTGTCATTCTGTGACTAACGCGGCACGAATTGGTGGAAGTGCGTCACGTGACCGGGACCAAGCAGCCAACCAACGCTTGGCGGGGCTGTAGAGGGGCGGGTAAAAGTCCGCATCGAACCAAACCCCCAGCAATGCCATCTACTTAACGACGAGAGGAAATTCACACGAAATGTCGTTTTCAATTAAGTATTCCAGATGTAAAATGATATAAGCTTTTAAATAAGAAATACAATTATCTAATTTAAAACATAATACAATTCAAAATATCTTCTTGGTTCTTTCGGTAAAGTCACGTAGAATGAGAATAAAACAATAAAACAAAATAAGACAATAAAATTCTCACGACGTTTCGGCCACAACACAAGTAGCCTTCTTCAGGTGAAGGAACAGAACTGTCGTCCCGACAGGCCTGTTCCTTTCCCTGAAGAAGGCTACTTGTGTTGTGGCCGAAACGTCGTGATAATTTTATTGTCTTATTTTGTTTTATTGTTTTATTCTCATTCTACGTGACTTTACCGAAATAACTAAGAAGATGAATCCTTGCAGTCACGAAAGCTTTAAATCGAAATTGAAAATGTTTCATTTTAAAACTTCAAAACGGAGCATCGGGTGCTTGCGTTAATGTGTCGTTCGTGTGCAATTTTTGTCGTGACATTCCTGGCCGAAGGCCGTAAATGGTTGTGAGGGGCGCCATAGGCACCCCCAACAACCCCTAGTTAATATATTCGCTGTCATGCGATGAGCATTGTGGCGAAGTGCTGCCCCCCCTGTCTGAGGACCAGAAGTTCCTTGAAGAGATGTCAGAGGTAGCTCTATGATATCCACTTCCGTGTGGGCTGTTTTCTCACACTAAGTCTTGCACTCCTTTGCAAGAAATCCGAGTGGATTATTCTTTTCATGATGCGACATGATGCCGATAACACCATCGGGATAAAACTTGGGGGAAAGACCAAAAATATGTTAAGTTTAGAAAACTCATTGTGTTAGCTTCACAGAGGTATTCTGATATCATGAAGGGATACGCGTGATGCATGGATGTTGATGTAGAGTGCACTGTGCCTTTGATGTGTAGGTGGACTGGCCTCTTAACATAGTGATCACAGACAGCTGCTTGACCAAATACAACAAGGTGTTCTCAGTGATGCTGCAGCTGGAGAGGATGGTTTGGACCCTCAAGGATGTGTGGTTTCACCTCAAGAGCGGAGGTGCATGGTGCACACACGTGTCAAGTAGCTACACGCAGGAGCACTAGACTTGACTATGCGTAGAGCATCACTATCATTTGTTTTGGATTTATAGGGAACATACTTGACCACACTGGTCAATCTGGGTTGAAGGCAGCAAGCACAGACGCTGAAGCTTCGAAGTGCAGTACATTCGTGGATTTTTCTGCCCTCTGCTGCCCATAATCTAGCCCCACAGCAGCCGATAAACATCTGTTTTGCACACGATCCAAGCTCATTCTTGCTGACGAGATTGGGCGCGTTCCTTGCAATTTGGTCATAAGCTCTCGTTTAACAATTTATAAACACGTGGTAATTTGGCAGTGTTGACCCAAGCTGGAAATAATACCACGATTCCTGACAAGTAATCACACTGGATGCACAGCACAATCAAGTGAATGTGAATTAAAATAACTCGCCCTTAATGGCCTTCATGTGTGTATTGCAGCCTTTGTGAAGCCTACCATTCACTCTACTCAGTTCCACCAACTGCAGCTTTTCAGGCACGAAATGCAGCATTTTGTCAAGGTCATTCAGGGTTACATCATGACGCAGATCCTTCACGTGAGCTGGAGTGAGTTTCAGGCGAATCTGAAGACTGTCAAAAACTTGGATGACCTCCACAGAATCCATGCTGAATACTTGAACACAGCAATATTCAGGTATGTCACGGTGCACACACCCTGCTATGCATGTTGATGCGGTTTGATGTTAGGACTGTGTATAGGGGTGAGTGTTTGACACTCGGCATTAATATTGATCAGCAAGACTAGGTCTAAATACTCAGTTTCTACAGTTGAGTTGTGTTCTAAATGGGAGGTCACGTTCTGAACACTTGATTTGTAACCTCTGTACATTTTGTATGGTCATGTTCATTGCTCTATAGCAAAGTGTATGATCTACATCACAGTTCTTAACTGGTGGTCCATAGGCCACATTTGGCCCGTGGAGCGGCCCCTGTTCCGTGGCTCGTCGAGAGAATTGACTTGCTGAGAAAGAGATCAAAATTTGTGAGTTGAAAGAGAGCAGGAGAGATGAGAGACCAGGAAACGAGGTACAGATTAGTGGTCACATGTACAGATGTTATGAAATGTCATGATGGCCCATGAGCACACACATTTTATTGTGGCCCACCTGAGACTAGTTGCTATAGAATCTTGCTGCCAATGCACCAATAATGCTGTCATATGCCTCTTGCTGCTCACCAATGAATGTTTTCCCAGGGGTCTCCTGACAGAGAAGGCTGCGCCAGTGATGAATGTGATTCGCAGCATCTTCAGCCTCATCCTGCGGTTCCATACGCAGCTGGTGTCTCGCCCCTGGGATTGCCTCCCGCACGGGGCCACACATCCTAACTTCGCACTCCTGAGGGAATCCCACCAGGCTTTCAAGTACTACTCACATTTCCTGCACAAGGGTGAGTGGAAATTACATCTTCTTTTGCACATGGAGGAATAAACCCCACCTCTCCCAAACCCCTCCGTTGACTGTTATAGTAGTGTCTCTATAGGATTTTGGATTAATGACTTTCAGCTTAAGAACCATATTTCACCATGCTGGTTCGTATGGGTCTGTGAAAGTAGGTGGCATAGACAGAGCATAGAACTCCATTACAACAATGTATTTGCTGTTGTGGCTTCTACTGACCATCACGAAGGACAGCACTGCAGCCATCTCTGACATCCTGGAGTGCATGGTGGTGACACATCCAAGCACAATCCAGGCTTAAGCCTGCTTGGCATCTGAAATGTGATGGTGTGGTATATTGTGGGTGATTTGGTCATATGCAGAGATTACAGGTGGGATATGATCATTGTTGGTGTTCTTAGGAGTACCCATCATAAACGCATTTAATTTTAAGAATAAAGATCTGTACGTGTCTTAAAAACTCATGCTGGAAATCTTTACGATCGATTTGTAGTCACGTGGTAGTATTGTATGTTGTTAATGCTCCTGCCGCTGTGATTGAATGCTTTCTAACTTTCTTATTTTCAGTTGTGACAAAGTTGGTGAGCCGAGGGTATCAACCTCACCTCGAAGACTTCCTCGTACGAATCAACTTCAACAGCTTCTATACCGAACGGCGTGCTTCACCATGATGCTAATAGTCCACTATTGTTAATACATGATAATAGTCCATTTCCTGTACATATGTCTGTACTTTGCACTGTGCCTGCATGTTTTTTTCCCTTCTTTCATGGTCACTCTTTGGAAAGCCGCATGGACCCTCTCGTGTTTGTATTAAAATTACTAGATGGACATAAGGTACCAGGGAAAGCAGAATTTGTAATCATGGTGTAGAGATGCATCGATTCAGTCCCGTTAGGATGCATGAATCAAATGATATAATAATTTAATTTGTATTCATGTATGTTCTAATGTGTCCACATGACCCCCACCAGTCCATAGACTTGCTGTGATATTTAATTTTACACCCCTATGTTTTGTGACTGCGTTGTTATCCAATGGTGTGTGGTGCGATTGCCTTGTTTTAAATTGTGGTCTATTTAGACATTTCATAAATCCATATTGTGAGGTTTAGCTCAATTTATTCCAATCTGCTGGACAGCTTATGCCTTGTGCTCGTATCACATCAAATGTAATATATACCAATCTGTTCTTCTTTCATGTCATGAAAATGCAAGTGGTTCATAACAAAATTTATGTTAGAGTTATGAAATATCGTATCCAAAGCACTGATGGAGCATTGTTTAAACATTTCCAGATGCCATGTGGAAAACTGTATGGGAAGGGGAACCAGGGGTGAGGGGCTGGGGTCCCAGATCCTGGACCTGGCCAACTCAACCCCAGGCTGCCCCTTGGCCCTTTGGACTCTGGCACCTCGGGCCCAGGGTCTTAACCTTGCAGTGGATTAACAAGGAATTTATGCAAATTGAAGTGTATGCATATTTCCTACATGAAACATTAGTTTTACATTTTAATCACGTTATTCACGATTCAACATCGGTGGCTTATGGGGCGTTAATCATTTTTCAGCCCTGAGCCAGTGGTGGAAATTACACATTAATATGACAGGCACATCTTTCCATTGGACAACTATTGTATATTTCCACACAGCAATACAATGTCCATGACTATATTTTCCCTAGGGTTAATGGCGATACGTAAAATTATAGTTGTATATTATAGGTGCCTGATGTGTAGACATTCACTTTACATCATTGTTTCCTGAAGGATGTGGCACTCATACCTTCTTTAAAGCACTTGTTCAACATAATTGGTGGTAACCCTCGGAAATATTTCGGATTGTTAATAAACGCTGCATTGTATATATTTCGCCTATATTTAACTTACTAAAATAGCCACCTAGAGTCCCGTGGGCTGTGGTTTTTTGTTACGCTTGTGTAATTAATTAAAACAGTGTTGACATTCCACAGCCGTTACTTAATTATTTCCACTTGTGAGCTTAAAATAATATATTGTCTACAATGAGTTGAAATGCAGCACTGCAATGAAGTAATGTTCTCATGATTTATAATATCACGTCCAATTTGTAAAACGTATTTTATTAAACCGGCATATTAGATTTTGTGGGCACCAAGACCGAATAAAGTAATACGTTGAGACATTGTTAAACCTTTGAATACATCCAACTGGCTATGCGTGACAGAAACAGGCAAACGTTCTTGTTTTTGACAAAGTGCATAGCTAGAAAAAATCGGCAAGTCAGCATGGAGAGTTTCGTGCTTGGAATCGCACTGACAGGAACATACACGCAAGCGAGAGACATTCGCTTGATAAAGCCGCGCTCTGGTGGACACGTTTGATGTCTGGCGGTGAAGACACGAGCGAGTGACTCCCCCAAAGGAGAGAGGGCGCGACGACATCGGTTTAAGTGCAGAGAAGCTACATGGATCGTTGCATTGTATACATATACAGTGACACCTTGGATTGCGAGTAACTTGGTCTGCGAGTGTTTTGCAAGACGAGCAAATTTTTTAAATAAATAATAATTTGATAAACGAGCGATGTCTTGCAATACGAGCAGTACGTGCACGTGATCACAACTGAGCCAATGGTTCTTCTCTCGCTGCGGCATTGTGGGTAATCATCTCCCATGCTCGGTCTCAGTCGGCGTGCCTCACTCGTATAGTCAACATCTGTGCGAGCGTATACTGTTTACTATAGTACTATAGTGTTGTGACCACGTGTATACTGTTTACTACAGTACTATAGTGTTGTGACCACGTGTATACTGTTTACTACAGTACTATAGTGTTGTGACCACGTGTATACTGTTTACTACAGTACTATAGTGTTGTGACCACGTGTATACTGTTTACTACAGTACTATAGTGTTGTGACCACGTGTATACCGTTTACTACAGTACTATAGTGTTGTGACCACGTGTATACCGTTTACTACAGTACTATAGTGTTGTGACCACGTGTATACCGTTTACTACAGTACTATAGTGTTGTGACCACGTGTATACTGTTTACTACAGTACTATAGTGTTGTGACCACGTGTGTGCGTAAAGCATTTTTTATTTATTTTGTGGCCAACTGTAGTGACTGTTCTTTAGTAACTGTACTGCAAGTGAAAGTTGTCCTACCACATAACCTTCCTCCTCTCTCGTCTCCCTCAAACCAGCCACGATTAAATGTAATTAATCAATTTGATTACTTTATATTAAATTTAAACAATACAAATATAAAAAGGTATTTTGTATTAATCATTTTTATATGAATACAGTATTTTTGGGTTGTGGAACGAATCATCTGAGTTTCCATTATTTCTTATGAAATTTGCTTTGATATACGAGTGCTTTGGATTACCAGCACGTTTCCGGAACGAATTGTGCTCGCAATTCAAGGTTTCACTGTATGTTGAACTTCCTTCGCACGGTACGTAAGCCAACCATGCTAATCGGAGGTGCGGGGCACGGACAACAAACTAAACGCAAAATAAGTTATAAATAAATGAGTTTTAAATCTTTATTTAAAAGTGCATAGCTCCGGTGCATCTGAACCCGCGATGCAGTGATCGGCTAAAGCAGTGGTTCTTAACGCAACAAGCAGTTCTACACCCCTTTGGTTCTCAATCTTAATTGTTTTTTTATGTTAACAAATACATAGGTTTGATGAATCAAAGTAATTGTGCCCGTGCTTCATTTGTGTTTCGATTATTTACCTTCTAAAAAACATCTCTCCATGCCTCGCACCCTCAGAAAGAGCATCTCGCACTCCCAAGGGGTGCGTGCTCACCAGATTTAAAGCGTTTCAGTTTAACGCGTAGGCTTTAGCGACCAATATCCATAATTTGGGGGGGAGGGGGGTTAGATCGCGTAAATATAAATGTGTCGTTAAACCCGCCACACCACCTACACTAAAGCACTTGCACAGGATGAGCTGCACGTAAATTGTCAGCCGTGGGGGTGCAGCTCCGCCTCCACGTGGCTCGCTCACCTGGGCGCGCGACCCCCGCGTGACGTCACGTCCGCGAGGGACTCGGCGGTCGCTAGGCAACGGGACGCGCTATGATGATGGAGGGGGACACCGCGGTTCTCGAGGTGATGGGGACCGTGGGGGTGATGGAGGGGGACACCGCGGTTCTCGAGGTGATGGGGACCGTGGGGGTGATGGAGGGGGAGACCGGGGCGAAGGGGAAGACGGCGGCGGCGGGTGCGGCGCGCGTCGCCGACCGGGACGCAGACTTTAAGTTGTACTTGAAACGTCACGACATCGCCGAGATTTACGAGGTGAGGTGGGAGGGAAGGTGAAGCAAAAGTCGTGGTGAGATGGGCGAGTCGTGAGGGGGGTGAGGTGTGAGGGGGTGTGAGGTTAGAGAGGTGGAGAGAAATGAAATGAAGTATTAAGAGCGTTGGCATGGTTATTTATTAATGTTGAACTTATTTCGCGCCGTACGTAGCCAACCGTGCTAATCATATGTGCGGGGGAATGACAAACACAAAGCAGTTCTTTAGGACCGAGTTTAAATCTACATGTAAAAGTGCATCACTTCAGTGGCTTCCAAATATCGGAAGAGCGTTCCAGACGGCCGCAGAAGCGCATCTGAAAACTCGCGGATGCAGTTCACAATGTTGCGGCAAACCCTTCATAACGACCCCCTCGGTACACTCCTCACACTTAACACATATCACAGCACCCACTTTACCTCACCCCTCTTGCACAAACTCCCCCCTCATCTCTTACCACAATTAACTTTATCGCGTCTCACCAATCTCACCACGTCCCTCACCACTCACTCACTCCCTCCACACCTCTCCTCCCAACTTTGACCCCGTTGCCTCTCATCCCCGTACGCCGAATCCCGAGACAATCGCATTGCAGTCCTCAACCTCTCACCCGTCTCAATCCCCTCGCGTCGTCCCTCCCACTCATCACCCCCTTAACGCAGTGACAGATTCTCCTGGGAGAAAAAGTAGCTACTACTACATATGTAGTAGCTACTACATATGTAGTAGTAGCTACGGGCCCCGCACTTTCAAGGGCCCCGCGCTAAATGCTTTCAAGCTATCAATTCCGGTTCAGTAATTCTGCACTTGCTCTATTACTATAGTACTATGCTGCCTTCAACTTTTATGAACGACTGGGTGTTTAAGGTTAGCGATTTGTCGTATTATCTGGCTGTATAGCAAATGGAAAAATACAATTACTTTACTATGCAAGTTAAACATTTGTGTTTTAATATTTGTGGTGGTTTTTTTCTTCTTTTTAGGGCCCCTTTATAACTACTACATGTGCTACAGGCCCCGCACTAGCTGAATCCGGCACTGCCTCAACGTGTCACACCTGTCTCATTCGGCTTCACCTCTCCTCTCGCACCTCCGCCCACTCGCCTGTCACCTCGCTCATTTTACCTCGACCCTCTCACCCCTACGTACGGTGCGAAATAAGTCCAACATACAACATACATACATTCCCTCTGGTGCCATTGAATCGCTGGAATTTTTACAAGACCCCCTCGACATCACTGCACTATGTCTGGTATACATCTTGAGAGGCACCTTTTTTTTCCAATGGAAAATGTGACAGTGAAAATTGCTTTTGCAAACAGATAGCCAAATAACGCATGTTCTGGGCATATGTTTTGAAAATCATTACAGCGCTTGTGATAAAGCACTGCAGTTCATTCAATGTAAATAATCTACGGCCATTTGTCAGTCCATTGCTGGATGAAGGCGTCTGTCATGGGAATTGTTACCATACTTCACCACGCTGGTCAGTGTGGGTTGGTGGAGGAGCTGGTCAGGACCGGTTCGTATATCACTCGCCACTGATTGTAACCGTGGCCCGGGAATATGATCATATTCTCATGCAGTAACCATAACCACAGCGCCCCCACTAATCTTCAACGCAGATACAGTCTCTAATTCCCAGAGCATATAATTACAGCCTCTTGTAGGCACAACAGTCCATGGGGTCCCATGGAATGGCACATATATACAAGCCGCCGGGGTGAGTGGGGTGAATGCTCAAGAGAACGTTCAATGTCAACTGCATAACATGCCAGGGCGTTTCAATGAGTACATGTACAACTCTTCTATCTGTCCACCGCGGTTATTTTGACCAAAGGTTACCACACTAGTCAGTGTGGGTTGCTGAAGGCAGGGAGCATAGAAGTACGGTACAATGGTTTACGTGTGACACTGCCATCTGCTGCCCACGACGTAGCCCCCGCAGCCTGAATCACATGTTATGGATTGCAGTCGCCCCATCCAAGCTCTAGCCAGGGTCAACTTTGCCTATCTTCCGAGATCTTATGAGATTTGGCACTTTGAAGGTGATTCAATCAGAGATGTTTCAATGAGTAAAGAGACAAACATTACCTTTCAAATATTAGCATCAATATGGCAAACATACTGCAGTACATATCGCTCCACATAGTTACCCTCGACTAAAATACAACCAGTCCGAGTGGCCCACAAGCGTCATGATGGCTAAACCCTGAAGCCATGACTTCACCACTGCTTCCACAACTTCGTCTATTGAATCGCTTTCCACGAAAAGCTTTCAGGAGTGCGCACAGATGGAAATCTGCGGGGACTATGTCTGAACCGCGTGCCAGATGTTACAGGACATTCCATCCACACTTTGCTGAAAATTCCTTGCACGTGCAGTGTATGGAAATACATCATCGTGCTTTAAAACCGCATCGTTTCTCAAGAGGCGGACGGTGTTTCCGACGAATCTCAGGCTTCGACGTTAGCCAGAGTTGAACCCTCAGTCGGTCTACCACTTAGCCGTCATCACACACGTACTCCTGTCTGGATTGCAGCCATTCCATCCATCTATAAATGTTGCCACGATCCATACACATATGGTCGTATTGCAATTTTATTTTTGTAATAGCTGGGATGGAGCGCCCATATTCTTCCTCACTGTACTTGATATAATTAAACTTTTAGCAGTTGATTGGTGAGCCAGCACTCACTGATTCCCTCCGTTCACTCGCTCACTGACAAGTCAGTCGTCTCTTATCGCTCCTGCCATGGTTACTGTTTCCGTAAATTTCACCCATTGATCCTTCAACCATGTTGACGTCTAGGTTCACCAGACTTATCATGTCATCCACACTGTTCAACCAACCACACTGCCGGTCACAACACTTCTCTTTCCACTGTCATCCATCGGACTGTTGTACTCTGGAACTCCCCCGCACAATCTCTTTTCTTAAGTTCTTATAACCTTGCTCAATTAAAAACAAACTAAATAATTATTGTCCATTACAACTTTAATATTGCTGTTTGTTGCTGGGCGTTTCATGCCATTGTGTCTGTGCTCATCAACCGTGATAAAAGAACAAAAAAACGTTGCTCTCAGATAAAAGGACAAACACAAACAACATCCCTTCTAATGTGCAGTTGTGCAAGGGTGCTGCAATCTTAAATCACGTGAGGCGTTTGTCCTTGAGACAAAACCTGAAGAGAGGACAAAAACGTTGCACATCAGTGCCAGGGCCATGCCCAATCAACTACGCTATATTTAGCGAGATTTCACTGACATGGTTTACACAATTCTTACAAGTTTATTTCCTTGGCGTAAATCCAGCAACCACGTCTGGTAATGGAGGATACACGTAAAATGCCCTAAGAACTGGGCTGTGTAGAGAATTGGACTAAAACTGTTGGAATGTGAGTTATGTGTAAACTGTCCTGTTTATACAATGGTTTGCCAATGTTTATTATTATCCACTTGGATTTGTGTCTGTGGATACTTCCCTCTTGGGCACGGCTGTACACTGTGTACATAGTACATACACAGACATTTTGCCAAGCTACTGCTGGCTGAAATCCTCCCCGCGTCATGCAGGTCGAGGGGGTTATTTGACCATACTAGACCACTCTGGTCAGTGCGGGTTGGTGAAGGTGGGGGCATAGACATTGGGTCACAGGATAATACAATAATGGAATTGGCTACATTGCTACTTGCTAATATTCTATCCCCTGCAGAAACCTACATCTGTTTAATGCATGATGGCCTTCCCATACGAACGCTATCCAGGCTTAAACTTGCTTAGATGTCGAAATCTGTTAAGTTCGGACATATCCCAGGCGATTTGGTCACAGTTGTACATATTTCATTTGAATTCGAGTGCCATGTTGTGTGTGTCTGTTACATTTGCACAGGCGTTGCTGACCGCACTTTGCGTGCTCTGCCCAGAAAACCCCCTAGAATTTCTCTTAAACAAAATGAGAGAAATACAAGAGTTTGGTCTACACACCTTGGATTGGTAAGAAAACGCATTTCGTTTAAGGCATACATGGCAGTTCTTAGTCTTTTTTAATACAGTACGCATATCAATAGGTATAACATACGTTGTACAAGATGAAATAATAAATACAAGTTTTGGCAAAACGCAATACAATATGTAAACAAATAAGGGACTGCAGTGACAGTAGCTTTACTACATTTGTCATGAACACTGCCTCGGCAGGTATTGTATTAACTCTTGACTTAAAGCTTTCGTAACTGCAGGAATTCCTATTATTTGGGTCTTTTGGTAAAGTCACGTAGATAGGTTGAAAGAAAATAACAAAAAATAACAAAAAGCTACGTTTCGATCGCTTGTGTTGCGATCGAAACGTCGTAGTTTTTTGTTATTTTCTTTGAACCTATCTATGTGACTTTACCGAAAGACCCAAATAATATGTATTGTATTATGACCTATACATTATGGTAAGGCCTCGCTTAACGTGTGTTCACACAATGCATTTTCGCTAAAGCGGGATTCTGCTATTTGGGAACACTTTTCACGTAACGCGGAACAAGCACCGTTCTAACGCAGCTTCTGAGCGGTTTACAACAAACTACTTTCTTGAGCTGCGCGGCTGAGTGGAATGATAGAGTACGTGGAATGATAAAGAGTACATGGCGACGTACCCTCGTCTCAGTGCTTTGTCCCACCACGGGTTAACTGAAAGGCTGATTTCATGGTGCTAATGTGATTCAGTCGTAGTATTCCGCCGCTTAACACGGCTTTTGCTTCACGTGTAACTTTTTCAGGAACGCATCTACCACGTTAAACGAGGAATTACTGTAGAGTACATTGGTGCTCAGAGAGCGACTTTGGTTGTCGATTGGCGTGATGCTGCCCCACCACTGCTGTCACCACCCACCACCTCTTGCTGCGCACACATAAAATACCAAGATCCCACGTCGAGCCTTCAAATACTGTTGTTGGGGCAAGTGCTGTTAGTGAGTAGCACCTATGAAGGCCGGAACGTCACACGAGGGGGTGGGTGGCCAGCAAGCACCACGCCCGACCTCTTGCTGCACATACACACACATACTCCACAACCACCACCAAAACCAGCCCCAGACCCTGAAGGCATGGAGTCGACACGAAAAGGGGTGGGGCTGATCGGGAAAGGGGTGGGGGCTAAGGCGTAAAGGGGCGGGGTATAAAGAGGAAGGGGCAGGGCCTGCAGGGGGTTGAACTTCAACGAATCGAAGCATGGCTAAGAAGCATTCAATGGATATAAACATTCAACGAATAGAAGCAATCAAATCGGTGTGTGCAGTACCGGTTAGGGTGCCGCAGATTCGGCCACACACACAAACCAGTAATTGTGTATACTGTCGTCGATATATCCAGCTATTTAGTTAATCCGCCACTAGATAAAGGCCTCGCCACACCTGGTCGTGGATGGAGGTCTTTGGATCATGCGTTCTACTTCCCCACGCTAGTCAGTGCGAGCAGAGAGGCGTGGACGTGGGAGCTTAGAATACAGTACAATAATGGGGTTTTGCCGCACCGTCCTCTGCTGCCCAACACGCAGCCCCCAGCGTTTTCCAGGCTCAAAAAAAGACCTGCTTAGCTTCCAAGATCGGGTGTATTCTGGGTGATTTGGTTCCTATCACTGCCGAAACCAATGTTCCTGCACGGTTACATATAACCTACCGTCGATTTTGTAAATGCATGACGATTGTACTTAATAGTAGTTGTGTTGCCTTTGTGCCCCACTATGCACCCGCGTTATAGCGACGGCCCGTTGTGCATTGTGTTTAGGGAAATGTTCATTGACGAGAGTCTGAGGCCTAAGCTGAAGAGGGTGACCGCTGGATACCTGACGTTCATATTCAGATTTGACGACGACGCGGTAAGTAGACTTTGTTCACTGGGCGTCCTGCGATAATAAAAACAAATGAAAGGTCACTTTCCCGTGAACCCTTTCCAAGTGTTGTGGTTGGTTTTTGGCTGACAAAAAACCCCAAGATGATGCTTGCAATCTAGTCAGCCTAACGGTTGTGTTTTGTTGCTTGTTACAGCCCACCCCCCAGCAGTTTGAGAAGGCATACTCCTTTCTGCGCAGGAAACTCCAACGGGAATATTTCGTGTAAGTAGCCGTGAATTATTCGGGACCAGAATACATGTATTTATGCTGGAGGAATCCGATGAGCTGTCAAGATCTTTTTCCACAGATGTCCAGTCGGGGCGGGTAAGAACGTTACAACAACAAACGACACGAAATACGATAGGAGTTTAAAAGAGAGAAAAAAATCGCACATACAACTAAACCGTCCCCACCCTAACGGGCAAAGCCCAATGAGGTATTAAGTTAGTTTCTAAAAGCGACCTGGCTGCAAATGATAGCTCAACAAAGTGGCTTATCATTTGGACATTTATAGTAGCAAAATAATGTAAATAGTCTAAACGCGTGTTTAAAAAAAAAGTATTCTAGCGGCTGTTTGTATCTCCCACTGCACGCACACAACTTGCATGTGCTTCGTCATAAGTCTACCTTCACAAAAGATGAGAGCCCTTTTGTTTGAAAGCGAGTGACAATTGTCTCTTTTTAAAGGGAGACCTTATTACCATTGTGCGTGCATACTGAGTGTGGACACTCCACACGCAACGATGCACCATCGATTGCAATATGTTCTTATGCTCAGGATACGTGCAAATCTATTCTAAATCGATCTACAACTCAATAGCTATTTCTACATCACAAATGTAATACAGGATCAATGGACGAAATGAAATCACAATTTGAGATACATTTATTAATAAGGTTCAGTTTAAAAACTGATTGAATTCATGTTGTCTGAGCAGTGAATCAAATCCTCCAATTAAGATTAACTGGGAAGGAATTGTTTTCCACAAAGCAGATGCAATGTAGGAACCACGTGTGAGGAGCATCTGGGGGAAATCAAAAGATATCAAATTGAGTATTGGAATACTAAGACAAAAAAATTGAAGCACATCCGAGGTTACTAAAGTTTACTATTCGGGTTAGTGTATGCCATAAACTAAGTGGTTATTTATTTTCAAACGCCTTGATGGACAAATCTATAACAACAGATATATCTCCTTAATGGCAGTGGCAGGCAGCCACGAAGCCAGTCTTATTATAAAGAGTTCACAGTGATGCACATAATGGTTTTCATCAGGAGTAAAATGTGAAGCTGAATGGGAAACCAAGTCCACACGGTGATCTGCTTCTACACAATGTTATAATGAATAATTGTTATGAAAGTCAAGGCAACAAGTCTCATATGAGACCTAACTCTTAACTCGGCTATACATGTGGATTAGCTCTTGTTATAAAATAGAATTGTGTGAAATATGTCAACTGTTTACAGACATTGAGTAATGAATGAACAACCCCCTCTTGTCCATATGGGCACATAAGTGCCGTGAAGCACTTCACTTTAGCTTCGTAACACCATTTACATCCCCACTAAGCAAACACACTCAGGCTGCACAGTATGAAGCACTTGATCAAAGTGTATTGGTTTTCAGGGGTTTTCTGGGGTCAGGATGGATCAGAGGGGAAGGCAGCCAGAGGCTTTGAGGTTATGTTTGAGTCTGCCTGTTTTAAACCTCCCGTCAAAATCTCACTCTGCTGCCCTTCACGTGCTCTCTGCTCCAGTAAACCATGGCCTTCTTTTGAGGCCCCTTGTCAACTTTCATCCAGTCTGGGGTGGGTGGGGTCGCTCCACTTCTTCTGCTCACACTCAGTGAGTTGCGTGCTGGGCTTAATTTCTCACTTGATATTTTCCAGAATGCTGCTATGCTCGCTTCAAGTAGGCATTATTGGAAAGCACTACAGCTAAAGGTCACGGTAAACGATCCTATATTATCGTACCCTATATTACTATAATCCTACAAGCAGGTTTATAATATTTTCGCTGCGTGGACTCACCATTGCTGCCAGTGTAGATTCAGTACCATTAGAACAGAGTAAGGTGAGATGGATGTGTGCGCGCCAAAATAATTCCCAGAGCATCATTGTGGACTATTCCGGCTGAAATGAAGCACTGGTTGTTTGAGATGACAGGCGGTGGGCCATGTACGGGGCCCGGCGGCGCGCTCGCAGGGAGCAGCTTACGCGGGCCCTGCATCGAGCATGCGACCATTACATGCGGAAAAAGTTGGGTGCTGCCCTTCTCAGCTGGTCTCAGTGGCTACACGCACGCCAGGAGCGCATGGCCGGTGAGGTTCCATGTTCCTTTACGTTTATGCGTGATAGAGGGCGGCTGGGTGGCTTGGAAGTCAGAGTGTTGAGCTGGCACCGTTGAGGTCCAAGGTTTTAATCCAGGCAGCTGCCCAGTATCCACTTGAAGGCATCTCACATGTATCTCTGATATCTGCTTCCTCGAGCCATTCTTTCACCACTTTGCAATAGATTTGAATGAATACTTTTGTCGTGACACCAATGTCACAATTTGGATATAATTGGGGGGGAGTTTTTATGTGCATCTCTGCTGTGTGGCTTGTAATCCTACTATGGACTGTGTGTGCATACTTGGTCTGTGATGTTTTTTTCTACGTGGTATCTGTATGCTTGCTGTATGCTTGCATACTTACAGGAGCTGCTATTCGGATTCAACGGGTATACCAGCAACTTCTCTGCAGTCTGGTCCTCAAAGCCTGGCATACTGTTGCCTTGGATGCTCGCAAAACCAAGGAATACTTTGAGGTCTTCAATTTAACCTATTTGCATACACACAAATTACATAACATGTTGATTGTCCTGTGCTCATAAACTAATTGTTGATTGTGAGTTGAGTGCAGCGGCTGGAAAGGGGTGAACTGGAGGAAGACAACGACAGCTACTTGGTTCCACCACCTAACACCGCTGACCAAGTCTCCCAGCTCCCTCCTCGGGCAGCACTGAAGGTTGAGTTTGGTGTCTGAGCATGCGTTTGCAAGACACAGGCTGGGCAGAGATGAGCTACAATGAACCAACTTAGGCTGATTAACATTTTTATTTGAGAAACAGCGACTTATGACTCACCAGAAAGGTTTGCTTGTGGTGTTAGTGTAAGGGACCAGTCGGCCGGTTGCATGAAATGCTTTAAATGAAAATGACCCTTATATTAAAATTATTTATTGAGTAAATCATTATTTAGATAAGAGATTCACATGTTAACGAAATGGGCAAAATGCATTTTCTTAGTAATTTCCCATTGATGGTCATATTTTTAAACAAACACTGAATGAAAAGAACATTTCCCAGCATGTATATCAAGTCCAATATTAAACTCTGCTTGGATTTATATCGTATCTAAATGCAACCACATCGAAAGATGCTGTAACTAATCAGTTGCCATGGTTATTTAATAACGATAAGTGGCAGTCAATTGTAGGTAGCGGATAAAAATAAAGTCTTGAGCCTGGTCTTAAACAGGCAGGGAGTCGAGAGCATGGATGGTTGCGGAGAGGGATTTTTCTAGGCTGTGAGGACGAGAGGAGGATGAGATGAACCAATCTCCGTTCAAATACAAATTGAGATTTTACACGTTTCGTGCAACTGATGATGGGAAAACACGTCTACAATCATGATTATAAAATATACTTACCGGATATTATTTGTTTGCTTCCTCTGCAGATTTTCAGCTACTTGGACATAATGAACCTAGTGAAATGTGCCGGTGTATGCCGCTCCTGGAAGGTCATTTCCCAAGCCAGCATCCTGTGGAGCCGGGTAACCTGTGGCACCCACCTGGGGCATGCCGACTGCTGTGTTGTCTAGTGCTGCCTGCAGTGTTAACTTTCCAATTGTACCCATGGAGTGCGATATTCAGGCTGTGATGCCATACTTGACTACATGTTTCAGATAAATCTTCTGCTTTTCATCATCAGCAGCCATGATCTATTCACTGCTGGAAAAAAAGTTAACCCAAGCTGGTGCTATTTCTTGCGGTGATCTCGCAATGCAAAAATCCATTCGATTCTATGCTCATGACTTGTTTCATCACTCCATATGCGTGGTAGACGTTCTCTGGGATGTGTTTCTACCTTGGCCTGCCTCTTTGGCCTGCCTCTTTGCCATTTTCACCTGAGGACGAGTGCTTGTGTTGCCTTCGAAACATCTTGAATTAAAATTTAATTTAATTTCTACATACGTGACTTTACCGAAAGAACCAATGAGTATAGTAATTCCTGCAGTCACAAAAGCTTCAATCCTAGATTAGTCTCAACCACTGTTCATCATTCCTTCTCATGACGTGCCCTGCCCAAGCCCAATTTTCTTCACAGTCGTTATGATGGCTTTAACTTGTGTATGCTGTCTAATCCATGTGTTATTCTTCCTGTCTCTCAATGTAACTCCAAGCATGCACCTCTCCATGCTTTTGGTGCTTTATATTGCATCTATTGCTCTGTCCTGTCTGTGCTACACTGTGTTCAGTGCTGTGTGCCCTGTTACGAGCGCCATGCTGCGTCGGGGTGTTGCATGCAGATGGATTTGTTCCCAGCACGAGGCCGCATCGATGACAATGTTGTCTCTCGCCTCTTGCGCCGTTGTCGTCCGTTCCTGCTGCACCTAAGCCTCAGGGGCTGCACCACGATTGGGCCACCTGCCTTCCGTGCCGTCAGTAAGCACTGCACTAACCACCCAGCATATATTGCTCAGGAAATGTGATATGATGTGTGGATTATCATTCTTAATTCTCATTCTGATTCTTGGTATTTTTCACACTCGTGTGGGGCCTGCCTTGCTGGTTCTGTTTCTCCATTCCTTAATTGCTCTGAGCCATCTGCAAGTCCACTCCACAGTCACATTTTGGTTCATCACTTTCAACCACCTCTTTCTAGGCCTGTCTCTCGGTCTCCACGCAGGTGCTTCTATGTTCATCTTCTTCTGATGTAGTTCTCTGTTGATGACATCCTCGCCATTCGAGTTGACTCTCTTGTCAGCTTCTCTCAGATGGGTACCACTGTTAGCATCTTCATCAAATAATTTAGTCCCTGAGCAATATCGATTCTTACACTGGTGATAAGTGCACCGAATCACGTGTCACAGTCGGTGTTTTTAAATTCGCGTGTGTTGTATGTTATATGTTCACGTGAATCCTGCGCACATTGGTGACTGCAAGATTCATGATAATGCTAAAACACGAATCCGTTCTAGAATCGAATCACAACCCCCTAAATCGTTCCAATTCATTGATTTGCCAGGTGGGTAAAATATCACACTACTATTAATGTGATATACATATTTACTTTACTTGAACTAGGCTGAATGACAGTACATTACAGCCTCATCATCAGTGCTTCAAAATGAGGTGAGATCCCATTGAGACGAATCTCTTTGTTTTCAAGGAAGACTTTGGAGAAACTTGGGGAAATGTATCAATGAAATAGTCAAATTGAAACCAAATAGGGGGAAAAACGGACAATTTGACTCGTACAATAAAGTAAACTCGGGTGCATATTAACTTTTGAATTGGCAGAAGAAAAGAATGGGAGTTTGGGGTTATATAATACTTACAGACTAGAGCAGTATACACCGTGCCAAGACAAGTCAATAATCACTACAATAAAGAGGAGTAGCAGTAGTAAAATTTAATACCCAGAAGACCACTCCGCTATATCCCCATACCACCTACGTGGAGCCAGCACACCACTATTTGGAGCACGGTTGCAATTTACTGTGCTCGGTCGGTGTTAGCTGTCGAGGGCGCTACGGGTTTCTTTTCTCATTCCTCTTGCTCTATGCCCCCCCCCCCCCGTACCTTTCCCGTTCCGTTGTAATGTGCACTGATGCCTACTTTAGTGAGGGCGATATTGGCTCGTCAACTAAACATTGATTGATTGTCACACAATGGCACTACTTGGGCAAAGTCAACTCACGGTCTCTCCCAGTGTTTACTGCTGCTGCTGGCCACACTAACGAAGATGCGCCGCGATTATGTAATCGCTCGTGTTATCTCTCACATCATTATTATGAATTGTCAACTGCGATGTGTATGATTTTGCCATCGTGCGATTTTGTGCACAATCACATCAGTTCACTGTCTTGTATTCCAAAGGTTTGAACCACTCATAATAACTGTAAATAATAAACATTTTGGAGGTTGTCAGGTGGCTCAGCGGTCAGTGGACTGAACCAGTACCACTGAGATTCTGGGTTTGAATACAGGAAGCCATCCAAGAGAAGGCTGGGTGTTCTCAATTATTGCGAGCTGACAAGTCACCACTGTATAAAAAAATAATCCCATCACATGCAATTTGGGGTTTTCACTTAATTTGGCTAAATTCCAGCTAACAGAATCACACATTGTGTGTTGCAATTCTTGTAGAAAAGTAATCCCACTAGTGAGGAGATAGTAAAAAAAACCCTTCTCAAAACAGATTCTGTACTGTTTGCTTCTGTGGGCCATTCTCCAATACATGGGGTGATGCATTGCTCTGCAATGTTTCAAAAGGGATGCTTCATTTCATGGCCCTGGTGGCACAATTGGAGTAAAAGCGGGAAAACGTCCAAAGATGATTCTCGCGTCTCAACAGGCAAAGCACCTTAACAATCCATTCAGTACGTCGTCAAGTTAAAATGACAAACACATGGTGTCCATAACCAATGGATTCATTTATTTTAATACAAAAGTTTTACGTAAGACAGAAATAGTTATAACGGTTTAGACATCTGACAGCGAGTGAACACAATTTAACTACCTAACACAGGCCGTACTGCTTAACACTACGCTATGGAATGAAAGCTACAATTCGTAAAGTTTATTTTAAACTCGACTTTTGCCCGTCCAAGGACGGGTGTATTGCAGTAAATCTGAAACGTGCAAGCGGAAAGCAGACTGCGACGTGATATTAATTGCATCAATTCGTGTGCAATTTGTAAGGCCACGGTGACACAGACTTATTTCGTGTAAAGATTATAATCCTTTGTTCATCATGACATCCTTTTTACTTTGATGTTTCAATAGCGTTACGGAGATCGCGTGACGTGAGGGTTCTGCCTTTGTATTGAGGGTTGTAAGTTGACACTGAGGAGGGGGGAGAAGGCGCCTCGCCCCCCCATGTGGAGTGACGTCACCCGCTAATTATTATTCATGGAGGGGAGGAGGTGTCCATTTGGAAGACGCCACCTCTTAATGATTATTAATGAGGGGGGCTGTTTGATGTGGAGTGACGTCACATGCTCATGATTATTAATGAGGAAGGGGGGTCCATGTGGAGGACGTCACCTGTTCATGATTATTAATGAGGGGGGCTGGCCGGGACACAGACATTCTTGACTCATTATCGTAGTAAATAAAAAAAAAACTTGTTGAGACTATGCCAGGAACAAAGTTAACTATGTATCTTACATCCCAACACGAGCATTTTTATTACATAAAAAACTGAAATCCCACTTTTAATAATTGTTGACTGGGGCACATTTGCGGAGTTAAAACTATAATCGTTTTTAGCGGTCAACCAATCATTTATTTATCCACACAATACAAGCATAAGTATTGTAGAAACATGAGTTTTTAATAATTATGACCAACTGAATAACCCCAACATTTTATTTGAAAACTGTCAAATACAATGATCATCCTATTGGGAAAATAAACGTGTGGTTTGGTGTTTGTGACAGAGAGACAGTGTCTGCAAAGCAATGATCCTTTTCCACTAATATTTTTCCAGTGCCAAATTTGACATTGGTGTTGCTTTGAAGAGTAAAATTACATTTGTAAATAATTTTAAAGATGTTTGTCTCACTTTGGTAATGAAATCACTGTGAGGATTCTAATTAGTATTGACAAATAGTGATGGGCAGTTGCATAAAATACCCCGAGTAAAATTTTCTTTGAGATTGTGTTTTTAAGCTAATATAAGTTAATGAGATAACATAAATTATGTCACTTTCCTAACTAAGGTTAGTGTCAGAACACAGTGCATTTTTCCATTCGGGGTAAAGAGTAGTTTTGGGACTGGCCGATATGATACATAAGATATTTGCATTAGACCAGTTTGGTGGGTAGATTCTATTTCAATGTAATATTGTTAAAACTTAGGGTTATGCTACTAAGGCATTTAAACGTCATGCCACTTCTGCCGGCTCTGTAAGATTGCAAGCTTCATTATAAAAGGTCGCCATTAAGGACGTAGAATTTGTAGCTTTTACTGTAGTGGAGGGCTTCTGGCAGACCAAACCAGGCGTTGAGTCACACCATTACATATCCATACCTGCCGAGACCCACGCCCAAACCCAAACATCACTCACGGTGACACGCGGGCGCACGCACACAACCCCGTGGTCGCCAGTAAAACAAAACATCCTCTTTGGCTCGCACGTTTTGACACACGGCATTAAGGGACAAGCCAACGGTCGTGCTTTACGGCACGTTCATGCGAGGCACAAGCTGAGGCTTTTTTTGTCGCTGCACACGAGAAGATGAAAAGAGTGGGACGTTACGGAAGGGAGACGCCTATGCTGCTGGTGCTGATACTAACGCTTTCATCTATGCTGTTGTTTCTATTATCCCACTGGTTCTCAATTGAGGAGGAGTTTGCTTGGTTTAACCGGCCTCTCGTGATTGTTCTGGCGGAGCAGTCGCTGTAGTAACGGCGCATGTAATTAGCCAGAGTCCAGCCCTTGAACTCTGGCGGCTGGGTGCACACAGGCTCGCCGTACCTCACCCCCATGTGGTAGCTGAACCAGTAGACCATATAGTGAATGTCGAAGTCACACCTCCAGGGGTTGTCCTCGATCAGCAGGGACTGGAGGTGGTACATGTCCTTGAGAGTCCCAAACTCGAGGCTGGACAGGTCATTGTTGCGCAGGTCCACGTGCTCCAAAATGTGCAACCCTGCAAGGGCGTCTGCATAGCAGTAGCGACACTTTAATAATACAGTACACTCGTCGCATGGGATGAGAGCAATACATATCTCATTAAGGTGCTTGTTTGTGTGTTTGTGGGAAGTTATTGCGTAGTGTTGGGCGCACTGCACTATGAACCCAACTGTCCGAGTTCGATTCGTGGCCACAGCCAACATCTCGGTGGCAAGTATCGGAACCGGTCCTGGGCCTCTCTTATGTCTACTCAGCTTTAAATCAGTACCTGGTGCAATATGTACACAAGTCACCACTGGGAAGACAGAGGCAGCCGGGAATGGTGATGGGCCTCGTGTGCCCTTTTAGCCTTAATAGGTGCTCGCTAAAAGCAGTCGCCCCAACAGCATATTAAGGCTATACAGGGATCTTCTTTCCACATTTGTAAACACAGTGGAAAACAGAGACCTGAACATTATCAGCTCCAATGTCGGTATTTACATGAACAGCCCTTGTCAATCCACTGTTGAATTAAGGCTTCCCTTATTCCGTGTCCATTGTGTGGGTTGTTTGACCAGACCTCAACACGCTAGTCAGTTGGGGTTGATGAAGGGAGGCACCCAGGATTGGTTTAGATATCACTCGCCACTGATGTTAGCCAAGGCCAGGAATCAAACTCAAGTGACCCAGTTCATAGTCCAGTGTGTTTGCCATGCATGTGTATATAGTGAGGTGGGAAGTGGGCCAGGCAAGGTGTGGCGCTCTACTTCCTTACCAGGGTGGATGTAGGCCAGGCTGTTGTTCCGCAGACTAAGGAAGCGAAGGTGCCTGAATGACTGCAGTTTGCCGGCCAGCAGGTGGTGAATCTGGTTAGAGGACATGTCCAGGCTGGTTATGTCCAGCGGGAGCTTCTTCGGAATCATGAGGAGTCCTGCCAAGCAAAGCAGAAGTACACTTAATGGATTGGTCAGATATTACCTGTGCCTACAGACTACATGTACGTTATGCCTAGATGTATAACAGGAGTCTCAGGTTTACAAAAAAGTTCATGGCATGGCATATGTTTAAAGTTTAAATATAAATTTAGTTGAAAATGGTAAATATTCGTGTCTTCTGCCGTAAATCTTAGAAATATCCATTAGCAATTCCAAATAATTACCATTAATGCTCTTTTAAATGCCACCCAACTAAGGTTGAATTCATTAGTTAGCTTGGTCCATTTGTTTCTCTGTCTGTAACAGATTTGCACGTGACTGAAACTTTCGCATACACACTTGTGTTGCTATGAGGAATTTGCCCGTGAGAATACTGGCCGAATTGATAAAAATGTTGCTCAAAATGTGGAGACAATACCAGCGCTAGAAGTTTTCGCCGTACCAAAGTGAAGCGGAAGTGCGAGCCGAGCCTCTCCCTCGCCTCCCATTGACAGCGTTACAGTACGCCTTAAGTTGCGTTGCGTACATGTCACGCGCCATGTGACATTATCCTGTGCAACTCGGAGTGGAATATTATTGCTAAGGATATACTATCCAGGATAAACGAATGTGGGACATGGTTACAGAATTCGCAGGATTATCTTGTTATTCTGATTCACGTGTGTAATATTTAACCGAAAAAAACCTTGCAACACAAAGGCACTGTTGTCAATAACTTTTAGGATTTACCTTTGCCGTGGCAATTGACGGCGTACGTTGGGAAGTTGGTGACGACGCATTTGCCAATCGTGGTTACTTGAGGAGTGAGGTCGGGTACGGTTTCCTCTTTGGGGTCTGTGGTGTCCTTGCTCGGGTCTGTTTGGCTGGAGTAGGTGCCCCATGCGGCTGCGGGGCACAGCACCTGCAGGTTCACCTTCTTCAGCTTCTCTCCGGCCAGCTCGGAGGGGGAGCTACACTCAGCGTAGAGGGCCATGTGTCGGCTGCTGGGAAGCTGCAGCCAGTGCAGCATTCCCTCCATCTCGCAGCTGCAGTGCCAGGGGTTCTTGTAAATCCTGAGAAATTGCAGCTTCGGTAGGTGAATGAACACCTCCTCGGCGACGACCGCCAGGCGGTTGAACTGCAGCAGCAGAGTGTGCAGAGCGTTGAGGCCTGCGAACGCGTTTGCTTGCATTTCTTGAATGACATTCCCGCTGAGGTCTAGAGATTTGAGCTCCTGAAACTTGACAAACTGGTAGTCCAGAAGCACGCTAATCTGGTTTTGTGCCATGTTTAAGTGAATGATGTTGTGGGGAATCTTAGCCGACAGGCTGGTTAAGCCCCTTCCTCTGCAATCCAGGCTCTTCTCTTCGTTGAAGTAGAATACCTCGCACTCATCCACGCTGCGGGGAAACGCCCTCTGCTCCCGGCGACAGTCCCCCGAGCATGCGTGCGTACGGGCACCTGGGTGCTGCCTGCGTGAGTTCTTCTCCGTAGAGATGCAAGGAAGCAGAGCGATGATCACGAGCGAGAAGACGAGAAGGGCTCCGGGGCAACGGCAGCCCCACGCCCAGCGCACAGCTCCTCCGCCTGGCATTGCTGCGCCACAATGACGCCAAAGTCTCACTGGGGATTTCTGTGGAGAAGCAGCATGGGGTCTCGGATGAATGGCTAAATAACAGAGGATTAACCAAGGGGTCATTTCGGCCCATTCTACCTGGGTTGGTGACCAAGAAAATAGCAACGGTCGCCGCATTCACTACAACCGAAACAAAATATTTAACTGAATTTCCACCAAACATTGTGACGATTCGTCAAATCATGAGGGGTGTGAATCATTCCACACCGTATGATAGTAATATTCGCTTGCATGTGTACGTATATTGCATCAAAGAGTGGACACAACATTACTGATGAAAGGCGTTTTGTTTGTTTTGCAGGCGAGTGCAAGAACCTGCAAGATTTGAACCTCTCAGAATGCATGGGTTTGACGGTAATATCCTTCACCGGGAGGCATGCCAGGCCACTCAGGAGACACTGTAATCCACTGCTGGATGAAGGTTATGATGCCATGTCAGTCATGGAGGTTGGTTGACCATACTTCACCATATTGATCAGTGAGGGGAGGTAAAGGTAGGGGGGGGAAGGAGGTGGGCCCAGGATCGGTTGATTTAAAATAATTATTACTGATGTTAGCCATGGCCAAGAATCAAACTGAGGTCACTAGGTTCATCACGCACTAGGCTAACCACTGCATCACCTCTTCACAAGTGATGCTGGCCTTCCGTAAATGAGCACGAGACAAGTTTTGTTCAGTTCTGAAACAAAAAAGGAGATGTGTGGCTTTTGTACAGTGCTTGAAGACATTTATTGGTGGTAATTTACAGAATCGTTTTTATGGCTTTAATATCAGAACACTCTATCCAGATGAACAACGTGGAGCCCGGCCAATCTTCAGATAACCATCTCTTACTGCTGCTCGTGCTCGCAGGCATTTGTTTTAGCTATGTGATACCCAACACATGGTAACATCCATGCAGTGCAGCAGACCACTGTGATAATGACCACGGTAGCGACTCCCAAACATCCTTCCATTAGGCTAAAATGTCACGGTTTTGCCTAGTTCGACAACAGGAGACGATCCCAATCATAAAACGTACTTTGAAAAATAAGGAAGACTAATATATTTAAGGAGATGTTATCCCTGCATGGTAGCCAGTGTCAGAGAATATATGTTCCCTGCAAACATTTGTTCCTCTAGGAAACATTTTTTTTCTCTCGGAACAAATGTTTTTATTCCCCCTAGGAAATAATATATGGGAATATTGATCTCCTTCATGGATATTGATCCCCTTTATGAATATGGATCCCTCTATGACTATTGATCATCTTTATTAATATTGATCCCCTTTCTGAATAATTGTACCCCCTCCTTTGTAACAGAGTCTTCCTTTACACATTCTGACTGAAATTACAATTTTAAGATCACTTTTCAAACGTTTTTTGTCAAACATTCGCTCGGGTTTCTGGTTGCTAACGCTGTCGTAACAAATGTAGCCACCTCACCTCTGACCCCCAACCCTAGGGTACAAAGAAGTAAAAGATGTTCACTGGTTGGGCACAAATATTCGTTGCCTCGAGGGAATACATTTCTGGACCTGGTCAGAAATGAAGAGAAAGCTACAGTTGTTTATTTTTCCAGACACAGAAAGAATGTCGACCTGAATAGATAGATAGGTAGGATGTGTTGTAAAGACAAAAAAAGAGAGCTGCCTCTGAATTTGGTGGGTTTTATCACCAGGGTAAGAATCGATATAGCTCGGGAAGGAAATTAATCGATGAAGAAGGTAACAGTGGTTGGTACCCATCTCAGACAAGCTGACAGAGTCGACTTGGATGGCTAGGACGTTATCAACAGGAAAATCACATCGCAAGAAGAGAGGTGATGAACATGGAAACAACTGAGTGGAGGCCGAGAGGCAGACCTATAAAAGGGGTGGTTTGGAGTGGTGACCCAGGATATGATCGGAATATTTATCTGGGAGGAATCTTATGAGCGACGAAGCTCATTTTCACACATGGCCAGTAGTCACAGATGCCCATTTGAAGGACTGTGGCGTGGATGTGGTGATGGCGCAGGACACACGAGTGGGGGAAATTCCAGGAAGAAGACGATGAAGGAAAAGACAATGGTTTACGCTGGCTTTTGTTTTTCAGGATCAAATGGTGGCCATCGTGGCAGAAGGATGCCGCTCCCTGCTCTACCTCAACCTGGCCTACACTAATATAGGTGACGGCTCCCTCCGTGCCCTGGCCAGGTAACTCTTCGCCTCTGTACACTCCTGGCACACACGTACTTGTGTTCTGGCAGAGTAAATTTTCTTCCGTGTCAGGCTGATGTATGCTGCTAACTAAGACTGTTTAGTTATCTTGAAAACAACAAATTAAAGTAGTTGCCTAAAAATAGAGTTTTACTGAATGAGCTAGTTGTGGAAACTGTATTCACATTGCAATGCAACAAATCTTATGAATAGTACACTGGAGTCAAGAAATATCTCCCGCTGAGAGGTCGCTCATTCTTCAATGCTGCCCCCAGGGTCCGAAACTTCTCTCCAGCCATCCATGCTCTTCATTTTCCCTTTCCAAGTCCAGACTGAAGACCTCTTTTTTTCCGCTCTGCCTGTGACTCACTGCCTCTCTGAATTAAATATATCTGCCCTCTGTTTCTGTACAGCATCTTGAGATGCGATCGTATTTATACGCCACTATACACATCCAAATTGTGTTGTATAAACACGGTTGTCAGTGGCATGGCTCCCACTGACAACACCAGTTTTGTGTGAAGCTAAAGTGGTTGGGCAGGTGTACAACTACGGCTCAGTATTGTTTATAGTACTTATCATTTTATTTTATAAACTTTTGTAAATTGAAAGCTTGTTACATTGGGAAGCCACTGACGCTGTGCACTTTCAAATCTAGATTGAAAACTAATTTATCTAGTTTAGTTTGTTGTCCTTCCCCCGCACCTCTGATTAGCACGGTTCGCTACATACGGTGTAAAATAAGTTCAACATCCATACATTTTAAACATTTAATGTAAATACAAGAAATGAGCAGTATTAAAACATCTCAAACTGTCCCCAAACATGAGGTGACAGTTGTAACGTTGATGAAGAGTCCCCCGTGGAGTGGCAGGGAATGTAGTCGACAAACGGGCGTGTTCTCCACGGAGCGAGGCACGTTGAGACTGCAGTGTAAACCATGGAGAGTTGTACCTTCCATGTGTCGGCCAAGATCTTACCACTGCTGGACAAAGGCCTCCCCATGACGTCTCCATCTCCCACGCTGCTGCGATGCCACAATCCACCCTGGCTCCTGCACATGACCTAATCTCATCACTCCATCTCTGCGTTCTTTTGATATTTTGGGCGTGTTCCCTCCTTCAGTTGCCATTCTATCATCAGTCTCGGCCATCGGTCATCTTCCCTTCCAGAGATGTGCTCTGCCCAAATTCACTTGCTACCCTTGACAATCAATATTCATAGAATTTGCATTAGTTCTCTGATCTATGTGTTCCTCTTTCTGTGTCTTAGTCTAATTCAAAGGGTGCATATCTCCACGCTATTGCATACCATTCAGCTGTTATTCCATTTTCTTTGTTTAGTGCCCTTGTTTTCCGAGTCATATGTCAAAGTAGGTAACAATGACTGATTAAAAAGAAAACTCTGCTTTGGGCACATGTGTTGCTTTTCATATTGAAGTTCAGTTTTGTAAAAGCATTTCAGCCTGCTTGCGGTCACCTCTCTGTGTCATTGCTTTAATCCTGGTCTGCCTCCAGTAATTGCCAGAGGAACCACTGTCGTGTTTTCCAGCTGTATCCCTCTAACATGGTTTTCTTTTGTTTACAAACTTGTTGTGTGACTCCTTTTGTTAGCTCTTAGAGCCTAACTTTGCTGCCTTATTTGTTAAGTTCCATTAGTTGCTTTTTCCATGGGTTGCTGTACATACTTTGTTATCAGAAAATATCATTTGTTATCCCTTTGTGTTTATGCCTTCATTCAGCCAGTCAAATTTTCAGAAAACACGTGTTCAAGTTAAATAACTTCGGTGAAGGCATGTCGCCTTTCCTACCCCCCTTCTAATATTTATCTTTGTACTTCATGTCATCTCAGCATCGCTGTTCCGTTACATTCTCTTGCATAACTTCTCAGTATTTAAAAATATATATTTATAATTTAGGCATTGGTTCATGAGAACTTGGACGACTGCATTAAGAAGTTTTCATAGCCTGCAACAGCTAGGCACAATTAAAAGCAACGTTATTTAGTCGAGTAATTGAATTCTTTTTAATATTAAATTATATAGCGATGTTGCTTTGGCAGTGGTGCATGTCATTAACACTGTGGCCTTCAATGAAGACAAATAATAGGTGACGTTTCGGGCATTAGACCTTCATCAGAGCACATACCTTTCAGACTGGTCAGCTGTGTGAATGGCTCACCTGTAAGAGGCCAGAAGGTGTGCTCCAGGGCGCTTGTCTTGCCACGTCCTCTCCCTGGGTTTTTTTGTTCACCCCCCCCCCACCACCCCGATCACTGGCCGAGATCCACGCTCAGGAGGAGTCTGGAGACTGCGGTCTGCTCCGCGGTGAAACTGAGCTTAAAAACGAGAGGCGCGGCGGTCCCATCCCCCCAAGCACAACACTTGTGTACAGTGCTCGCCCGCTGTTGCAGCTGCATCAACTCCACCGTGACTCGGGGAAACTCATCCCAGCCAGGGCCCCACACACAAACATCTCCTGACAAGCGTTTTAGGAACCGCGATAGTTGCACGACGTCGCCGGCATGGAAAAACCATAGCCCCCTTAAGTTTTCCTTAACGGTGCAATAAAAAAAGTACGTGAGAGCGTACACCGAACGCAAATGCGTAAACATTTCTTCACGTTGCTGCGTAGAGTTGTAAAAAAATGCTTGGAGCTACAAAAGCGGAGAGTTTGTCAGTGTTTTTCAATAAATGTACAGTGGACTTAGTTGCGTTGGGCCAGCTAAGAGCTTACCTTCCCCCCCCCGTCCCCTCTCGTGGGTAGATTCTGTCTCCCGCTGCAGTACTTGAGCCTGGCTTACTGCTGCAAGTTCACAGACAAAGGGTTGCATTACCTGGCCACTCGCACCGGCTGCCGTCGCTTGCTGTACCTCGACCTCTCCGGATGCACGCAGGTGAGCCTTTTTTAATGTTTTCAATACTTGTAGCACATGGCCAGCGCCCGCACTCTGAACAAAGCTCACGTGCGGCTGCAAGCCAGCTTTGGCTCGCTCTGGCTTTTACATTTTACTCTCGTCCTATAAAGCTCAATGCTCTAGCCAATGAACATTCCTCTTGTCATTTAAACCACCGCCCCTCCCGCGCCCCTCTCGACCGGACCGACCATGAAGTCGAGTTTTTTTGGAACGTGTGCAAAAATGTGTCATTGCTCTGAGCAGTCACAATAATTGCTTCCAGATGTGCGAGCAGTTGGTAAATTGAATGAAAATTTTGCTTCAGAACAAGCGGTCCACTCGACGTTTACAGAGAACGCTACGACCGCTGCACGGTTAGGCGTTTCTATTAAACACGGTGAGCTTGCTCGAATATTCTCAGTTTAATCTTGTCAGATCTCAAACGCTAAGCAGACTTGCACCTGGATAGTTCCCCGTTGGATGAACACCAGCAGCTTTTAGAGGTGTTATAGGCTGTGGGGTTACATATTGGGCTGCAGGGGGCAGTGCAGCAAAATCCATTGTACTGTACCTCTGTCCTCCTGCATTATGCTCCCCACTTTCACCAGCCCGCACTGAGCAGCATGGTGAAGCATGGCACAATAACCTCCATGAGCCATGTGGTCCTCATCCAGCAGTGGATTTGCAAATGGCTGTAAGTTAAATATTATTAAGTGGGTCATAACATTTGTTTTTCAAATGGCTAGTGGACCAAGCAACCCATATGTTGAATTAATAATTCCCCAGGCACTGATTATCCATGAAAAATGACACCTTAATGAAAATACCAGGCATTTGTGAACATTTACTTTTCAACATTTAATGAATGAAACCACAATGATGCACAGAAGACTATTTGGGGAAAGACTCGGGATTTATTTGGTTGTTATTGAGGATTGGGGTTATGCCCACTGCATAATTGATGATGAGAAGCAGCAGCAGCATTGCAAACTTCTGTGAGGGCTTAGATACCAGCCTCTCATCTCCACATGAGACCGCCTGCCATGTGGCAGCCAGCCCTCGCCTCAATATTTGAAACTTTTGTTGTTGATTTTGTTGATCTCAATCTTTTGCCGGTCGGTGACCAAATTGCCCAGAAGGCATTGCTCAATCTCCCCGGATCTCGGCAACGTTGAGCCTGGACTCGCTTTTTGTGGGCGACCACCCCTGCTGCACAAGAGGTTGATTGCCACAGCGCTGTGGGCCTTCGTGGTGAGCACCAGAGGGAAGTTCAGCAAAATATAGCGTATTGTACCTCTGTGCTCTCAACGTCTATGCTGCCCACCGTCACAATAACAACCGCCATTCGCCACTAAGTGGCGGTGACGTCACCACGGTGCTTGTGCCAGGCTATGTGCACCTTGAGGCCACGTGCAGTGTCAAACGCCCGCTGGCAGGAGGTCACGGGGCAGACCCAGGTGCCCCGGTCGACTGATTAAGATGACTGGCCGATGCACCACCTGTGTCCCCTATTGTGCCACCATCACAAACCTGTACCAACCAGCATGGTGAAGTATGGTCTGGCCTCCACAACTTGGATGTTATAGAGGTCCTCATCCAGCAGTGGATTGAACAAGGGTTGAACACTCATGTAATATAATCTGTTGTCGCGAAGTTGGAAGAATTATGTGCAAATAAAATAGATTCATGGTTTTGGTGTATTTCATAATCCACGTGCCTGTGTAGTGTTTATTATGGCATCTGTAACCGATTTTACTCCTTGTAAATTTACGATTTATGTTTTGGTATTGTGTTTGTCGTATTTCTCCGTGATGCATTCAGGTTTAATGCTCTGGTCAAGTTGTTACGTTGTCTTTAGGTGTGTTGTGTTATTTAAGTTGTGGGGTGTTGCGATGATAGTGTTGTATTTAGCGTGTTGTGTTTGGGTTTTAAATAGCGGTGGGGGAACCCACACAGGGCTTACCACCAAGAAACCGCCCCAAGTACGATAATCATCCGTCACTGCAAGCATCTTTGCCGCACTAATTGGGTACTAGAGGGGGAAGATCTTAGACCTGGCAACATTGCTGTGTTTCTAATTTTAGCACAATTCTCAATCACTTCTGTCACTGCAAAGGCCTCGTCACGGTTGACATAGGAGGCGTTATTTTTTGCGTTATTATTGTAATGGTTGTGTATAAGTTTGTGACCCACCAAAGGTATTTGAAAGTCCTATTGGGCCCTTTGAAGTTGTGTACTTGGATTTGAAGTGTTCGATGTTATGCTTTTCGCAGACATCGGTGGACGCGTTTCAGTCCATCGCAACAAATTGCCATGGACTCCTCTCGCTGGTTCTTAATGACATCCCCACGCTAACAGACGGATGTCTGCTGGTGAGTAAAGAGACCGCATTCTGCTCATTCCTGTGATTACCAATCAGATTATAATAGCATTCACATTACATAAAGCGATTAGGAAAATGGGTGGCTGCAAAACAAACATTGCAAAGAAATAAACATCTGGGCCAAAGCAATGCAAAGTTTGAACTCGTCTAATTATGCATGCTTGTAAAACATGCACGAACCTCTGACAGTAAACATAATTTTAGTAACGATGTAACGATCCGTGCAGTGATCAGGAAACTGATTATTTACTGGAAACGGGTTCTTTTTTTACATTGCTTATGTAATTTGTCCTATGATGCATTTGGAAAGCATTGGTCCGTCATAAGATCGTATGGGCATGGTTATAGTGTTGTGTTGGGATACGCATTAAAGTCGGCTGGTGAGTTATCACCTGCGAAGGATGCCAGATCCCTTCATGCTTTATGCAGCACGCTATCACAAATCTATGCTAACCGGCATGGCAAAGTACGGCCAAACAACCCCGTGACTGATACTGCATGGGGAGGCCTTCATCCAGAAGTGGAATGACAAAGGGCTGTGTTTTTATATTTATACGTCAATGTATATAGTATAACACGATTTGTGCAACAATGTTAAATGCAACTTACTGTGGAGGTTTAGCAAGTAGAGTGGTAAAGCATTTGTGCCCGTTTAAACACATGTTGCTAAGAGGGCTCACGGTCCCCACAGGGTTCACAATGATACTAATTGAAACAAATGAATGTTAAATACACTAAGATTAGCAGAGTAATTAGTCCCCCCCCCCCATTTCCCTCCTCACTGCGCTTCAAAGTACTGTCACGAAATCAGGGTTGCGTTTCGATTTAAGATTTATATTGGCCGGAGGGGTCACATGCACTCGTTATGTATTGCATGCGCTAATCTAATAACAAAATTGATTCTTACACACGAGATTCAACGCGTGCATTGGTAGTAATAAGAAACAAAATTGAACGACGCATCAATCCATCGCTACACTTTCCGTGCAGGATTGAGTTCCTAACTTTAGTTGGAGTCCCAAGTGGATAAAAAAAAAATGTATAAATGTACGAGGGATCAGGTATAAAGATATTCATAGAATATTCATATTCATAAGAGCACTTGCCTCGAGCACATTAAAACCATCCTTTTGGTTTAGATATGTGGATGACACTTTGGTTTTCTGGCCACATGGTAAAGATACACTTAATGATTTTCTAAATCATCTCAATGCACAAAACCCGGCCATCCAGTTCACCATGGAAATGGAGGTGAATAACACACTCCCATTCCTAGATATTTTGCTTGGACATGGCCTAAACGGTAAAATAACACACAGCGTTTACAGAAAGCAAACGCACACTGATGCCTATCTGAATGCAGAATCACATCATCATCCAGCTCAGAAATCCTCTCTTATCAAGACGCTCATACATCGGGCTAAAACAGTGTCAGATGGTGAGAGTCTAGTGAGAGAGATTAAGCACGTTAAAGACGCACTACGACAGAATGGCTACAATAATGCTCAAATTAACAAGAGCACTGAATGCCAAATCACGATCGCAAAGCAATACTGCTGAAAGCGACCAGATTGTTAAAACAATAAAAATTCCATATATCTCAGGAGTAACTGACAAATTAGCCCGTGTTTTGCAAAAGCAAAACATTACAGTAAGATTTGGTACAGTACACAAAATTCAAAAACTAGTATCTTGCACTAAAGACGCATTACCTAAATTATTAACATAAGGTGTATATCGGATTAATTGTTTGTGGCAGCTGCTACATTGGGCAGACGGGACGTAACATCAGCATAAGACTTAAAGAACATCAGAGAAATATTAAATTATCTCAAACACAACTGTCGGCAGTGGCAGAACATGCTTGTCAACAAGGACACTCAATTGATTTTGACAATGTTGCAGTGGTGTGTAAAACTAATTATTACTGGCAAAGACTAATTAGAGAATCCATTGAAATTGAGAGGAACAAGAATAACTTTAATCGCTCTGACAGCTACAGGCTTAGTGCGGCCTGGAAGCGTATTATTAAATAATACACATTACATTTTGATTAAAGAATTACTAATCTACAACTCTTTACTAATCATAACCAATGACTGATTACTAATCGATTATATAATTACAATACCCCCCCTCCGCCTCTAATCACTGCACCTGATATGAGTTAAGCGATGACGTCACCCTGCTGCTCTATATAAAACCGGGAGCAAGCGAGGGCTTTACCATTCTGGAGAATTGCCCGATGATGCTGGATGTATTTACCAGCGAAACGTCGTACTCAAACTGTAAATGTGGATTCACTCTTCAACACACCGGTGGGCTAAAGTAGTGAATTATTTGTCTTTTGTCAACGTGACACTTTTTTTGCTGATTGGCCGTGTCGGGTGGTGGAGGGTTACGACACATTTATAAATAAACGCGATCTAACCCAAAAACCTTTATTATGAATAATATTGGTCGCAAAAGCCTACGTGTTAAATAGAAACTCTCAGTTACGTTTTCCTAAATTATCATCATCAGCCATGTTCTGTATTCAGGCCTCTCTGAAGCCGTCATTTCACGTTATTTTACGATGAAAAAATCCATCAAACTCCTGGACGCGAGCTGAATTCATTGCTCAATGTCCTCGGTGGGCGTACTCTTGTGCACGCTGCCTCCTTTGGTTGCGGCTCCAGCATTGGTCTCGACCACCGGTCGTCATCCCGTCTAGCGACGTGTCCCGCACAAGCCCACGTTTCTTAATGGTTAATATGACGTCTCTTGCGTTTTCTCTCCGGCGATTGCGTAATCTGTACAGCATCACAAACCACACGTGAAGATAAATAACTGATGAGAGATTGTTATCCCTTGGCACTAGAGCAGACAATATTAACTCGGTCATCTGCTCGGTATATATATTTTTCACTAAAATTGTTGTTTGTGATTCCAGCCGCTGATTGAAGTGAACCGCGGCTTGCAGAGCCTGAGTCTGCTGGGCTCTCCGCACATATCTGACGCAACGTTCAAGGCTGTGGCAAAGTGCTGCAAACTTACGAGCCTGCAGACCGAAGGCAAGTTACATCGCACGGGGAACACGTTATAAAAACATATCCTCCTCTGAGTGTAACAATGCACACACGGTGACCTAGAAGCAGATGATCACGTGTGCATTGCTCCAGATGAGCTCGTACTGGACGCAACATTTAAGTACAATGCATCATAATACACAGCAAATTTGCTGTACAGCTTGAGGTCGTATGATGGAGAAGAACTAATGCATTCGCGGTGACTGAGTGGTCGCGTGACCCTCGGGGCCTGTGTTGGGGGTGTTCTGTGATGTGTACCCCTAAACTACAGCACGTGGTGTTTGTTTCTTTTGGAATTAAACGTTGTAAGTAGACTCTTTGAGAAACATTCATGGGGTTTTCATCCGCCCTTTTAGCTGTAATGTAAGAACAAGCGTTTTTTTTTTTAAAGCAGTTCAAAGTAACCTACATTTTTGACTCGCGTAGTGTCAAAACCGAAGGACGAATTACTCAAACACCTAAACCCTTACCTGGAGTGCTGCACACGTGTATCTTAATCACGCATCAATGTACCAGTCCCTCTATTAAAATATTTTCTCATAGGGTTCCTCTGGTTTCCTCCCACACAACATGGTCTTAGCCAAACACCTCGATGCAGGACCCTCGCGAAAACTAGTCTTGAGACTCGGTAAAGCTTCCGTGAGTAAAATAATCGTGATTATAGTGTATATTGTTGTACAGTCACTGAGCGTATTTACAAGACGGACAGGAAACGTTCATTAAGGCAGTGCCCTTGTGGGGCTTCGTCCAGCCATGTGTTGCTTTCCATGGGGTGTGGTTCTGCAGTAGCAGCAGCAAGCAGCCCTTGCCACATTGTGCTTACGGTACCTTTTGCCAGTGGTGTGAGCGGGAGAGACTGTGGCCGAATCACCCAGAATACGGCCAATCTCGTCAGATCTCAGAAGCTAAGCAGGGTCGTGCCTGGACACTGCTTGGATGGATGAACACCATGCATAAGGGAGTCTAGTCTGCTGGGGTTGTGCTATTTTGTGGGCAGAAAATAGTGCAGCAGAATCCATTGTACTTTACCCATCTTCCAACGTCCGTGTCTTCAGCTCGCACGGACCAGCGTGGTGAAATCATGGTCAAATAGCTCCCACGACGTGCACGGGTAAAAAGCAGAGACAAATTTCTCACTGAATATTTTCTGGGGTTGCGAGTAGACGGGGAGGTTGCACGTGTCAAGTAGTCACAGTCATAGCGAGATATGTGCTTGATGTGGCTGCGGAAGTGTTTTCTGGGTCACCGACCCAGACATACGCAGCTGAAATGAAGTCGTTGAGTAAGTGTTATCCCTGCAGGTAACGAGCAGATGTCAGACGACGCGGTTCGAGCTGTCTGCCAGGGCTGTGCGGGGCTCGGCAGCCTCCAGGTCGTGGGCTGTTCCAGTCTCACGGACGGCGCGCTCAAGGCCGTGTCCGCCCTGCGGCAACTTCGTCTGCTCAACGTCTCCGACTGCGCCAAGTGAGCCGACCTTCCAGCCCTTGCCACTCAACCTAACCACAACCAACCCACTAACGCTGCAGTAAATCTGCGTCACTACGAGACAGGGATACTGTCTTGGTGTGATGGTTAGCACACGGGACTTGCAATTCGGAGGTCGCCGGTTCGGCTTCACGGTAAAAACAATGGTGCAAGTCTCTTAAAACACCTCCCCCGCAACCCCTCCCCCCCGACCTGCAGCCTCTCTGCACCCAGTAGCATAAATGGGTTCAGCACAGCTAGTTGATGGAAGGATAGATTGTGCATATGGGCTGGGATAAAGTGTGGATACTTCCACCTCTTCTCAGATGTCGGCGTAGACGAGTCGGTCAAAATACCATCTAGAGGGGCTCTCTCGAGCTCCTATTAGTGGAGGCCCTTCTGCCAGCAGCTGCATGTGCAAGTAATGCACCTTTACTACAAGGCATGCAGAATATGCTGTTCATACTGCAGCGGTGTAGGGTTGCCCTGCGTTGTTGTCGATGTCTGTAAGCCAGGTTGACCGATGCGGGGCTGAGGCACCTGACCGAGGGAGCGGCAGCCGCCCACCTCCACGAGCTCAACCTGAGCAACTGCGTACGAGTGAGCGACCTCACCCTGACGAGGCTGATCCCAAAGTGAGAATCGCACTCACCTCCTGTCTGGACAGATACCACTTCAATGTTAGAGTGGACTTGTGGTCACGTAAATCTTCTCCTGGGCAACAGCCAGTCCCAACGGTGAGCTAAATTTGAAAGCACATCGGAGAGCTATAGAGCGCAAGTGTTGAAGCCTGCACAAAGGTAGGATGATGAACTCTGTGAGAGGGTACAAGGGTTTGGGCTTGCTATAGAGGGGCTAGAAAGTGGTATGTTGGGGTAGAGCAATCATTCAGGTGCTGCTCGTTTTTGGCAATGCCACTTGTGTGACTCGTTTGTTTCCTGATGTCTGCTCAGATGTCAGAGCATGACTCACCTGAGCCTGCGCTACTGCGATCAACTAACGGACGCTGGGCTAGAGCTACTGGGGAACATGCCGGCTCTCGTTGCTCTTGACTTGGCTGGCACCAACATCCAGGATCAGGTGCGCAGCACCGGACTCCATGGCCCGTCCAACAAAACACCCAGACCAGTATCTGTCACTCTAGATAGCACTCGGACCAGAAACAATGGGCATGTTAAAACGCCTATTTCTATAGCCCTTTAATGTTAACCCGATAAGAAGACTGGCGATGGAATTGCAACCGAAGGAGCGAAGACGTCAGAGAATATGACCACTGTGGAGATGGAGCGATGAGAGATTAGCTCTTGTGTAGGAGCGAAATAGATTGACATCGCAAGACTTGACAAATGGTGACACGGGGAGGCCTTCATCCAGCCGTGGATAGACCATCGCTGATGATGTTTTATGAGGAACAATATCCATTAATTAATTAAATGTTATTTAAATATAGTCGATGTTTTAATGATCTGTAGTGAAACTCATTTAAATACTTCTAGATATAAAAATACCAAGTTTATATATTTACAGATGTTTTTGGCAGGATATGGTTTAAAGTCTATGCTATTTTGGTCCTGTGCTGAACATGGCGTAGGAAACGAGCAAACTCTCACATTCAAGAAGGCACTGGTCAGAAACCTCTGTTGGCTGCTGCCAATAGAATTGCGCAGCTGGTGTATGCCCTGTCCACTTCATAGCTCGCATTGGAGTGTACTAAAAACAAACATGTTTCATTTCAGGGCCTTGCAGCTATTGGGAACAACAGCAGACTCAAGGAGCTCTGTATATCGCAGTGCATCGCCATTTCAGACCTTGGCTTGCAGGTACAGACATTGCAAATCAGACTGTGGTCAGGGACAGCTAACCTCCGACCAGCTCAACCAGATCTCAGAGGCCCATTAGCATGGAGCCTGAATAGTGCCTGGATTTGCGATCGCCACACATAACAGGCATTATAGGCTGTGGGCCTATGCTGTAGGCAGCAGAGGGCAGTGAGGCGAACTGTAGGGCTGTACTGTATATCTATGCTCCCACATATCTTATTCCTCGACATTGTGCCTCACAAAATACGAAAAGTATCAATGGACTTAAGGAAGCACTAATTAAAAAATTAACCCTCATAGGTAGCACACATTAACTTGGAACCACGAGTCTGTGCTTTCCACTTTCACCAACATGCATTGACCAGCGTGGTGAAGTATGATAATTTAACCCCCACGACCCATGTCGTGGGGAAGCCCTCTTCCAGCAGTGAATTAACTAAAGGGTCTGTACATTTTTTTTAATTACCTACCTGTCGTTCGCAAGTGATGTTTTGCATATTAAGGAGAGTGCTGTGGGCCCCCTGTATGTAATACGAGTGTGGTGCGGCATCGATCGGAACGTCAGAAGTTCTGCCAGCGCGTGCGGGACCTGGAGCGGCTGGACGTGTCACACTGCCGGCTGCTCTCCGACCTCGGGGTCAAGAACCTGGTGTTTTGCTGTCGCCGTCTCACCTACCTCAACCTGTCTGGCTGCGCACAGGTGCCCCCAACTACAGTACCCCCACACACACACACAGGCACGACACTGAGCAGTTACTCCTCCCAAAGCGCGAGGTTTCTGGAGAGTGCAGCAAGGTCACTTAAGGTAGGTTAGGTAGGCATGTGCAGATCAATGCACATTATCTCAGCCAGTACCACTGCTGGATGAAGGCCTACACACGCAGCGTGGTTCATGGGAGGTTAGTTGACTTCTGCACCATGCTAGCTGTGTGGTGAAGGCCTGGAATATAGATGTAGGAGCATCGAAGTACAGCACAATACATTTTGCCACACTGCCACTACATAGCACAATCCTCACATGGTGGGCACCCATCAACTTGATTTATCTTCCGTGCTCTGACGCATTGTGGATGATATGGTCACAGGCTATCCAGTACCAAGTGGTGCTTCAAGCACTGGGACGCAGAGAGAGAATATAAATGTACAAGCACATACACAGCATACACACACGAAGATCCCCTTAGCTTTTCACAGATTGTTGCGGCAAATGCTGTTTGTGAACATCGATTAAGGCCAGTTTTGGCGTACAAGGGGGTGGGTGGCCAGGACCACGACTGGCCACCTTTGTCTCTCTAGTGCTAACGCTTGCACACTGCATCAGGTACTCTCTAAGGCTAAGTTGATCTAGGGGAGGCCCAGCATTGGTTTAGATATTCGTCACCAAAGTTGGTGAAGTGGGAATCGAACAAAGACAAAAATGAGGTGAAAACATCATTCATTACAAAGGGAACATTCTGAGAGCACTCCTGTGCTAGAATTGCATATTTATTTCTTTTCGCTCAAATGTATCGTAGCAATTTAAATGGGCACCGTGTAAAGGTTAAAATTATTTAACACTTAAGGATTTAGTGCACGGCACCAACATTTTAAATAACTCTATCTGCCAACACATAAACACACGAGAGTGGTGTCAACTCGGGAGTGTTTATTATAGCCGGGTAACAGGCACAGTCGGACACAGAATAGTTACTTGAGCAATGTCAGTGCTGGACAGATGCACAAAGTGAATTAGGCCAGGCAGGATTGGGGTCTGAGTAATGAACTCTCCAGTTGATGCCGCGCGAGTGAAATGGATTTCCAGGCTGGTAAAATGCAACTTGAAAATGAACTCATGAGTACATTCGATAGATGCTCTACTGTACAGTCTCTCATACTAACTTATGGCGGGCGTATGTAATATGACTTTGAACTATTAAAAAAACTTGGAATAACAATACAGCACTAAGACAACGGATAACAGGATGGACTAAACCAATTGAAAGTCTAAAATAAGTTTTATCCCAAAATTTAAACTGCACGATGTAGCGCATTATAGGACGCCAACTCACGGGCCCTGGGGATCCCGTGACCGCTCCTTCACCGCGCACACATCAGAAAAATTGCTGCACAGCAGTTTTCCTATGAAAGCCTTCCACAGGCTGTTTCCGTCATAGGGGGGTTGGTTTGACCGAATGACCACGCCGGTCATTGCCGATCGAATGAGGGGTGCCCAGCGCCAATTCAGATACCACTCTCTGCCAATATTAATCGTGGTCAGGAATCGAACTCGGGTGGCCGTATCACCACGCAGCGCGCAAACTACTGCATCACTGAAGCACCATGCAAACAAAATGTACATATTTGAATTCCATGCATGTGTATTTTTGCTATGCCTAAAACGCCCAGGGCTAAGCGTATCAGGAGCGCCGGCCCCCAGGAACTTACGGTGTTCCCTCACGTGTCCGTGTGCAGCTGACGGACGTGAGCGCGCAGTATCTGTCGGGAGTCTGTCGTTACCTGCGCATAGCGGACCTCTCCGGCTGCGTCAAGCTGGGAGACTTGGCCACTCGCTACTTGAGGAAAGGCTGCCGGCAGCTCGCACACCTCAATATGCTGTACTGCCCCAGGGTCAGCAGGTATGGAATCACTTTTCACACAAGCGCCTGTCACATACTGTGGTGTCATTTAACAGGTTTGGTTACACACGTGGCCAGTGCTGGATTATCCAATTAGCATATGTTACAGGTCCCGGACTTTTAAGGGCCCCGCGCTAAATGCTTATCAATTCTGGTTCAGTGATTCTGCACTTGCTCTATTACTATAGTACTATACTGCCTTCAACTTTTATGAATGACTGGGTGTTTAAGGTTAGCGATTTATCGTATTATCTGGCGATATGGCAAATAAAAAATACAATTACTTTACTACACAAGTAAAACATTTGTGTTTTCATGTTTTTTTTATTTATTTCGGGCCCCTTTATAACATATGCTACAGGCCCCGCACTAGCTTAATCCGGCACTGCGTGTGGCTTATTTTTACTCGAGTCTGCATGGATCGGCGACCCACATCGGGTGTAATTCTCACTAGCGGTGGCTACGAGTCACGTGCCACCTATTCCAGTCTACCAGCGACCTGGAAAATATTCGGTGAGAAGTTCAGCCGCTGGTTGCACAAGTACAGACACTTTCCCAAGCCTGCTGTGATTTCATTTGAGCGCCTAGTGTGTGTTCCCTGCTTGCTAGGCTAAGGGGCCTCAGATACCTGTCCATACGTCACCACCTTGGCCAGTGTGGGTTGGTGAAGAAGTGCATGACATAGAGGCGTTTATGTACCTTTGTGCTTATACTGAAGTCACCGTCACAAACTGTGCGTGTGTCTTTAGGCATGCTGTCTTGAAGCTGGGAGCCCAGCTCGAGAGCTGGCAGCATACTTCCGAGTCTCCGCCACCTTGGTTTGGTTATGACTCTAGTGGCGTCTACCTGGAGCCAGTTTCTGCTGTTGCCAATGAAGAAAGAGGAGTCCCTGACTCACAGCCAGATGGCATTCTTAGTGCAGCGTAACCTTAACGAGTCACCCGTTCCGGTAAGTGGTGCCGTCACTATCGGTGAACTGTTATGTGTGAAGCAGACCGCGTCAAATATGAAATTCAGAAAACACGGTAACAAAAGATCGGAGTGATTGTAAACAGTTTATTCTTTGATCGATTTATTTCCCTTGCAACCAGACCACAATTTTTTCATTTCTGCAAGTAAATAACAGTTCGCTGGAGAGAAACTTAAGTAAACAAACCCACAGCATAAATATTTTGATGTAAAGCAGCAACGCTAGTCCTCAACAAGGATTGTAAACCAAATATGTGCTTCTGTAGTTGTTACTTTCTTAGTGTTACTTTGGTTAAATAGGATATCTCTCACTGGGACATTACTGATTTTCCTTCAGCTCCATCCAGGGGACAGGGAAGGGTGTTTTGGGGGATGTGCTTTAAAAATCTCAGTATTTAGCAAGGCAACAGTGTATTTCTATTGTAAATAGGTCATTTGTAGTGCAGTTTAATTGAGGCTGACATAATTAAGACACTCTCGTCAGGCTGTCAAAGTATTTCAATATCATTCCACGAAGGTTCCATTCAGCATTTTGGCCTCCAAATCCTGCCGGACAGCCAGGTGGTTTTGCAGGTTCCGTGCGTGGTGTGGCAAGTTGGCATCCCACACCAGAACGCACACAGCACCAGCTGCACACCCACAGGGAGTGTACACAGACAAAGAATCCCCCGTATAGCCAAAGACTTTGGGGCAAGTGTTGTTAGCAAGCACCTACCAAGGCCTATTGGTGATGTTTATACACTGCACCAGGTACTCATTTGAGATTGAGTCGACCCAAGGGAGACTCGGTATCAGATCAACTTCCTTGGTGTTGGTTGTGAGCAGGATTCGAATTTGGGTCGCCAGGTTCAGAGTGCAGCGTGCTAACCACCACCACTGCTCCCCACAGAGGGAGAGCACACCTGCACATTACCTAGACATGCAAGAGTTGAAACTCACACACATACACAGGCAAATCGACTCACGATTCAACCCAAATTCTCGCATTCAAGGCCCCCAACACAGATTACTTGACTTGCAGAGGCACAAATCATTTTTAAAAGCAATGGCATCTTGTTATGTACCGTCTTATTTAAACTGGCCTGACTGAGCCGAACGTGCACGGGTGTGTACACTCGCTTGTGCCACGTGCACTGTCTTGTTCTGCCTCATCCATCTCATCTAGACTGCCTGTTTGTCGCTTTTTTATACAGGATATTTTGTACTATCTCGGGGTAAAACGATATTAATTTCCCTCTATCCTTATCTCCTCTGCATCCACAAGACCTAACCTTCACGAATCGGGGAATCAAAATGAAGTTAAAGCTGTAACCAAGAAACAAATAACGTTTAACCTTTTAAAGCAGATATGTAGTTACACATAAGCCTGCAATAGTTCGTAAATACTGTCAGTCTTCCACACCACACCTGGAAATGCAGACGTAGCATTAATTTATGCATATATACAGGAGTAATATTTTAATAGCCAGTTGTGATATAATTCGACATTGGTCTGTTCGCCATGACTGGGTATCAAACTCAGGTGGGTCGCTGCAAGATTCACTCTGAATGCCAAAGGTATGATTAACACTGAATCAGCCCAACTAAAGCAATTCTTAGACCCCTACAGAAGGGCGAGAAACGAACCAATGCGGCATGGCTTCCTTGTTCTCATCTGTCCTGGGTGTATTGTGCCAATAAATAACATTTACTCCATCCGCTCATGGGCCCTCTGGCCCACACATCTTATTGTGTACACGCAAGTCACAAGTATTGTGTAAAATTTTGATTTAAAGCTTTTGTGACTGCAGGGATTCATATTCTTAGTTCTTTCGGTAAAGTCACGTAGAAGGGAAACAATAAAATAATACAAATATAAAACAATAAAATTATCACAACGTTTCGACTGCAACACAAGCAATCATCATCAGGTGTGAAAACCACAGCAAGAAAATTTGAAAAAGTGGCGTTTTTTTACGTTAGCACCACGGAGAGCGATATGGCAGTTATTCAGATGGACGAGTCCATCTATGTTCGGAAAAGAGGAGGGGGGAGACGAAAATAATGGATGCGGTCTGAAAGCCACCGTAAGCGTGAACAATCAATTAAGACCCGAAATGGTTTATCAAATCCTTCCAATGATTGCTAAGCCAGAATCCATCTTCTCAGTTGAAATTGTCTCATTGTTTGTATATGTGGATAGCCTCATGAACGAATCTCTCATGGTAGCCAGATGGCTTGCAGAGAACCTCTGTCTTGGAGAAGTCAATGTGATGTGAGCCTACTGAATTATAACAGTGATCTGCCACGGTCAAGGTGTTGGTCCTACCGTGTTTTAGGTCTGCTTTGTGTTCACGAATGCGGTCCGAGACATGTCGTTTGGTTTCTCCAATGTAACTACTACCACAGAGGCAACTTAGTTTGTAGACGCCAGGGTACTGTATGTCCGGAATCACATATTTTACAGACGGAACCAGATCACGGATTTTATGTAATGTGTTGAATCGGACCTGGATCTTGTGTTTATTCGTCAACACAAAGCAGACCTAAAACACGGTAGGACCAACACCTCGACCATGGCAGATCACTGTTATAATTCAGTAGGCTCACATGACATTGACTTCTCCAAGACAGAGGTTATCTGCAAGCCATCTGGCTACCATAGAGATTCGTTCATGAGGCTATCCACATATACAAACACAGAGACAATTTCAACCGAAAAGATGGATTCTGGCTTAGCAATCATTGGAAGGATTTGCTAAACCATTTCGGGTCTTAATTGATTGTTCACGCTTAATTGATCACGTTAAAAACCGCCACTTTTTTCTAATTTTATTGCTGTGGTTTTCACACCTGATGATGATTGCTTGTGTTGCAGTCGAAACGTCGTGAGAATTTTATTGTTTTATATTTTTATTGTTTCCCTTCTACGTGACTTTACCGAAAGAACCAAGAATAAGTACTGTGTATGTGCACGAGTTACTCATTAACTATGTGCTGCCTCAATTGTACTCTTTCATCTGTAATGTCTCATCAGTATTGTATGCCTCACTTATTTTGGCCTCACTTATTTTGTCTTGTCTCTACTGCCTGTCCTGCTTTTAGTGTCCTAAGTCATCAATTATTGTACAGAATACAGTTGCATAACATTTACATAATATTCTACCATGCACATTTCAGCTCAAATGTGAGCAAACGGTTCCATTTCCTGAATTATGACACACCCCGAGGCATACGAACTTGTGTATGTGCGCCCATATGCAAGCCACATGGCACATGAAAGCGCACATAGGATTGTGGATGAAAAGTTACTATGTAAGAATTATGGTAAGACCTTTGTTAAAGCACTGCTGGATGACGGGTGACTTTAAGTTTTGATATTCTATGCATACAATTGTAATGTGTATATTTATACTGTCCGGACTGTCCTAATTGTAATGTAATTTTAGAGAACATCTCAAAGTGCAGTATAGAAATTGTGACAAGATAAAAGTGGAGCCCTGCAATTGCTTGGTCACACCACTGCTGGAAAAATGGCCTCCACTAGAGTCCCTCTAGACGGTATTTGGCCTACTCTTCCATGCTGGCCCAACGTCATGGATGAGGTGGGAGTACCAACACTCTTCGCCACACGTGCCTGCCGATCATCAACTGTGGTGTACCCATTCATCCTGCTAGGTGGACAGCTGATGGCACTTTTTGCAAATCAGCAGAACACGTAAACCAAGGGACCTTTGGATTGCAAGTCCGGTGTGCGAACCATTACACCACTGCAGCATTCTGTATTCGATTTATATATCCATATAGGTGGTGATGTGACGAGGAGTGCCCGACTCAACTGGAAGGTAGCGAGTTCGAACGTTTGAGGTCGTGAACTCGGCTCATGAAGCCTCTGAGACAGGCCGTGTTGGCATGAAGCCAACACTGCTGTTAAGCTAAGGATAGACGGATTCCTGTCATAGGAAAGAGGAATTTTCACAACCGCTGGAGCTGAGAACTTCGAGGCCTTTTGGACCAGTTTTGAATATCTTACACACAAGTATTGTATATACACGAGTTACTCGTGTATTAACTTTGTACATTTCTGTATGTGCAGGCAAAAAGTCTTACCTTCGTCATCCTTCTTTGCAATGTTTGATCCAAGTGCAAATATTAAATTCTTTGGATAACGATCTGCCAAACAAAAGTTTATATTTTAATACATTCTCAACGCCACCAACTTTGTAATCAAGAAAATATTAGCAGCTACAAAACATTAGAAAGACTTATGTCACTGGCTCACAATTGGCAATCCTTGCAAATTATGTCAACATCGTCAAGCATCAATCCACTGCTGGATGAAGGCCTCTCCTCAAAGCCGCCGCATGCTCTTGCGCATGAGCTTATCTCATCCGCACCAGAGGGAACACGCGCCAAAGTACATCAACCGTGGAGAGGGAGCGCTCAAGCGCAGTAGCTAGATGGATTTATTTTGCATCGTGAGACCGCGAGAGATGGTGACGGTTTGGGGAGGGCCTTAGTCCAGCAGTGGCTAGAGCGTGGATGGTGGCGTACCTGAGGAGCTCTGCGCAGGAAGAAGGTGGCGGAGCGGTCCATGCAGCCGCTGTGTGACGAGCAGGGGCTGCCGGGACAGCGCGTCCAGCAGGAGCAAGACCCCACCGCTGGTGCCCACCCACAGCGCCGTGTTCCTCTGGACCAGCAGGCTCTGCACATGTGCCGCTTGCCCGTCTCGCCCGTACTGCTCCCTGGACAAGCCATCGTTTTCACAATGTCACCCCACAACGAACTTGGCCGCCCCACCCCCACTCCTCTGCATGTTTCGAGGTTCACTCGGGTTTTGATTAAATCAGTTGTATCACAATTAATAATAATATAATAATAATTAACATCTATTTGTAAGGCGCCTTCCACTAATGTCTCAAGGCGCTTTGTAAGATTAAGGTTAAGAAAAGGCCATGAGAGAAGGAGAGATACATATAATAAATGGACTTAAGAAAATTTGTTTTTAGACGCGACTTAAAAGTATCCACATTGTTGGTTAAACGAATATACAATAGTAGGGAATGCTACAACCGAGGTGCAGACACAGCAAATGCCCGGTCACCCCAGAAACGCAGCCCGGATCAAGGTATGCCCAGAAGGGCAGAGTCTGCAGCTCTTAACGACTTTGAGGAGGTGCACGGATGGATTAGCTCGTGAATATATGGTGGTGGTGCCAGCCAATGCAAGGCTTTAAAAATCTAGTAGAAGGCTCTTAAACTCGTTTCAATTGTGCTACCGGTGTCAAGTCATGAGATGAAGAATCGCGGCTCTGTCACAGAGCAGTGGTAACCCTTGGTCTTAAGAGAATGGCGCACGGAATCGAATATCACAGACCTACCTCTGAAATACCTACGAGTGCCAGCTGATGTAAACAGTAGGGGGTTGCACATTCACTAATGTTTGTCACGAGTCAATTCTCAAATCTGAATAGCCAATTCAATATGGGTTTCTTTTACAGTCATTAGTGATCCGATTGAGGCTTGCCACAATTTAGAAGCCAGTTTACTCCGTCCTGGCTACCTTTCTTTTAAACCCAGGATATCAGCAGCACCAAGTGAGCGGTCTGAGCCATCCCCGGCCACATCTTCAGACGAGGGACATTCCCCCTTATAAAGGGAATTATGTTGAGGCAGCACACAGTGGCAGAAGCAAACCTGAGTAGCGGTGCGCAGTCGATGGCTCCGTGGCCCCAGTCCGTCCTCATGTCCCACACCTGCAGCCGGGACGTGCCCTCCGTCGCCGTGAAGACCTGCTTCCCCACGGCCATGCATGCAACGGACGACCCAGGAACCGCGCCTCTCCTGCTTGCCACAGGCGCAACGCCATCCCACCACAATGTACCCAACGCCATTCCGTAGCAGCAAGATGCAAAAACGCTCGACGGCAACATTTTTCAATTTACAAAGTGTCCGAATGCCTAAAAATCAGGGAGGGGCGAATGAGGATGGCGAGGTGGATCTCAGGGATCGCAAGACTGGATCGGGTCGGAAATGAAGAAGGCAAGAGTCACAACCCATCACAGACAAGGCTGAAAGCAAGCAGACTTGCAGGGCTCCGGCATGTCATAAAAAAGAGAAACTATTGTAAGGGAGGCGATGATCATGGAAGCACTAGAGTGGAAACAGAGGCAGGAATAGAAATAAGTGCGTCACAGCGGTGAGCCAGAATATGGAGGACCGTGGATATGGCGATGATGGCCGCAGGATAGGAATGAGTGGAGAAGCAGTCCCCACATGAGTGGGAAAAACTCCAGCAAGAAAAAGATAGAGTTTATATGCAACCGCATTTCAAAACACTTCACATCGACGAGGGACAAGATTGGGGAAGACAGTGCAATGGAAATGAGGGTGAGGGCAGGGACATACACGGAGGAGGGGGGGGGGAGAAAGCAGTGGCCCAGGGCCAACCAGTCCAAATATATTAACATTTTCCAAATGTAAAAACAAAAATTCACACTGAACGCTTGCAAAAAATTTTTTTAGGGCTGGCTGTGTGTAAAAGTCACCTTCCCATGGGTGTAGTTTCGATGACTTTGGCCACTTGTAAGTTATTGCTGAGAGCGAACAGCTGCGTCCCACACGCACCCCACACGGTCCTGTCGAGCGGCGCAGAAGGCGCCACGGTCAGGCACGTGACGGGCCGGCCCGGCGAGCCCACGCCGTGCACCGTGTTCACGACACAGCCGGGAGTCTACAAAACAACGCCATCAAACCACTTGGCATCGCGACTCTCAAGAGAGCTTCTTACAAGCGAGATCTAACCCATGAATGGAGGAGACTAAACTATTTCATACTTTTTATTTTACCAGGTAAGGCCCACTGAGCTCTATAGCTCTTTTTCAGATGCGACCTGGCCACATGATAGCTCAACTAAGTGGCTTATGTGGAAATTTATAGCAGCCAAATACTCTAAATGCATGTTTCCAAATGTGGAGGGAAAAATCTGAGGACCCGGACAAAAATCCACATGACCATGGGGAGAACATGCAAATTCCAAATATACAAATGTCAGGGTCGGGATGGAACCCACGATCTCCTGCATAGGTGAGGTAGTTAACATCTCGCCACTGCAACACCATGAAAGTCTTCTCTGCGGCACACTCTCGGGAGTTTGTAAGCTGTTTGCAATTCATGCTGTGGTGTGCGTGTGCCAGGATACAAATAGACATCTGTGGTGCTTGGCGATTGCACACATGCCTCGAGTGAGTTCACAACGAACACAGCCAACGTCCCATTCGCCGTCCCGGCCAGCACTGCACTTGCGTTCCTGAGCACAATGCAGATGATGTCAGGACCAACAAGGGTTCATATTTACTTCTGTAAATCCACGTTGATGTCGTCAGGATGAATTACCCATAACGAAGCCAAAGGGTCTCTTTTTTTGTCTTCTCCAATTCCTATTGAGCTATCGGTGTCATAAAACAATGTTGTAGAATGGTCTGTGGAAGCGGATACCGCAGAGCTATTGCTGAGATTACTTCAATTTATCTCTGCTGCACACAGAAAGGGGGGGGGGGGGGTGGGGGGCAAGCACTTTCCCACCCACCCTGGCACAGATAACAATGCTTAGTGCAGGACAGTCAAACCAACTTTTAAATCTCCCAGCTGAAACGCAACCAACATGATGTTCCAAACAAAGTTTTACACCACGAGTCGTTTGTCATTGGTGATTAGGGAGAGACCATCAACTGATCATGGGCAGCTGCCTGGATTTGACCCCAACGTCTCAAGAGTTGCCAGCTCGGCGATCTTTTCGCCACCCAGCCATAACAGAAATTAGAAAATCAGTGAGCAGGTCATTTCTACAGGGGTGTGTGTTTGTGTGGTTGTAGCTCGGGAAGTGAGACACCTACTGGTAGGCAGCGACGAAGATCAGCGCCGTGACCGGCTCCGACAGGCAGTGCAGGGAGTGGCGGCTACGTTCGGGGGCGGCGCTCACGACCCACACGCGCCCCGACCGTGTCCCCGCCAGCACCCACTGACGCTTGTTCACCTCCGCCGAGCACAAGCTCAGCACCCGCTGGTCTGGCAGCACCTGTAGAAGTAAAGGCCTAGCACTGGAATTTCCTGCTTGCGTTTTATTTACATTTATTTTCGCGAGCAAATTGTACAATTTACACCGTTGTTGATTTCCTACGTTTAAGTTTATTCCCAGTTGTATTTCAAGCACGATATCGGCATTAACGTCATGCAACAAAGATATTTCCACTTGGAATTCTGCAGCTAGCGGTGAACCACCCTGCGTAAGACGGCGACGGCACCAGAGATTGACGTCGCTAATACACGTTTTGTAGGCACTTGCACCACGTGACCGTTAAATGAATGGGCGCAAGGCGGAGGTCGCATGTTGCGCAACCATCCTTGTACCCCATTGGCAGCGTTATATATATACACAAATAAAGATTGTACACCAATTGCCCTACACAATCGTATTGAGCAACTACAGCTCAGCTACTCTTACCTATGTATATAACCTTTCCGGTTATAAAGTCAATGTCATTTACTCTTCAAATGGGCATTGCGAGGATTCTCATCTTCAGTTTACAGCTCTGAACCATTAGTGTACAATCAACATTGCTATGGCAGAGGCAAGTCGACCCATGTGACAATCATTGTCGACCTCCCCACGAGGTGGTGCTCAATTTATTAACCCCAGAGGGATAATAGGGCCGAGTCAACCCCCTACTAGGCTTTTAACTCGCAACCTTCCCACGGAGAGCAGCTCACTCCACCGCCGAACCACCCGACCAGCGCTGCACAAGAGCGTTGCACAACCACAGCCTTACCACCCCCTCACCTCCCTGTGCAGAACCTTCCCAGTGAGGTCAAGGCAGCAGAGCTCAACCCCAGCCGTTGTTTCATCCGATGGCTGCAAGGGGCCCTCCTCCTCCCCTGCTTTTCCATTAATTTGTAGATCGCTCTCGGCCTCTCCGGAAGAACCATCCCGAGGTTCATCTCCTCCGGACAGCCAGATGTTGGGGCCGTCCAGTTGGCCGACCACCACGAGGTCAGGAGGTGGCCTCTTCACAGGGGCAGCCACCACGGCCACCAGGCTCAGCAACTCAGGGGAGGCCAAACGTGACACGAGCTGCAAGACACGGCAACGCAAAACCATGTTGAAGTTGGACAAACTCCAAAGATAAAGACATATCCCCCCACGTAGCTTGCATGGGCTGCAGTCAAGTGCTTTGAGCGAGTATGAAGGCTGGAATGGCATACTAGTGGGTGGTGTGGCCAGAACCACACCCAGCCACATTTATCCCTTAAGTGCCAAGTTGACCAAAGGAAGGCCCAGGACTGGTTCAGATATTACTCACCAATGTTGGCCATACGCGGGAATAAAACGCTGGTGGCCGGGTTTGTAGCTCAATGCGCTAACCACTACGTCACCACTCCCCCAAAACTCCAGACACACACAAGACCACCCTGCAGCATTTACCAGCACTGTGTGTGATGAGTGTAGGCCCTCTTGTAAGAACAATGTTACCACTGACCATAGGGCTCCACCATGCATCCACGTAAGTATACAACATAGCATACCATGTTGGATGCAGAGCTAGTCTCCTTATTGCAGACCCGATCCAAAAGTGAGCCATTAGAACAGGCCTTGCGCGAGTGGTGGGGGTGCCACGGTGGCGAGTTGTTAACTACTTCACCTGATATGCAGGAAGTCGTGGGTTTTACCCCGACAATGACGCCTGTATATTTGGAGTGTGCATGTTCTCCCTGTTGTCGCGTGGATTTTTCTCTGGGTCCTCCGGTTTTTCCCTTCACATTTGGAATCGACGTGCGTTTGGAGTATTTGGCTGCTATAAATTTCCACGTGATAAGCCACTTCGTTGAGCTACCATTTGGGGCCAGGTCGCTTCTGAATATAAGAAGCTAATAGCTCAGTGGGCCTTAACTGGTAAAATAAAGAAAGTTTATCAGTTTTAAATCGTGTGGGACGGGGATACCTGTGAGGCTGCGGGCCTGTGCTGAGGCTCTGGCTGCAGGCAGGCTGCGATGAGTTCTTGCACGTCTGGCCACGGACTGCAGCCGTAGTAAGTCACTGGGTCTGAGCACACCACAGAACCCATGCGGCACAGTCATACGCAAAGCTACTTTTGACACACGATGCACGTGAATCAACAGGCATGTCCATATACAGCACCTTTGTCAAGCCACTGCTGAATGAGGGCCTCCCCATGCCGTGTAGGCCATGGGAGTTATATGATCATACTTCACCATTCTAGTCAATGTGGGTTGGTGAAGGTGGGAAGCATCGACACGAGAACATGTAAGTACAGGCAGTTTAACATGTACACTTTTGCAACCAATATCCATAGATGTTTTTTGGGCTCAATCGTGTAAATATAAACATGACAATTCGTTACTAGTTCAGCACACCGGTGTGTTGTAGAGTAACGGATTGCCATATTTTATTGACGTGACAACCTTTGCGAAACGGCTGCGTTAGGTGGTGGCAGGTTTAACGACATTCATATTTACGTGATATAACCCAAAAAGTACAGTATTACAATGGATTTTTCTACACTGCTATCTGCTACCCACCACACAGCCCCGCAGCCTATAACAACCTGCTTGTGCATGATGGTCACCCATCAAAGCACTAGCCAGGCTTAAAACTGCTTAGCTTCCCAGGTCTAACACGATCGGGCACATTATTTTGGACAAGGGATGCAGTTGTGCTGGGTGGGACGTGTGCCGTGTCGGGGAGGGGCCGGCTGCCGAGACCGGCATTGGAGTCGTCTCCACAAGTCCGGCGACCAAGGGGAAGAGCTAAGGACCAGATGGTGGGAGACTGCCAGGGCAGATCTTGGAGCTCGCGTTGCTACCGTGCATCAGCTGCGGGATTTGGCAGAGGGTAGGATGCGTGGGCGAGGTGCGGATTCTGTTAACGGCTTTGGTTAGGATGATGGCTTGACTTGGCGCGTGGACGCTCGTGCGCACACGTGCGTGTGTTTGCACGTGTTGTGCGCATGCATGCGAGGAGGCGTCGTGTGTCAGGGACCGGGCAGCTTCCCGCTGGAGGCGAGCTCGTCAAACTCGTGGGGATAGCGGAGCCCCTCCACGATGCGCCGCCCGCCCGTCAGCAGGTCGTAGAGCAGGAGCCCAAACGCGTACACGTCGGCCTGCTGGTCGTACATGACGCCTCCCTTCACCACCTCGGGGGCGCGGTAGCCTGAAAATAGGACAACCCCCCCCCCCCTTTCAGCAGTCGCGAATTAAATGTACAACGTTTAAAATAGATCATAACAATGTTTCTCTCTGCACCTCTACTCTGAAGATCACCACCACCATCGCCAGATATGTGCTCATATGGCAAATCCCCTTTAATATTGATTGTGATGAGCTGAGCATGGATTATCAATAATTATCTTCCCTTTAATCCCTTATGATCCCCAGTTTTATAAAATTAGTAAATGAGTAATAATGCGGAGCCCTTTGTCAGGCCGCTCCTGGATGGTCACGGGGGGTTGTTTGACCAAACTTCATCACAAATGTCTACGTATGGTGTGAAAGAAGTTCAACTCGTACATCACATTGGTCAATGCAGGTTAGCGAAAGGGTTGGGGGGGGGGTGTCCAAGGTGGTTCTGGTATCACCACGGATGTTAGCCATGGCCAGGAATAAAAAAAAAAAGGACAGCCCCGTGGAGATTCTAACCACGATGCTACAAGGTGCAGCATGGGGAAGGCGGCTCTCACCGGGTGTGCCATCGGGAGATACCATGCCCATGGTGCAGCAGTGCCGTGCGATGCCGTAATCGGCAATCTTGGCGATGACCGCTGCGTTTGGTTGCAGCGTAAACAGCAGCACATTGTCTGGCTTCAGGTCGCGGTAAATGATCATGGAGGCATGCAGAAACCTGCCACACGCACACAAACACGCACCTACCTTGTTACTACCTCCACAACACAGTGTGGGATTTATATAGCGTCTCCGCACCTTGACATGCTGCACAGAAACAGTGGGCCTATTTGTTTTAGAGGCAATTAGTTGTAAGTTTATGTCAATCTATTGCTCTACATGCGAGGTTCTGGCTCCTCTCTTTGTGAAGCTATGGATCCCTTTGTGAGGCTATGGACCCCTGTGTGAGTCTACGGGTCTCTGTGCGAGTCTATACAACACGACACTTTGAATTTATGTTGCGTGAAAATGTGACCACATCTCAAGATGCTGCACAAAAAACAAGAAAAGACGTCGCATTTCCAATAAGAGATCAGCCAACTGTGATAATTAGGGACGGTGGGCGGTTACCGTAGGCCATGTGCAACGTGCAGGGCGATGCGGTGCTTGAGGGTGCGGTGCAGCTCCCCCTCCCGCTCCATCACGCCGGCAAGGGAGCCCCGTGGCGCCAGCTCCATTACCAGAACCCGTGGGCGCAGCCCCACGGCCAGGAGGGACACGAGCGATGGGTGGCGCGAGCGGCTGAGGACTGCCAACTCCTACGCACGTGCCCACGCAAAAGTCGTTAAAACAGCTCGAGCCCACAGCCACAAACACAGCTAGAGCCACATGAACACAGAGCCAAAGCCACAGGCATATAACCACAACTATAACCAGCGCCACACAAAGCCAGAGCCACAGGCATATAACCACAACTATAGCCAGCGCCACATACACAGAGCCAGAGCCACAGGCATATAACCACAACTATAGCCAGCGCCACAGGCATATAACCACAACTATAGCCAGCGCCACATACACAGAGCCAGAGCCACAGGCATATAACCACAACTATAGCCAGCGCCACATACACACAACTAAAATCATATACCGTACACAATAGAATCTGGATTTAAGAGCACCTTATATAATAAGCACGATACTCGTATGAGCAAGGCATGCTTATATTTCACCGGTGGCAAGACCCATGACACTCAGTGAGGCTTTCCTGGGTCGGTGTTAAAACGTGAAGCCGACTGGTTGCTACACCTGTCTCATGAGGCGGTGCGGATGCGTTTGAGAGATGTGTTTGTTGAAGATCTTCACGGCCACTTGGTCTCCGCCGTACAGCGCCCGGTAGACCGATCCAAACCCTCCTTCACCTGGTGTCCGGTCAAAGAGAAGATAAGACTGTTACCGATTTTTTTTTTCAATCTCCGCTCTTTAATGGCGCATGCATCCACTTGACTTCTCTCATGCAGACTCAAAACAGTGCAACAATATCGCCGTGCGGATGACTACGCATGATATTTACATGCCGTGTAAGATTTTCCAGACATGGCGGACATCGCTTCTCTGTCGCAGTTCCAGTCGTCTGGAAGTCACGCCCTCTTCTCGAGTCACCGCGCCGCCGCGCGTCGGCGCCCACCTTTTGTCAGAATCTTAAAACCTTTCCCTTTCATTCCATCATTAATTTTCCCGTGAATCCGAACATCCTCTTACGTGCAATTTGCGAGCGTTATAAATTGAAATGACGAATGAATTAGCGATGTAAATGTTTCACCCGATACGCAGCTTATCTGGACCGCCGCTCAAGCGCCTTGCCCGCGGTCTCGCGAGCGTTGCGTTTGCGCGTGCGCGGCTGCAAATGCGCGGCACGGAGGCGATTGCGGGAGTGCGAGCCGGCGGCAACTCGCCTAACAGGTGCTCGGCAGACTGCTCCAGGCTGAAGCTGGACAGGTCGAGCTGAAGGTGGTCGGGAACGTCGGCCAGCACCACATCGGGCGCCAGCTGGGCAATGGGGATCCTGCTCTCCTGCTCCCGTTCCTCCTCTTGTCCGCTCAAGTGCCTCTCCCCGACTCTCGGAAAGAACACGACGTCGTCTGCGACAAGACAAAGTTACGCCTTGCGTCACGCTTACGTGTAGACGCTCTCCAAAGAGGCAACTTTATTAAGGTGGATGTAACGTGCATACAGGGACTTAAACAACATATTCAGAGGAAAATGAGAAAAAAATAGTTTGAGCAACGCAGATTGACAAGTGGTGAGTATGTATATGTACGATTAACTTCTTTCACACCATATGTAGCCAACTGTGTTAATCGGAGGTGCGGGAGAAGGACAATAAACTAAACACAGAGCTGTTATAAGGAAATTATGTATGAATGAACCCACCTCGTCCACCATAACCCTACATTCAAATTGTTGCTGTCATTGTTGCAATGTGACAGATTTATGCAACGTCTATAAACTTCCCGAAAGCAATGGGGACACTCGGGATATTTGAACACATCCGAAAGCGAACGACTCTACAAGGTCGGACCACTTCAAAACCCTCGACCACACTTGCGCATCTCGAGGACGCGTGGCGACGTTCCCGGGGCATCGCGGGCGCCACACGCTCACCGGACTCGGCGATGTCCTGCAGGGCGGCCAAGCGCACGCAGGGCGGCTGCGCGTCGTCCGCGGGCCCCAGCCCGGCCCACTGGTGCAGCAGCGCGGCGCTGCTCTCAGAGCCGTCGTGAGGCTCCAGGAGCCCGGGGAACCACTCCTCAATGAGCGAGTCCACGTGGTCCACAGCGCGGCCCAGCAGCACCCAGCCTGCACGCGCACACCCGTCCAGCCGCGTGCTGCTTAGTCCAGCGGAGATGGGAAGTATCTAATTTAGAGGGGGATTCAAAAAATTGGCCAGGGAGTGAGCGGCTTGCAATCGTAAAGTTGCGAGTTAACATTCTCGTTGAGAGTTGACTCGGCCAATCATCCCTCCGGGGCAAATAAAATAGATGCCACTTTGTGGGAAAGACAACATTGGTTGTTCTATGGTTAGACTTATCCCCCACCACAGGAAGGTAGAATTTCCACCACTGCCTTAGAATTATTAACAGGAGATGAAGTTACATTTGTAAATGGTGCCTAAAGTACACAGCTTAAAGTATGTGGAAATTCGCATCTGACACTTGTGCGGTATGATGGCTCTCCGACGTGGTTTCAGATTGTCGCGTAATGTTCATCAGCACGTCGGACATCATGCCGAACAACACGTGGTAACACCGGAAAACACATCCGAGAATTTGTATCTAAAATTCCACGAGTCGCAATCGGTCATTCGCATCCAATTACATTTCTTCCAGTAAACTGTATTTTGAATATATTTTGCCCAACGTTACGAGTGAGTGAGTCTGCTCGAAAACAGACTCCCTCCAAGCACAGCACCAATCTGTAAAGACCTCTTGGCTGGTTACATTAAAATATCTTAAGTCAAAATGTCCCTTCGTTCACATTGTCTTAGGATGGAAAGTTAAGTGACCCCCCTTGGCCCGCAACCCCTCAAGCACCTCTCTTGGAGTTGGGCACGGTGATCTTGAGGCTGCTGTCTGTCGGACAGTACTTCAAGTTTGCGGCCTCCAGAAGGCAGTAGGCATCTGGGCCCCAGTGCAGGGAGAGGCCCTGGCGCCAGTATTTTCGCGAGGGCTGCAGAAAGGAACCTGAAAGCGCAGCAGCAGGAAAACCGAACAAAAAAGAATCCATCACAGCATTGGCCAGACCTGGAAAAATGTGCCACCGCAGCCTCGGCTTAGCCAATTGCAGGAATTAAAAACATGGTAGGCTGACAGCAGAATCACCATGTGTGGTAGAAATAGCAGCTCTGGCAAAACGTAAAAATATTAACAGCGTCTCGTCGACCCATCAAAAACGATGCAACATTCAAACCCATTGGGTAAACATCTTGTAGAAGTGAGGAAATGTACAGTGCTTTCTCAATCCACTACTGGATAAAGACCTCCCTTTTGTCAGTCAAGGGAGTTGTTTGACTATACTTCATCACGCTGCTCAGTGCGTGCTGGTCAAGTGAGGTCATTGGACCAATTCCGATATAAAACGCACTATGAATGTGACTGAAACTGAGGTGGCAAGGTTCATAGTGCAGTGTGCAAACCACCGCTCCCTGTTCCTTCATATAGCTACGATGTGCCAAGGATAAGTGGCCAATGTTGATAATGACAATCGAATAAACATTGTTGGTTTTTATGCTGGCAACCAATCCACGGAACCCTCTAGCGTAGGGGTCAGCAAACAAAAGAAGATCAATGTTTTTCGAATTCGATCCAAAAAAATCTCAACAATTTCAAGAGCCGCAATGCACTGCGTGGTGAATACGAGACGGTGGGGGTCCTTGATAGATGACGTCACGATGCGGTCTTTTAAAGAGCCCCGGAGCCGCAGGTTGCCGACCCGTGCTCAAGCCCGACGCTGGTGCCACAGTCACCTGGTGCGGAGAGCATGTAGGACGAGAAGGCGAGTATTCTGGTAATGAGGCGAGCCCAGAAGCCCATGGGGAAGTAGGGCATGCAGTACCAGCGGGTGAGCACCAGCTCCCCCGGCTCCCCCGGCAGCTCCAGTGCGGGACGCCCTTCAGGGAGGCTACGCGAACACACAAGGCAAAAATAAAGGTCCCCCGTATAGCCTTTTAACAGACTGCTGGGGCCAGTGCTGCGAGTGAGCGCCTATGAAGGCCGGCACAGCACACAAGGGGTTGAGTGGCCGGCACCACACCCGGCTGCCTTCGTCTCCCCAGTGCTGATGTATCGCACAATGCAGCAGGTACTCATTTGTGGCCGAGTCTACCTAGAAGAGACCCAGAACAAGATCAGATATTCATCACCGATGTTGGTAGTGAGCAGGAATTGATTTCGAGCCGCCGGGTTCATAGCACAGACAACCACCAAACTCCGCTTTAACACGCACAACACACATCACCAGAGACACACACATTGCACCACAAGGTACCAGAAGCACACCACACAATACAAAGACACGTCGCACCAGAATGCACACCTGTTTACGCAACCCACCTTCCTTTGCCAAGCCCTCTACTGCTCGATGAAGGCATCCCCATGCCGTGTTGGCGATAGGAATTGTTTGAATGCCCTTCATGCTGATCAATGCAGGTTGGTGAAAGGGGGGACCATTACCAGTTCAGATATCACCACATGTTCGCTGTGCCTGGGGATAAAACGCACCTGCTTACGTGGGCTGCAATTACAAAACCCAAGAGACAAAGCTACCTCCCCCATCGGAGCTTCAGCCACGGTACATCTTCGCTGCCGAGCTACGAGCGGGTGTTTCCGCCAGGCAAGGTGTGGAGTGGTTTAAACTCCCACGCGCACCTGCTGGGCACGAGCAGCGTGTCGCCATGGTCTCCCAGCGGCAGGGCGATTTGGAATCGCTCGAGCAGGCGGATGTAGTGGCCGACGTACTCCTGGGGGAACCCGCTCCTCCGCAGCAAGAAGCCCTCCACGTCGGCGCGGCGCAGCAGCCCCGTGCTGCCGAAGGGGTTCACCTCACGCACCGTCACCACCTGGAGCGGCTCACGTCACCACGCGCTACGTTTGTATGTGTGTGTGCGTGTTTACGTTATGTGTGTATTGTGAACTTATTTCGCACCGTACGTAGGCAACCGTGCTAATTGGAGGTGTGGGGGGAAGGACAACAAACGAAACGCAAAAAGCAGTTTCACATTTCAGGGGCTGCACCACGCCCGCCGTGTGGGAACGTAGATGCAGTGAACCGTGTTCGTGAACGTCCAAGGCCAGCGAGGACATCTGTGAAAAATAGTTTTATAGCTCATCGGATTCCTCTAGTACAAATATTCTGATTCTGGACCAGCCCAGCCCACATGGACCGCGTGTTTCAACAGCCTTGGTTTAGAATCTCTCTGCAGCACAAGTGGGGAAACTTTTCCCAAACCGAGGACCGAACAGGACTTTGGTGGCCAACCACACATGAACACGTACCTTGGCATCATCCAATAATAATGCAATAAAGATGTGTAACAGAACTAGCCGTAACAGAAGGACTTGCAGTCACAAAAGTGACCGAGTGTAGCGCTAAAATAGGAACACAGTCTTGTCAGGTCAAAAATATTCCCCCTCTACTACTTAATTAGTGATTCCAAGATGCTTGCAGTGACAGATGAATATCATTACGGGTTCGTTTGAAAGTGGCAGACGTAATGTGGGCCACAGGCCTTTGGAAATGAAGCCCCAGATCATAGGTTTCACACCTACTGTAAAGCAAGCCCGCGCAGACAGCGTCTGTGATAATTATATATTATTAGTGTCCATGTGAGTTCACGGTGTCCCGAGCGTGTACCTGGGCCATTAAGCTGCAGAGCCACTGGGGGTCGAGGAAGTAGAGGTCCGTGAGCTGCAGGGCGGGGTCGTCGTAGTGCAGCAGCACACCTGCGCCGACGCATCACCATGTGGCCGTCGCCAACAGCGCAGTACGGCACCAGGCAGGGCGAGGCGAGCGAACATGTGGTGTGCACACGGGGCCGGTGGCTCTCCTCTCATTCTCATCCCTTCCAAGCACTCTGGACCCCAGTGGCCAAGGTCTTCTATCGAAGCCGCCAGTCAACCTTCCCGCTCAGCGACAGGTTGCTCGCTCTCCTCTGCTGCCCTAATTGTCTAGAACTCCTTTTCCTCAGCCACCCGTGTTGTCGACTCCCTGCCCCTGTTGAAGTCTATGTTCAAGACTGTCCCCTTTTTTCTCTGCCGATGACCCGACTTCATGTCCCTCTCGATAAAACACGCCCACTATTTATGTACGGCGTCTTGGAGATGAGGTCGCATTTAGACGCGACGTAAATCCACACCGTATTATAAAAGAGAGATGGGAAGATACAGTTTGCAAGGAAGGACAGAGGTGATGCAGGCAGGACACGGCAAAAAGGCTATAAACACAAAAGAATTGCAAATGGAGCCCCACCAGCTTCGTGCAGAAACCTCGTGGCGTGCGGCAGCTCCTCGCTGTCCAGAGGGATCTGACTGTCGGCGACAAGATCCTGGAGGCGCGAGCGCGAGATCACGGGGAAACCGGCGGCCAGGCAGCCGCGCTCCACGCACAGCCGCTCCTCCAGCTGCCCGTAGCTGTGCGGGATCAGCTGCCCCATCACGGGCTGCCCTTTAATCTGAAATCGCAGTCATGACCAACGAGCGAATGAGCGTGCAAAGGGCCGTGAGAATCGACCGATTCCAAAGCTTGCCGTAGACGACTGGCTCATCGGTGCGTACAGGCTGGAAATAAAAATGAGAGTGACAATGCACGCAAAAGGTGATTCTATCAACGTCGTGAGAATTTGATAGTTTTATTTTATTATTTATTATCATTCTACGTGACTTTACCGAAAGAACCAAAGAAGATCTATCAAGGTTGTATGGTGACCATACAGATGGTCCTCAAGATGAATAATTTTAGCAAAATTACAAAGATAATTAGCCAGAACATAATTATTCTGAACTATGCCAATGTTTTGTGTCCAATACACCAGCATGGCACTGCAATCTAGCTAAGCCACTTAAGATTAAATGTATAACAACACCACAAATGGCAGAAGCTAAGCAGGTTTGAGTCTGGTTATTACTTGGGGATGCTCGACTGGTGTTATAGGAATGGGGTTCGAGATCGAAGCGCTTTAGCGGCGTCACCCCTCGTGTGCGTGGAGGGTTTTGATCTGGGTTCTCTAGCTTCCTCTGGCACGCCAAACATTCCCCATTCAGGACCCTCCTGAAAAATGATCTTGAGACTCAACGAGGCTTTCCTGGGTAAGATAATTATCGGCATTATTATTATGGAATTGACCAGAGTCTGCCCTCTGCAGAAGCCGTTGTTCCCCCTTGTCCTTCCCCCGCACCTCCGATAGCACGGTTGGCTACGTACTGTGAGAAAGAAGTTGAACGTACGTACCTTAAAGTCTCTAACCGCTTGGACGATGCTTTCTCTCAGCGATTTGATGTTGCCGCTCTCCTCCAGGCAGCACACCACCTTGTGGTCCACGATGTTCGTCAGCTGAATCTCTGTGCAGAGCTCCTCAATGCAGCGCACGCTACTCCCCATCAGCGTTTCCTTTTCTTCAGCGGCTATTTTATCTTCGTGTGTCCCCACGAGGATGACCGGACACAGTGGAGCCCGCACCTGGTTGTAAATGCAGGAAGCGCAGGCAACGTTGGGGCGTGCACGAACGCAGCACGCGAGCGATGACGTGCGTTACGTGTGGCACGCAGGGCCCACTGCTTTGATTTATTTCTGAAAGGCAGTTTGATTTTTCTCTAATTTTTTTCTCGTTTTTGCTGAGATTTCTAGCGTTGTTGTACTTGTTGCCATGTGACTGGTTTCGTCACGTCGGTGACCCATGTCACTCTTGCTAATGATACCCTTTCCTGTCGCTCGAGCTCTCACCTGCTTAAACGAAAACGCACTTTGCTTCTCACTTTGCTTCTCAACACAACTCGGGCGTGGCTTTCATCGCTCTTGGCTGGCGACATCCCCCCCCCACCTCGCACATCGGTATTATACGCAAATAAACCTCCTCGTCTGTGGCATTCGCTTTACCGATGGCACCGAGTCTGTGCCTGGCGTAACTCCGAGTCCGACCTGGCCCTGGGGACGGGGGGGGGACTCGAACCTTGATGTTCATGAGCCACGGCCTGAGGCTGGCCACCTCGTTGGGGCCCCGGCTTGCGTCGTACACCAGGACGTAGAGCGCCCGCTGAGACATGAAGCACGGGTGGGTGCTGTAGAACTCCTCCTGCCCTGCCAACGGTGCACGGCGCGGGACGTATGTACAAGGACGACGCGAGGCATGGAGGCACGAGGCACAGCGACAGAAGGCAAGATTGGTGAAGGGGGCGGACAGAATCGGTTCATATAGAAACGCACCACTGATATCAACGATGGCCAGAAATAAAACTCAAGTTGCCGAGTTCAGAACACAGCACGCCAACCACTCCACAGCATGGTTTGTATTACAGATCAGCACTTACGAGTGAAGCTGTGTTAACGATCGGGATTAACAGCAGCATCAAGGTTGAGGCCATGGTATTAAAGTTACATTACTCTCTTCTGGCTTGATGGAGTGGGAGAGACACTGGAGCAGATGGTCCGTGACCACCAACAGAGGAGGGGACTGCTGCCAGTATTTAGTCGGCCAGAGGCCTCGTACAATCGGGTTGGATAGGAAGCGAGAGACTGCTTCTGGCTGGTCCGGGGTCAAGATGAGGGACCTCCGTGCATCGTGGTCATTGGCTCCAGCACAGCGGCCTCACCCGCAAAGTCCCAGCAGTTGAGGACGAATTTGCGCTGGCGGTGGAGGACGGCCCAGTCGCGCACGTCCACGCCCAGCGTCGCCGTGGACACCAGCAGCTTCTCGCGCTGCAGCCGTCTCAGCAGCGTGCTCTTGCCGCGTCCCGCGCTGCCCATCACCATCAGCTTCATGCGGTTGTAGGGAACGGCCTTCCGCAGCCGATGATACAGGAACCTTGAAGACGCCACACACGAAGACAAAGATTACCCGTACAGCTTTAACAGACTGTTGGCAGGCCGGCGCATCGAGATGACCGGTGACCCCGTTGAGATGACCGGTGAGCCCGTAGAGATGACCGGTGACCCCGTGCAGATGGCCGGTGACCCCCTCGAGATGACCGGTGACCCCGTCGAGATGACCGGTGACCCCGTCAAGATGACCGGTGACCCCGAGGTTGAGAGGTGGGCCCTGATAGTTGCAGCGACCACAACCACTCAGCAACACCAAAGACAAAGATCCCCCATGTAGCCCGTCAGGCTTATGGGGCAAGTGCTGCTGGTAAGCACCTACGAAGGCCAACACGACACATGAGGGCGTGGTGTGGCTATTACCACGCCCAACCACCTCTGTTATCCCCGTGATGATGTTACACACATCGCACCAGGTACTCATTTAAGACCGAGTCAACCTAAGGGAGGCCCCCGCACTGTTTTTTCCCCCCCAAGATAATCGCCAGCAATGTCAGCCTTGGCCGAGAATTGAATTCATGTCGGAGGGTTCGTAGCGCAGCAACACAACAACAACCACCCCCTGGCAGGAGGTCATGGGGCAGACCCAGGTGCCACGGGTCGACTGACGGAGATGACTGGCTGATGCACCACCTGTGCCCCCTACTGTGCTAACGTGATGTGCTTCAGCCGCCCGGCACTCCGCTCGTTGTTGTGAGCATCGCTCCTCCGCCCTCCGTTGTTGTTGGAGGGCGACTGCCTCCAACTGCCCAGTAGCGTCCTTCACGAGCCTCCTCCACAGAGGCCGATCTTGACACCGCTGGTATCAGTCATCTGCAAGTCCACTCAGCTCCACATCCTCTTGTACCACATCACTCCATCTCTTCTCTAGCCCGTGCCACGCCCGTTTAGGCCCCTCTATCCGGCTGAACAAAATCTGTTTCGGCATGCGGTGGCTGGGAATTTGGGTTACATGACCCAAACAGGAGACCACGCGTCTACCTCAGCAAGTCTTTGGTTTTCCCAAACTGTGTGAGGTCCAGGTCGAGCTTGAGAGCGTCGAGCTGCAGGTCCCAGAGGCGGTGCAACCCGCCCAGCTCGTTGGGCAGGGTCGTGATGTCGTTGTAGCTCAGGTCCAGTGACGTGAGGCTCTCCAATTGTCCGATCCCTTTTGGGACCTACGAAAATTATCAACAAGCACCGCAGAAATCTGCGTCACGCGCGCTCTATTTTTTAAGGCCACACGCAGCCCTCCCTTGTAATCTCACCAATATTCCAATAATCAAGACTGTCTGTTGGTGTGGTATCTTAGCTCTGATGTGCAGCGAGAAACCCTCTCTGTTTGCCATAAATAGTCGCTTCAATTCTCGGTTGCTTACAATTCTTCACGTGGGGTTTCTCCATAGCCTCTGGTTTCCTCTCACACATCTAAACATTTAAGTAAATAACTAAACACCCCGTTGTAAGACCCTTTAAAAAAAAGTTTTCTTGATATTCAGTGAGGCTTTCCGGAGTAGATTTTTCCAGGAAAGTCTCATTGAGACTCGAGACTCCATTCCAGGGGTGTTCTGCATTGGGATGTTTGGCCAATTCCATTTAATGTTTGTGGGAGAGAAGCAGATGCACACCAGGGGGGGGGGAGGGGAATGTACACAAGACGTCTGCACAGACAGGTTCACAAACCCACTTGCTGCCTTATCTCCTGGCCCTCTAGGAGCCCAGCTGGCTTGGGAGTCTGACAAGCCTCTGATCATGAATCGTTTGGCAGTCTCGTCAATTACAAAGTCAGGGTTCACGGTACTGCCACAGTGTTTAAACATGGGTTAACACGATGACAACCTTCACGAGGTTCACCTGTATAACCACGTGTCATCAAAATCGGCTGAGTGGAAATAGACCATTAGCAGGAGAGATGAGTCACAACGTGGCAGAGGTCGGCAAGCATCACCTCTGTCATTCGGTTGTGTCCGAGGTGCAGCTTTTCAAGGCGGGCCCAGGTCCCGGAGGCCCCCGTCAGCTCGACGGCCTCCACGAGGTTGTTGCCCAGCAGCAGCTCCTTCAGCATCCCAGTCCTCCAGAGGCTGGGCCTCGGCACCACCGTGATGCAGTTACTTCCGAGGTCCACGACCCTCAACCTAACGAGGGACAGGCGCAGCCAGAAACGTGACCCTGTTACCCAAACTAAAAACTTTTTATTTTTTATTTTGCCAGGCAAGGCCCACCGAGCTGTATAGCTCAGTTTCAGAAGTGACCTGGCCACAAATGATAGCTCAACGAAGTGGTTTATCACGTGGAAATGGAGAGCAGCAGCCAAATACTCTAATCGCGTGACGTTGATTCTAAATGTGAAGGGAGAATCTAGAGAACCCGGAGAAAAATCCATGTGACCACGGTGAGAGAACATGCAAACTCCAAATATAAAAGGCGTCAGGGTCGGGATTGAACCCACGACCTCCTGCATACCAGGGGAGGTACTTAACATCTTGCCACCGTGGCGCCTCTTTTCCACTGTACAAGTGAGCTGCACCGGGGCAGTGCCGTGCCAACGTGGCACGGCTCAGGAGGTGTGCCAGGTTGTTTTTCCCCACTCTAGAATCCGGGACACACTGCTGACGTCACGCATAATGAAGTCCAACACGGACATGCCGCATGATGAACGTCATTAGCCCCACTCCTGGCCCTGCTTGGTCCCAAACCAGATTCAGATGTCTTGTGAGGGCCAGAGTTTCAAAGTCCAATTCTAGCTCGGCTCGGCAGAATGCCAGTGGAAACCCACCCAAACCGTGAGAGACCCATGCTGACATAGACATTGGAATTAAAACGTGAGTTCCATATTTGTATCTGAGCTGTGGTACTTTGTATGCAGAGTACTCACTGTTGTAAATTGAGGATGGCTGATGGCACGGCGTCCAGCTCATTGTCTGATAGTTTTACTGTGCTTAACTTACTGGGTAGGTTTCCCACCAATCCTGTGAAATGACATATGCAACTTACTGCTATCACATGAGCAATAATATATTATAGGCATGCATTACACAGGATAATTAGCATGTATGAATCCGACTACAATATCCTGCAACCTACAGCTAAATCCCTTAGCATTCACATTCAGCTCCACTGTGCCCATCATTGTGATCTGTGCAAAGCGGCCGGTTCTCTTCCATTGTCAATACGTCAGAACAATTAAAACCGGGACAAAATCCAGAAATTCACAAAAGCATCTGAAGACTGGGCCAGCCTTTCTGAAAGCAGGACTGTCCTGCTCAAACTGGGACAACGTTTGGTAGCAGTACTGATGGGAGGAGGAAGCCACACGAGGAATTCTGAGCAGTTTAACACGTAGGCTTTCGCGACCAATATTATTCACAACCAAGGATTTCGGGTTACACCGCGTGCCTTTGGTTTTGTGCAAGCCGCTATGGTGTCGTGTCGCCACTACCCAAGCGGTTGTGGGAGATGAGGAGGGTTTCCAGGGCTGGGAACGCCGTGGCCAGGTCTCCCGGCAGGCCTCCTAGGTCATTCCGGCTCACGTCCAAGTGCCGCAGGTGTGGAAGGGTTAGACCGGTTGGGATAGATTTTATTTTATTCCTAAAACAAAATGAAAAACAATCGAGTTCAGTTTCTGCATTACATTTTTTTCCCCAACATTTTTTGATGAAAACACGTTCATTACATTATATTCACTCAGTGGGAGGTCGCTTATTCTTCTATGCTGTCCCCCAGTCTGGAACTTCCTTACCCCAGCCATGCGTGCTGTCGGCTTCCTACCCCAGTTCAAGAGCTCAAGACTCAAGACCTTCCTCCTCTCGTCTGCCTATGACCCTCTGCCTCACTTTACAAAACAAACACACCCACCCTTTCCGTACAGCGTCTTGAGACACGGTCGCATTTAGACACCGTCTACATTTGAAGCCTATGACCAAATCGTCGGAATGTGCCCGATCTCGACAGCTCTCTAAAGCAAAGCAGCCTTGAGCCTGGCTAGTGCTTAGATGTGTAACCACCATGCACATCGGGTTGCTATAGGCTATGGGGCTACAGGGTGGGAAACAAAATGCAGTTCAGAAAAATATACTGAAGTACTGTCCTGTATACTCTCACCTGCCTATACCAACCCGCACGAACATGCATAGCGTGGTCAAATAACCCACACGATGTTGGGAGGGCACCTCATCCAGTAGTGGATTTGCAAAGGGCTGCACACACACATTTCCTATTGTATTGTACAATAGCATTTCTCTGGTCACCCTTCCCCCCGCCTGCCCTGTTGCACACACCCCGAGAGCGCTGCGCGTACCCTTCCAGGAGCAGCTCGTCCAGGTTGCCGAAGGACGAGGGGAGCCCTTCGGGAAACGCCGCCATGCCGTTGTGGGACAGGTTTAGAGTGCGCAGGTGGGAGCACCGAACGGGGCTGTCGAAGCGAAGTGGCGACGCCAGGAAGTTGTGAGAGAGGCCCAGGTAAACGAGGCTTTCTATCAGCAGCACAGCTAGAGGGAATTCTTGAAAGCCGTTGTCGCTCAGGTTCAGTGAAGTGAGGCTTTTAAGCGCCTAGCAACGAGTAATAAGAGAACTGTGGTTAGCAGTCTTCACTGACACATCAAAAAGCCTTACTTACATTCATAAACCACTGCATAATTCACTAGAGGAGTCCTGAAGAGTCGATTCGTTGATATAGATTATGAAGATAACGAAACATCCGTTGAATTGCCTGTATATAAACAAGTGTGTTCCAATTTTAAAGTGCATGTGTTCCCTCTTCCTGAGAACAGAAAGAGAGACACGTGTATTTGAGAATGTACACCGGTTAGAGACGTAAAACTGACTGTTAAGTAAAGTGGACTTGAGCAGGGCATGTCACGAGAAGAGATGATGGCTGGTGGTCGAGACTATGGAGTGGCAGCCAAAGGCCCACACAGTAGAGGGGGGCAGCAGCACCTCACCACTGAGAGTCAACCTCATCCCGTGACAGCCAAACTTGACATTTTAATTCTCAGGAGTAGGAACAAAGGTTAGTTATGATGGTGTACGTTTAGTCATTGGTGATCAGGCCGAGGCCACCAACTCACTGCACGTGAGCACCCGGTTTAACCACAGGTCGGCAAAAACATGGATTTGAACCCAGGATCTCAGCGGCGCCGGCTCAGCGCTGTTGACCTCTGGAGCCACCCGGCCACCCCTGTGCAGCCTCCGTCTTAACACCAATTACAATCACAGTCCCATGTCACATCCTTCTCATCCTCATCCACCCTGGAAGATTTCCACGCCGCAAAGCGGCAAACTCACGGTGGCGAGAGCTGGGGAAATCGCCGTCAGGCGGTTCTGCTGCAGGTCCAGCCGAAGCAGCTTGGAGAGGTGAGGCATGAGCCACTGGGTTAGCAGCACCCCGCTTATGTCGCCAGAGAGCTCGTTACCGGACAGGTCTACGCTGTGCACTACGTCGTGCACGCCTTCCTGGGTCTTCTGCGACGCCGGGGGGCTCGGCGATTCCACACTCGCATCACACGCCACACCTGCACACAAACACACATTGACAGAAGCAAAGTGAGGTAATCCCCCGATTTGGTACAAAAGTTACTTTTACTGGGTTGCTTTCATGATTACTCTGTTCGAATCAGAATGTGTTATGGTGCTTTGAGGTGGAGCACTGGTGCAGCGGTTAGCTCACTACACTATGAACCCAGAGGTCAGAGTTCAATTCAAAGCCATGGCTAACATCAGCGTTGAGTGATTTCTGCACCGAGTATCATTTAAAAAAAACAGTGGTGAAGTACGGTCAGACAACCCCATGACCGCAGTGTGGAGAGGACTTCATCCAGCAATGGACTGACAAAGAGCTTTAAACTATCGTATACGCATTTTACCACAGCCCTAGTAGGTATTAAATTACCTCTCGTCAGCTAAGCACTTTAAATGATGTGTATTGCTTGCACCCGTGTCGTTTTCACGTGGAGAGACGCGAGCATGAATTGGTGGACATTTCATTTATGAAAAGATACCGAATACCTTCCATGAACATTGACGTATTTTAATGCTGCGATGGTGTCGTCTTAAACGATGGCAGTCAAGTGCAAATCCCATTGATCGCCACCTTTCAGGGTAACTTTCAGCTACCTGATACGTCTCCCCAGAGTTTGAACGCGAGCTTCGTCCCATCCGTGTCATCCTTCCCAAAGCTGTTCCCCATGAGGGCTCCGTCCCACAGGGCGCTTCCTCCCAGGTCCATCTCCCACAGGCTGGCGGGGACACTGCCGCCCACAGCAGGCGAGCCGGCTTCCTCCAGCCAATGCAGCACGAAGCCAGCAACCCGCGAGCCGACACCTGCGCGTAACGGGGGCACAAACGGCACCCCCCACCGGGTCACACGACCCCACTTCAACAACCACCTCGCGCTTTGACACTGGAGCGGGGCGGCATTGCTTCGGTTATTGGCAAGACGTCGACGCCATCTTGCAAAACCCCTGAGCTCGACCGCCCCCCGCTCGGCCAACGCCAGGACCGCTGTTCATCGCAAATGAATGCTTGCCGTCGAGTTAGGCTATTGGCAAGGCGGGCATTATCGCTGAGGCAGACCCCGTGTCTCGAGGGAGACCCTGCCTACTAGGTCGAATGTTCCCCGACCAAGCTCAAGGTAGGTGGGACACACACACACCGGACGACGTAAACAAACGGACAACACGACACCAACACACTTCATTGTCGTTTTCGACTTAAGACCCAGACGCCGGTATCTAGCCATGATAACAAGCTGTTAGCTCCCAAGCATGGTGAGGTTGTGGGTTCAATCCCAACCCTTATGCCTGTATAGTCGGAGTTTGCATGTTCTCCCTGTGGTCGTGTGGATTTTCCTCCGGGTCCTCCAGTTTTTCCCTCCAAATTTAGTAACATGCGTTGAAGAGTATTTGGCTGCGATGAATTTCCACGTGATATACGCCACTTCGTTGAGCTATCATTTGTGGCCAGGTCGCTTCTGAAAAAGAGCTATATAGCTCAGTGAGCCTTACCTGGTAAAATAAAAAGTTCAATTGAATAGTTGATCAACATCGATGTCACCTGGTACTACATGACCTTCAGATAGAGAAATTGCACGTGCAAAAATTATTCACATTTTCCACAGGACAGAGTCATAATCCTTTACCCAATCCGGTCCTGCCAGCGTGTCTTTTTGACTGCGTGAACAGCGGCCGGAGCCACGCGGCGTGGAGGGAAGCCAGACGGAGTCGCCCCAGGGACACGGCCTTGTTGGCCGGGTCGCTGCCGAGCCTGTGCAGCAGGAGGCCCACGATGTCCGCGTTGCCGCGTGCCAGGCTCTGCCGAAGGGCGGCGTGCACGTCCGCCTCGCAGGCGCCGTGCTTCAGCAGCAGCTCCGTCAGAGCGACGTCTTGCTGGGCACAAGCCTGCAACGCGACCGAGGGATTTATTTCAGCCAGGAGTAACCCCGGGGGTCGACGATCCGAAAAATATATCAGCGGCAGACACCACACCGAATCGAGCGCACCGCTCGCTATGGCCGCGGCTATGGGTCACGCGCCGCCAACTCCAGTCTACCCGGAAAATATTTGCAGACCAGGCCCATAACATGGCCTCAGATTGTCACAGACGGCTGCAGGGCTGTTGCTACGTGGTGGACATCAGAGGGCAGTGCAGAAAAAAAAAACATTGTTGTACTGTATTTCTACGTTCCCACATGTATGCTCCATGCATTCATGAACCCGCACTGACTAGGATTGTGGATGTGCGGTCAAATAACCCCCATGACCTGCACGACATGGGGAGGTCCTCATCCAGCAGCGGACTGATAAATGGGCTGTACATTTGTTTAAAACGCAACCCCTACGGCTGTTGCTTCTGAAGCGATTGATCCCTCTCCCCCATCGCTGCCCACTCACTTTGCAGAGCAAGCTGTCGTGGCCTGTGCTCTCGTTGGGGTCGGCGTCCATCAGCAGGAGGAACTCCGCAAGCTCCGCGTCGCCGGCTTCGCTCGCCGCACGCAGCATGGAGTCCCGCACGCCCTGCCGCCTCGTCATGCACACCATGCACTGGCTGCACACCGCCAGGAACTGCACACGCCCGCAAGCGCACGCAGGCTAAGCTGCACATTCCTAGCGCCTCCAATTAGCACGGTTGGCTACGTATGGTGCTAAAGAAGTTCAACATACATACACACACACGATGACCAAGATCCCCCATAGAGACTGAAGAGACGAGTTGGGGCAAGGGCTGTTAGCGAGCACCTATTAAAGTCAGCACAACGCACGGAGGAAGTGGTGTGGCCGGCACTCGTTACGTGACGGTAGCTTTTGGCTCCTCAATGCTGATGTTGACGTATCACACCAGGTACTTTCTTCAAGGCTGAGTTGACCTAGGAAGGCACAGGATTGATTCACTGCTGATGTGAGCCGTGGCTGGGAATCGAACCCAGGTGTCTGGGCTCACAGCGCAGTGCACCAACCACTGCTCAAACTCAAATCATCCGAAGGCATACTCATTTAAACTGAGTGATCAGCAAATCCAGGTCACTGGGTTCGCAGTACATTGCGTGAACCACTGCGCACACCTCTCACTCACACACACACACCCATATTGGTTGTAGCGTTCCGGTCATCACTGGGGCAGCAGCCGATTTAAGTACCTGACACTGTTTGTTCCTGAAGATGAGCGACTTCATGATGGTGAAGAGAATGTTGTGGAATGACACCTTCAGGAATATCTTAGGTGCCTGAGGGCTGGACTTGAGCAGAGCCAAAGCCAAGCTGCAGCCCTGCGCCACACAGCGAGAGAATCGCAAACAACGCACACGGAGGAGACTTGGCTTGCACAAGGAACCAAAGGGCGGAATGTAGGGTGTACAACGAGCATCGATTCATCAACTTCAATCAATTCTTACGCTCACAACGCATCCATTCGGTGGCATAGCATGGTTGAGCATAGACCCTGAGATGCCATGAATGCAATGGGGCACCCCGTCTAGTGTCCCTCCTCCCTCTCTAGTCCTGCGCCTGGGCCGCTCCGGCCAGGGGGTCCCCGAGTAATACTGACCTATCGCGCGGTAAGTACCTGCAGTTGTATGTCCTCGTACTCGCCGAAGGCTTGCATGGCCACGGTGATGACTTCGGCCAGAACGCTGAGGGTCGTGCTACCCCAGACCCTAAGCGGAGTCAGGAAGCCAAGGATGTTCAGTCCAGCCAGCTGCACGTCTGCAACACGCAACACAGCGAGTCACAACACACCAGGCTGTCAAAGTGGATAAGGCTGTGTTGCCTGTCCTTGCCAATAGCCTCATCAAAGGTAACATTCCAAGGAGACATGGGAGTAAAAAGATGCTGAGTAACCATTTGGCATATCCCATCAATGACTCTGCTCTCAGTTAACTCTTCAATAGATATACACAACAATTACGCCCCAATGCACCCCACACACCACTATTTTATGCCGATTGTGCTCTCGGCATTTTGCCAGAAGACAATATGTAAGGGAGAAACTTGGCCTACTCCCTACAAAACAAAACATCACAACCCTACAGCATTCGTCTCAGCCGGTGATCTCTTTAACAGTTCCTAGGGCAAGGACTAAAATGGGGAAACATTCATTTTCCTATCATGCTCCTTGGCCCTGGAATAAATTACAAACGATTATAAAACTGGAGAACAGGGTATCACTGTCTGATTTAAAAGCTCCGATAGAAGAAAATGCCATTGACCAATGTAATTGTTTCGATTTAAAGCTTTCGTGACTGCAAGGATTCATATTCTTTGGTTCTTTCGGTAAAGTCACGTAGAATGAGAATAAAATAATACATTAATAAAATAAAATAACACAATAAAATTCTCACGACGTTTCGGCCACAACACAAGTGGCCTTCTTCAGGTGAAAGGAACAGGCCTGTTGGGACGACAGAGCTTCAATGAAGCTCTGAAGAAGGCCACTTGTGTTGTGGCCGAAATGTCGTGAGAATTTTGTGTTATTTTATTTTATTAATTTATTTTATTCTCATTCTACGTGACTTTACCGAAACAACCAAAGAAAATGTAATTGTTTTTAATGTTTTGTACTATTTCGTATTGTGTGTATGTGTGTGGTTATTTCTTTTTGCTGACTTCTTGCCAGGTCCCCCTCGCAAAAGAGGTTTTTAACCACAAGGGTTTTTTTTACCAGGTTAAATAAAGGTGAAATAAAAAAAAAACTAAAAATATCTCAAACGGCAGTGCAGCCCTTCATGTTAGAAAACAGGTCTCAGAAGCAAATACCACAGAGTAAACTCTGAGGTCCCTTCACACGGCTTCTGGTCCACACCGTGGGGGGCAGCACTTTCCACTCGCTCTGCTACAGACAGTCGTGTGTGTGTGTTACGCAACCGTCAAAAATCCATATTCTAATTCTCAGTACTGGAATTTCGCCAAAGTAAGTGCAGAACCCAATGTGATATTATGGTTTTTGTTGCACAGTAATTGGTGACTGGGCTGAGGACCATCGACTCGCTACAATTGGGAATATAGTTTAATCACAGACGGCTGCCTGGATTCAAATTCAGAATTTCAGTGGTGCCAGCTCAGCACTCTGACCTCTGGAGTCACTTGGGCCACCTTGGCCGTGTGCTTATTACAGCCATGCCTGTTGACAGCAGTGCCGCATGGGAGGTGTGGAATCAATCGTGAATGACGACGACCAGGAGGAGTACCTCGCTCTCGTGGGTAGGTCTGCATGCTGTGCAGGGTGCTGTCTGTGGCCCCCTGCTGCAGGAGCAAATCGGGCGCTCCCTCTCCTGCCGCCAGACACTCCAGCACCCTCAGGCCGGCCTCCTGCACCGCAAGCTCGCTGATGAACTGCACACACACAAACACAACGGGCACTGTAACATGCGCACGAACAGCCTTTCCGTCAAGCCACTTGTGGATGAGAGCCTCCCCCCTCTGGTGTTGGCCCTGCTTACTTGACCACTAGTCAGCCTCCACCCATTCCCATACCATGAATTGAGCACAAGGCCAAAAATTGGAATAAAATCCAGATTTTTATAAAAATGCTTTGTGACACCAGGACAACTTTTCTGGAACCAGGACTGTCCCAGGCAATCCTGGGGGTCTGGCAGCTTCAGAAAGTCATTAACTACACCCTACCATTTCACCTGTCTGCTACCTTGTTCATGGCCTTGAGAGCCAGGTGAGGAAGCCCTTCCACCAGGCACTGGTTTCGAACGATCGCGAGGTGCATCTCGCCACTCAGGGGCTCCTCCTGCACGGGAGATGGAGGGGATCCTGCCAGATGGGGGGACTCGCTCCCCGAGCAGGGCGCAACCTTGTCGTCTTCCTCACCTTCCTCACCTTCACACACACACAAGAACACACGGGCTACTGTAACACGACCGACGAGGCAATTCTCCCGATGCGTTTCGCTCCGCGTGCTCGGGGCTTAAGCACGTGGATCGAAATGGCACCGTCGCATTTGCCGTGCCGGCTCCTAGTCAGGTGCTCGCTAACAGCACTTGCCTCGACAGTCGGTAAAAGGCTACACGGGGATCTTTGTCTTTGTGTATATGCGTGCGCGTGGACAAGTGGCACCTGGAGATAGAAGCGAAATCACAGCGTTCATGGCGGCGAGCTGCACCTCTCCCTCGCCCGCGTGCCTCCGCATGGCCAGCGCCATGGCACTCACCGCCACCGTCATCACGTCCAGGGGCACCGCGCTGAAATACCCGAAACAGCATGGGTGTGTGTGCAGTCGATTACAATTCTCAAATCGATCAACTGACCGACTTAAATCGACCGATCGGTCCGAGAGCTCCAGTGACCCATTCCTCGGCAGCACCGAGGGCAGCCGTCCTCGCTTACCGGCCGGCGAGCAGCAGCGACAGCAGCAAACAGGCGCCGCGCTGCATGCGCGCACAGCTCCCGTGCTCCTCCATGGCCTGCAGCAGCGCCGTCAGCGTCTGCTTCTCAAGCAGAGCGCACTTCACCTGGGCCACTGAGACCCACACACGGACGAGTGACGGAACACACGCGCGGGCGACATTTAAAAATAACTTTTGTTTCGTCTCTGACGCGCGAACGGGTTGCGCCGCGGAATTTTTGGGCATAACGTCCGACGTCTCACTCCGCGTGCTGGGAGCTCCTCCAGGAATTCAGTTCCATTCATCAGAAAGCTGTACAGCACGACTGGGAAAACCTACGCAGTAAGCTTAAGTTTGTGTTATTGTCTTTAGGATGGCCAAACGTTCAAATGCTGAACCCTCCTGAGAAAAAGTCCCAAAGCTCAATGAGGCTTTCACAGGTAAGCAACTGGCATTACTGTGCATAATTAGCACACAGGCTATTTTCCTGGGTAACTGCATTTGCAAGCACTTAAACATTCCTTCCGCTCTCATGCCAGTAACCAACAGCAACACTCCACTTCTCAGTCACCACTCCCTTTCCCATGCTCGCCTGATAAAAGCCCTTTCAGTGCCGCACAGTACAACATGTATGCTCATTGTGGTGAAGCCTGTGTTCTCTAAACACCGTAGTCACGGACATAACACATTCTTTTTAGAGTGAATGTGTGTCCTTACCAACATGGGGAATGGTGGCGCAGCAGTTAGCATGCTGCGCGATGAACCTGGCGACACAAGTTCGATTCCCGCTCACAGCTAAACCAGTGACGATTATCTGAACTGGCCCTGGGCCTCCCCTAGGTCGATTCGGCCTCAAATGAGTACCTAGTGCGGTGGGTAAACATCACCATTGGGGAGACAAAGGCAGCCTGCCATAGTGCTTGCCACCCACCGCATTGTGTACCGTGCCGGCCGTCATTAGGTGCACACTAACAGCACTTGCCCCGACAGACTGTTAAAGGCTATATGGGGGATCTTTGTCTTTGTTGTTGTCCTTACTGCACGCAGATGCCATGCTGAGAAGGGCGTCTGCTGCGGCACACAGCACAGCTGCGGAGTGAGGGTGCAGCACCACAGCCATCACCACTGCCCTGTGCACCGGAATCCTGCACAACACAAACATCGTGCTGCGAGAAGACTTTCTCTGGGTTCTTCTGTTTACCTCCACAGGCTCAACAATCATTTATAAGGTGCAGTCTCCAAACGTTCTTATCCACTCTCCTCTGGCCTCTCTCTCTCTCTCTTTATGTGCTCTGAAGAAGGCCCATTTCCCAAACGTTGCCAATCACATACCTTTACATTTAAGCAACAGTGTTATTGACAAATGGGTGGAGTTTTTTCTGTTGTTATTTGTGCTTGCGTACCACCACCAACTCCAGCATCACCAAATAATTTTATGAATGGAATTTGCTAAATACTAAAACGCGCAATCATCCTCGCCTTCTCACAGAAGCAGCAAGAACGTCGACATGACTAGGACAGGTCAGAAGAAAGGTGATGAACATGGAAGCATGAGGGCAGAGACTTAGAGGTTGGCCGAGAGAGAGGTGATTCGAAGTGATTGAACCAGGATAAGAAGGACTGTGGAATGGACATGGAGATGATGGCCCAAGACAGGAGTGGAGAAAGAGGAGCAGGAAGGAAGACCCCACATGAGTAGGGATGCCAGGAAGATGAAGCGTACAAAATCGTACGGCAGTGCAGGCCAGCACAGTATTGAGTGCACGCACTGCTTATAGAGAGTGCAAGTAATATGGTAGCTTACAGGCCTGGACCATCTCCAACAGAGAGCTGCAGCTTGGGCTGCTGGGACAGGAGCTGAGCCAGAGCCACGCAAGCACTCTCCTATAATGGATGCACATCCACAGATACACCACATTCAAAACACTTTTATTACACTACGCAACACAATTTTTGTTCCTGGGTAGTCAGTGTTATTTCGTTATTGCTTATGCCTAAAAAGTATAGAAAATGGCTAGTATTCCCCACAAACTTTGCTTTTGTGACCAGGACAGTGATATTTTGAAATTTACCTATTTTCAATGAGAAAACGGGCAGATTTCTATCTTTTCGTTCACATAAAGTCAGAAAAAAACTACATATCAATCAACATTAACATGGATTTATACTAAAGTAATACAAAAATGACTACAAAAGATTTAGAAGTAGTTTTTCGAGATTGTTCCTCCCCATGGAGAACTCGGTCCGCTGTGGCCAGTCCCGCCTGTGGTAGTGCGCCTTGGTGTCTAAATCTTTTGTCGTAATTTTTGTATAACTTTAGTATAAAAACATGTTAATTTTGATTCATCTGTTGTTTTTTCTGACTTGATGTGAACGAAAATAGGTAAATTTCAAAATATCACTGTCCTTGTCACAAAAGCAGAGTTTGTGGGGAATAATAGCCATTATCTGTACTTTGAGGCATAAGCAATTAGTAATAACACTTACTACCCAGGAACAAAACCAAAAAATGTGTTACACAGTGTTATCAGTAACGACCAGTTACAACGTGAGAACCAATTGATATAACTGTGTATAGAAAATATATTCTTTGGTTCTTTCGGTAAAGTCACGTAGATAGAAAAACTAATAAAAATGAAAATAATAAAAAGACAAATATTTTTCTATTATATATTATTAGTTTTTCTATCTACGTGACTTTACCGAAAGAACCAAAGAATATTAATTCCTGCAGTCACGAAAGTTTTAAGTCAAAATGTGTATAGAAAAGGTGACGGAGGAGGGGGAAAGGCATCACTCCTGGCTCAAAGCCCACCTGACTGTTTGGGCAAGTGCTGTTAGCGAGCCCTGAATGAGTGCACATGGGTTGAGGAACTTCCGACTCGGGCACTCCGTTTACTGCACGGCAGTGCCGAGATCGGGATGTGTAGCGCGTGGCCTTGCCTGCACGCCGGCGTCTCCGCCGTGCATCTCCAGGGCAGCATGGGCCTCCTCCAACCAGTGCCAGCAAGCAGCGCCATCCACGAGGACGCTCCACCGCACGCTCTCCTCTTCAGCGTCATCCCTCCCCCTCTCCGCCTCCCCGTCTCGGACACTCAGCTTCACCAGGGCATCCGCTGGGTGGGTCACGTGTAAACACACAAAGACGAAGAAAACACAGCCACCACACCAGCCCAAAACGTTGCTGTGGAAGATGGCTTGAAAACATGCCGCACAGCCAATTGCAGATATTTAAACGCCAACCCTTAAACATCAATCATTTAAACGCCAACCCTTAAACATCAACCATTTAAACGCCAACCCTTAAACACCAACCCCGAAACGCCAACCCTTAAACATCAACCCTTAAACATCAACCCCTAAACGCCAACCCTGAAACGCCAAGCCTTAAACGGCAATTATTTTTATTATATAGTCGACTTTATAAGTTGGAAATTCTAGGTATGAGGTTAAACTACATCTGTTGATCGTGTCACCTGAGAAAAATCACTGGACAAATCTGGCTGTCACTTAATGAAGCTAGATGTAATTTCTGGCGAAACGTTGTACTCAGATTGTAAATGTTGTAGCTTTGCTCTCCAACAAACCAATGTGTTATACTAGTAATGAATTGGCATGTTCTGTTTACGTGACAAACCTTACTAATTGGCTGTCCGGTGGTGGTGGGTTTAACGATACATTTATATTTGTACGCGATCGAACCCAAAAAAACCTGTATTATAGATGATATTGGTCGTGAAAGCATAGGTGTTAAACTAAGGTAAGGGGAAACTACCTCCAATGGGATGGAGGGAACTTGAGCCGTGGACCTGCGCTTGGACAGAGGAACTTAACAATTAAAAGCTGGCATCTGGATGTATTATAAAGACATGAGAAACAGAGTGATGAGCTGGTGCTAGTGGAAAAGGTGGTATTACGTCATGATTAGCAACCCTAGCATGGCATGTGGTCGACGCAAAACGAAGATCAGTGAGTGGCATCGTACGGGGATGGAGTGAACTTGAGCCCTGAACTCGCGTTTGGGCAGAGAACATTCGATGAAGATGATGGCACACGAATGGATTGCGAGTTGAGGAAATTTCGCCAGGGGATTGCGAGTGGCGAGCGGGGGCGCACCGAGCCGGGCGAGGCAGGCGAGCCCGGAGGCCTGGATAGCGCCGCTCTCTGGGCAGGAGCGCAGGGCCTGCAGGATGGCACCGTGGGCTCCGTTCAGCACCAGGATATCTCCAAAGCCACCTGGGGGCACAGACACCCGCTGCTCACAAAAAATCCCACAGTGCAGCGCAGTTCAATTACACGCTGCACAGTTCGGACTGCATAACAGGGCTAGGCAACACTGCTGCCCTGTAAATGTGCACACATGCGTGTGTGTGTGTACATGTGCGTACACGAGGACAGCAGGAGCAGCAGCGCACAGCCACGCTCCTGCACGGCTGCATTGCCAGGCAGGGACATCATGGCTGACACCGCCAGCTTGTAGCAACGCTCGGAGCCCGACATAAAGGCCTCGCAGTTATCCTCTGCACACGCATACAGACAACACGGTACAACAAAGCAGCATTCATTATCATTCACACAAACAGATGAGCTTCAATGGAAGTGTAGTGGGTTCCGGAGACACTTCGGATAATTATCTACAGCACTCCAACAGTCCTCCTTATACACTGTTCAGCCTAGGGAGACAGCCTACTCCTAGCGTGCCTTGACACTGGCAATGCTCTCAGGTCCTCCGCTATAATTACCCTAGGGGAGACTACCCTGACCCGACCCAGCCAAGGTGCGGGTCTAGACTCTGGCTTCCTCGGACCTCGCCCTTACAAGGGCGTGGGGCCGGGAGTCCCAGAGTCCCACCACTGGCCCGCAAAGCGTCCCGGCCCTGACAAGGACAGCGGGTCGAGGGGATCCAGGGTCCTATCTAGCTGGTCTTCGGCTTCAGTCTTCAACTGGTCCCCGATCGGCTGGGGAGGTCCCCTTTTATGCCCCTTGCCCATTGAGGGGTGGGGCTGCGAGAGATCCTAGACCCCCCCGCAGCCCCCCCCCCCTTTGGGGGCGCCAATGGGCTTAGCTGTCTGGGGATCCTGAGCCCCCAGCAGCCCCTCCCCTCTTGGGCTGGTGCTGCAGCCCCTCCCCTGACGGTACGAGGTAACGTTCCATCTATGGTGCTACAGAAGTATACTATTATTGCACTGTTGCTGTGCTGTTGTTAAAAGTGGTAGGCCTCATATGACCATCGGCTCTGTTAAATTGAGTTATGCTGTACAGCGATCCTTCACCTCATTGGCTGACACACAGATGTTTGTGTTACAGCCCGTTGGGGTCTGTTCTGGGTGTGAAGTAGCCCTGGCTACTGCTCCACTCAGATGGGAGGGCTAGTAGAGCTGTTGTATGTGGGCCACTATAATATTGATGATTCACCAATGAAAACAAACTTGGCTGGGCCAAAGGAAACATTTGGCGGTGCTGGCCCTGGTGCGAAGCGCAGTGCGGCCGGTACGCACCCACAGCGGCGAGCGTGTGCAGGGCGGCGAGCGCGTGAGACACGACCTCGGGCTGAGCAGGAAACCTCCAGGCAGCACTGGCAAGGACCCTGTGCTCCTTGGTCTCCACGAACTGGGCGAGCTCCTCCTCAGGCACTGCGGGTGCCAAGCACAGACACCGGTGTCTCCGCGCGACATCCGTACCGCACCGCGTGGGTCCGCTCTCTTCCCGAGACTGCGTACAAGTTTCCTCTTTGCGAGCAGCCGTTTCCCGTTGAATAAATTGTTCTGTTATATAATGCCTATTTTGTCAATCCGCAAATGGATGAAGGCCTATGCTCACGAATTCACCAATCTGCACTGACCAGCAGGGTGAAGTATGGCGATAGAAGCCGCACCTCCCGCACAGTGTGGAGAGGACCTCGTCCAGCAGTGGATTGACAAAACGGCTGTACATGTGCGCGTACGTCAAATACCGCCGTGAACCATTCATTTAAAAAAAAGTATTTTACCTTGACGGAGCAAAGTATGTAGCACCTGGCATCCATGCAACTGAATCTCTTCACTCATCAGATGTTTTTTCATGGCCGTGACAACAACAGAAAAAACGTCCAAAGATTGGTGTAATAGGGCCCGTTGAATTTCAACTGCGGAGACAGGAGGGGGGCGAATGTAAGCGTTTGTAAGTTTATTAAAAAAACGAGTAAAACCTCAAAGAGCTGCCACTGCACACATTTATTTTTGCCCTCCAATGCAAACAAAACCTTAAACCAATTCTAATGTATTCTGTGAATGGTGAGCTCACCAGGTAGAAAAGTTCATGCAGGCTGGAAACAAATAAGAGGAACAATAAAACACAAAAGGAAGCGACCAATGGATCAGTCCTTCTATCACGCCTGACATTGTCACGTGACAGCACCACGCTGCATGAATAATGCTGCGCCGTAGCGAGCCCAGCGTCGCTGTGATATTTTTTTGGTTAGCCAGGTCACTACTGCTGGTATGGGTGTGAGGGTTAAGCCGCGTGAGCAAATTTTCACGTTAATGAGGTTGACCGTCTTTAATTGTAGGCAAGTCACACTCCACGCTTCCACACAGTAGTGCTACTTTGACCAGCAAGTCACGCACAGTCTCTTATTAGTAGTAACAAACACACACCCTCTGGCACCTATGCCCTAGCACATTTCCAAACTCATACACGCGCTCGGATAAGGCCAGCTTAAGCACCGTTGGCCATTAAGGCCGTTTTGCCTATCCTTCCAGATATGGGGACGTTCCCACCATCCGCCAAAGTAGTGCGAGTCACACTGGGTTTCACATGCTGCTCTCGGTTCTTCTTCAGGGTACTGGGAGTTGTTGAAAGGGCCAAGGACTTCCAATACCCCTTGAAAATAAAACACGCCCCCCCCCCTTCTTACACCACAGTATTCCCTTTGGGAGCTGTGATCTTACGCACCACCTGTGCGCTCTAGTTGATGGCACTCTTCACGATCAATACAAAATTTGGGTTCTAGCTTATTTGACCAAGGTAGCTTTATGCTACTTAACCGCAATTTCACTTTTTAGGACGCATAGCACCGCAATCAGACCACCCCTTCTCCGCCAGCTACCATACGCTCGGCAGTACAGTATCGGACTGTTGAAGGCACGAGTCGGACAGGGACAGGAGATTTTTGGCTTGTGGGCGCAGCTGCCACATTTCCACCACAACCTTGGCTGTTCTCCATGGCCAGCGCCCCCCACTCCACTGCTACCTGGATGTTGGGCACAGCTTTGTTGAGCTGCGCTGCTCGTGGCTGATGTGATTCTGGTATGGTCTCTAGCCGCATCTCAACTGTGGGGGAGTGGGTTTCTTTATATATAAAATTTGGGCCGGGATTGGCACTGTCCATTGGTTAATTTTTCCTGATAAAATTAAGCCCTGCACCTGTTCTGAATTCATATCAGCGCACCGGTTTCTCCACTATTTAACTCAAAGCGCATGCTGCCCACGCCCCCAATGATGAATTGGCGACCTGAATGAGGCTCATCAATCCCTTCATCAGCTGGCATTCACAGCCAGCACCTGCTCTTCCTGTACCAGTTCACCATCCCCCTCTCATTCAAGCACGTGGTCCACCCCATACACCCTGTATGGGGATTGAACCCCCCACAATATGCCGTGCTTCACTCTCACCTGTAATTTTAATTACACATTTAGTATTTAATTGTACCACATAACAAATACGTACAGCACTGTGTTCTGGACCACCAGCTCAAAAGAATCAAAATTGTGGCAACATTATTCTATACAGCAGCAGCAACAGGGCAGATGAGGCATGATGGGAGGACCAATCCAATGGTCACAATCTTGCCTTTTTCTGTCTAGTAAGAACATTTTTGCACGTAATAGCAACTTTACTGACCTCTCACAAAGCTGCCTAGGCGTCATACCTGATGTGCACAGCAGCGCAATGGCTCTCAGCCCGAGGGACTGGACGGAGACGTGAGTCACGTGTGTCGCGAGGACCCTGACCACCAGCCTGTTGCACACAGCACTGAGTCTTGAGGCAGAAGTACAGCTTATGGGAACTCGCAGGCATCGCCTCGAGAAATCAGGCACAGGAGCAACATGTGAAATGAATTCCCAGGGTAAAAGTACTGAAGAAAGGGTTTCTCCACTAATTACTATTCTATAAAAAAAACAATGCGATACATTGTTCATCTAAATATGACTGCATTGCAAGATGCCATTCGCAACAAGTGGGAATATTTATTCTATACAGAGAAAGAGGCAGTCAGTGAGCCTGGACTTGAACATTGGTAGGGAATTGACAGCAGAGATGGCTGAAGGAAAGGAGTTTCAGACTGTAGAGGGCGGCAGAGGAGAACAAGCAACCTCCAAATGTATAGCATTACCATGTCACTACATGTCAACATTGGCATTGCCACACCGATGCAACGCACATAAGAGCACGAGTGCAGCCAGCATTGTAGCCGTAATATTGAAGGAATGTGCGTGTGTATGCCAGGAATCGAACGCAGTGGCTGTATTGATGATTCACCAGCAGCGGCGGGAGAGAACGGACCCCGCGAGGGCATGGCAGCCTGCAGTAGCCTCAACCTCGCCCAGCAAGGTGCAGATTAGTGCCAACCCAGCCTGGGCAGCACATGGTACACAGTACAGGGCAAGAGTTATACCGGGATTCTTTAACTGTGGGCTACATGTAGCCCAAGAAGGCTCTAGAAGTGATTCCCCGAGAGATATGGCTCCCTGGGACATACCGATACAGAATAGTGAGATCACAAAGAGATAATACAAGAGATGAGAGACCTGAAGACCAGAGGTACGCATAAGTGGTCACATGTACAGACGTTATATAAAGTGACGTGGCCCGTCAACACGTGCACATTTTATTACCTGGTCCACTGGAAAACGTAGCTGAAGAGCCCTGGTTTACACCACCACCACATCCAGCATCGACATAACAATACCTCTTAACGAAACAAGAGCACCACTGCTTATTTACCAACCCTAAAAAATACCAAACACTATTCAGGCATATTCATAGAAGGGCAGCACCATGTTTTTGGACGTACTTTTCAGACGGTTTAAAGATGTGTGTAATCATTAATATATAAGGTGGTGGTTTTATTACTCGGGCAAAGAATGTCAACCACTTGCACTGTAATTCAGAAATAACTTGTCCACCTCTCTTGATCAGGGAACACTGCTCATGAAATTCCACTGTGTTGGACATACTCGAACCGAGTTGTTTCATCCACGGTTCATCGGTGATGGCGATGGTACGTTCAGTTTGTTGTATGCGTTAAAAACCATTTATTTATTCCATAAAAAAGCCACGTTTTCTAAAGTTACAGAAAACTACCTTTAAAATGAAATGAGGGTGTTGATATGTTTACTGTGAGGCTGCGTAATTTGTGGAAGCACCCAGGTAATATTACAAAACAGCAGATTAAAAACAAAATGTAATGCTTTCCGATAAAATAATGCCCAGGTCATGTGAGTGGAACGTGATATGCTTAGCTCGGCATTGTTACTGCACTGTGATATTTGAGTCCGATTACCAACCTCTTGTACGTTCACGTCTCCTTTAAATGTCTCCAGGGCGTCAAGCACGTCCTCGCAAAGATCTTCAACTTTTGGTAACAAACTTGTCACTGTTCACAGAGCAAGTACACGTAGCACGGCCACGCTCTACACCGTATAATCACGGAACCCACAACATAAGGTGTCCATTACTCTTAAAGCTTAGCATCGACAACAATATGTGAAGTGTTTGCACATTTAATGTACGTAAGAGAATACGCGTTTATACTGGTAAGGAATTCTGTAATCAAGATACATGCCCAGTGTAACTTACGTTGTCAGCAGATGTCAGTGCAGCAACACCACTGTTATGGCTATGCTCAATGTCTAATGCTCCCCACCTTCACAAACCCGCACGAACCGGCGTGGTGAATGATGCTGTACAGTCATGTGTGGACTCATCCCCACATTTCACTCCTTGAGCGGAGACTCATCCGTGGGCAAGGAGACACCAAGGAGACTGTGCGTGGACATCTCCTGCCAGGGTGAGGAGGTCGTGGGTGGACTCACCCGTGCGGTCTCCAGACAGGATGAGAAGACCACGTGTGTTGACTATCCCTCGTCACCTCCTGCCAGGGTGAGTAGGTCGTGGGTGGACTCACCCGTGCGGTCCGCTGCCAGGGTGCGAAGGTGGTCACCCAAGCCGTGCAGTGCGACCCCGGCATCTCTGCCGCTGCCGTGGAATCGCGCCGCCCGTAGCCCCGAGCGCAGCCTGTGCAGCCGCTTCGCAGCATCGCCGCCCATTCCTCGGCGGGCTGGGCTGGGGGCAACTGCACCCGTGTGCCACTCACTCCGTGTGTCCTAGGGGCACCCACACACACGCTATACAACTCAGCAGCGCGACAACAGAGCAACGACTGGGCGTCTGTGAAAAAGAGCTTTATAGCTCATCGGATTCCTCCAGTATAAATATTCTGATTGCTCACGCTCACAGCTGTTGCCATCGCCCCAGTCACGACAGCAAAGTGCAGATTTAGTGGCAAGCCAGGCAGGGCAGCGCAGGGCAGCACCACGCAGGGCAGCGCAGCGATAGAATGTCACAAATATGAAGGAGGCATCATCTCGGCGATACAACAACCTACAGTTGTGTTCGTGTTGTTGATATTTTTCATTGTTAATTTTCGTTATGGTATTGATGTTAATAATGACTGTGAGCGGTGTTAGTGATCCTGTGAGTAATGTTGTTCGTGATGATCTTAGTGCTGTTATTAGTAGTGTTGTAGGTGTTGTTTCTGGTATGTTAGTGTTGTTGTTAGTGGTGTTGTTGATGTTGTTTAGTGGTGTTAGTGTTCTTGATATGGTTTGTTGATGATAGTATTGTTAGTGTTGTTGTTAGTGATGCTAGTATTGTTGTTAGTGGTGTTGTTAGTATTGTTAGTGTTGTTGTTAGTGTCGTTGTTGGTGTTGTTAGTATTGCTTGTGTTGTTGTTAGTATTGTTAGTGTTGTTATTAGTGTTGTTGGTGTTGCTAGTGTTGTTGTTGTTAGTGTTGTTGTTAGTGTTGTTGTTGTTAGTGTTGTTGTTGGTGTTGTGGATGCGTCTCCCCGTTACCTCGCGAGGCCGCGGGGCTCGTGACGTCACGCATGTAAACAGCGCGCGTGACCGACCCGCGCCGCGACCACGTGAGGGAACTACTTCCGGGCACGTGACCCCCCGGCCCGGAAGTTGATCTCGGAGTTCCACGTGGGGGGCAGCTTGGACCTCGTCCAGTCAACGAGCGCTGCGTTCCAATGGGCCCCGAGTCGCGGGGGGTCGCCGTGGGTCGGCTGGCCCTGGCCGGGGTCCTGGCCGGCATCGCCGTCTGCTGCTGGTACCGCTCGCGCAGGCAGCGGCCGCAGCCCGGCCCAGGTAAGCAGCCGAGAAGACTGAGCACGCTTCGTGATTCGGAATTGTTACTGGTAGGAACCTCCTGGTTACACCACCAGCCCACAGGGGATTATTGTGTCCGTCCGTCGTGCATCCAAAAATGGGAGGGGTGGGGCTGGGAGGGGTGGGGCTGGGTGTGGAGGGGCTGGGTGTGGAGGGGCTGGGTGTGAAGGGGCTGGGTGTGAAGGGGCTGGGAGGGGTGGGGCTGGGTGGGCAGGGGCTGGTCACCCCGTGGTGCCCTTATAAAACTCAACGTTTAACCTACTCACGCCGACTTGTGCCCGCCCTCACAGTCGGGCATATTTGCGGAATACACCACGCCGCCGTTGACCCTGGCCATTGACCGAGCAACCCAACGTTCCTACCAGCTCCCTCCGCAGGAATGTGTTTGGGTCAGAGATTCTGCTCCTCGTCCACTCGACACAGCCAATGAGTAAAGGGTCCATCCATTTAGTGCGTACGCATGGAGGGGGGAGGGGGTGGTTAACCCAAACGCGTACGCTTGCGTATGGGGGGTCTACTGACAATGTACGCATAGGAAACGGGGGGGGGGTGAAGCCTCGATAATAATTTGTTTACATTGTCCTTCAAATTAGATAGTCCGGCGGTGGACTATCTGTTTGCTTAAACACGTTAATATTACTTTTAATATGATTATTAATCCTTGATCGTTTCTGCGTGGATTACATATCGGCCGTTCTATAGGATTCGGGGGGTGCGTCAGGCATACGTACGCAGGTGGGGGGGGGGGTAAATAGTCCGCGTGCATACAGGTAAGGGGGTTGGGGTCAAGTTTTGACAGATTTTTGCGACCTACTAAAACACTAAATGGATGACCCCAAAGCTGTCACGTAAACGAACGTGCACAAAGCATTACGGCGACTACACGCCAGTGTGTTAGCAGATCAATTCACAACTTTTAACTAAAATCTGAAAATGTCGTTTTCGTTATTCTGGCAACTGCCTGATGACGCTGGCTGTAACTACCAGCGAAACGTCGTACCAACGAACTGTTAAACGTTGCCGATATTACCGGCGGTGCTGCTGTAGCCGTCATACATCGGCTCGTTTGCTTACGTGACAACTTTAATCATTGGCTGTCGGGTGGAGGAGGGTTTATGACACACGTTTTACTTAACGCGATCGGACCCAAATATCAGTTACAAAGTCAGCTAAGCAGAGTTGAGTCTGGTACCATTCTGCAGGCTCTACATTAAGAGACTACTAATATATGCAACAGCAACACGAGTCGCAGCATGTCAAGCGTATGTTGTCTATTCAAATGGACAACGTGTTTGCATTTCGCGAAGTGGCTGCTGCGTTGGCAGTGGTGCAACACTGCTCGCAACGTCGCGGGCGGGCGTAAGCGTGGCGAGTGCCGCGCCGTGCGTCTCACGCACATCTCACGCACGGCGCGTGAGATTTCACGAGCGCGCCGTATTCCCCCGTCCCTGCCGTGTGTCGATAGCAGCACGTTCCGTGCGGACTGCAGCCACCCTGGAGACGCGCGACGATGGGCCGCGCCGGAGCCGCACAGCTGCCGCTGCCTCCGCGAGCACCCCGCCACCCGCCAGCCGCGAGCTGCACGCGTTGCTGGGGGCGCTCCTGGCTCCCCCCGACACGGAGCTGCTGCGGCGAGCCCTGGTCACCCTCGCGGGCCGCGCCGCCTTCACCGCCGCCCAGGTGCCAGGGTCGGCCACGCCGCTGGGAAGAGATTGAGGGACCCCCCCCACCCCCTCTTCTACCCCCCCACCCCCCTCTTCTACCCCCCCTCTTCTACACCCCCACCCCCTCTTCTACCCCCCACCCCCTCTTCTACCCCCACCCCCGTCTTATACCCCCCACTTCTACCCCCCCACCCCCTCTTCTACCCCCCCACCCCCTCTTCTACCCCCCCCACTTCTGCCCCCCCCCCACTTCTACCCCCCCCCCCCCACTTCTACCCCCCCACCCCCTCTTCTACCTCCCCCTTCCCCACCCCAGGTTTAGGTTTCCACTCAGAGATCGTCTTCCGCCCTTCACAACTCAGGGTATCATTGCAGCCGGGTCTCTGTCCAGGTTTGGCGTCCCGGAAAATAATGTCTGCACTCAGCACACCACGTCTTGTTTCAGAAATCAGAATCTTTGACACTGGAGGAATCCGATGAGCTGTAAAGCTATTTTTCACAGATGTCGAGTAGTTTCACAGATGTCCAGTAGTAGTTTACCGCTCACTATGGCGGTGGCGACTAGTCACGTGCCGCCGACTTCGGCCTAACCGGCGACCCGGAAAATATTCGGTGAACAATTTAGCGTGGGCTACATCAACTGCATTGTCGCTCAATCACCGTGCCACGAAACACGGATGGAAGTTTCAAGTTTATTTTGTTGAACCAGGTGTGAATTCAGGAGACCAGGATGAGTCTCCGAAATGAGAAAAGCAAAACAAATAAAATAAAGCACATTTATAAATCATAACTAAAACAACTGTCACATGAGAAATCGAAAATCTTTCACAAACAAATCAGGGTTAAATAATAAATTCAGTGTGCCACAATTTGGCTCGGGCAGCTTTATTTTTAGAATGATCAGGGTACAATCACAAATTAAGAAACATTAAACTCGCCTTTTGCCCATCCAAGGACGGGTGTATTGCAGTAAATCTGAAACTTGCAAGCGAAAAGCAGACTGCGACGTGATATTCATTGCATTAATGCGTGTGCAATTTGGAAGGCCGCAGTGACAAGACTTATTTCATTTAAAGGTTATAATCCCTTGTTCATCATGACGTCCTTTTTACTGCTATTTCTCAATAGCGTTGCGGAGATGGAGTGACGTGAGGGTTCTGCCGTTGTAGTGATGGTTATAAGTTGACGCTGAGGAGGGGGCAGGAGGCGCCTCGCCCCCCCATGTGGAGCGGCGTCACCTGCTAATTATTAATGCAGGGGGGTGTCCATTTGGAGGACGTTACCTGTTCATAATTATTCATGAGGGGGGGCTGTTCGATGTGGAGTGACGTCACCTGCTCATGATTATTGAGGGGGGCTGGTAGACGTGGAGTGACATCACGGGCGGGACACACAGACATTCTTGGCGCATTATAGTAGTAAATATAAGGGGACTATTGTGCTCATATGTAAACAGACATGTGTACATGCCAAATTCTTAGATGCACAGGTTGTGAAACTGCGAATCCAGGTACCATCACAGGTCGTGACCCAACCCTGACTGCCCCACCCCTTCCCCAATCCCAGGAGGAGATCCGTGCGGTCGGGGGACTGGGCGTGATCATGGGCTGCATCTCCAACGAGGACGCTGGCGTGCGAGAGCAGGCGCTAAACACGCTGAACAACCTCGCCATGAACATGGCCAATCAGGAGGTTCTGCAGGTGTGGCCCTGACAGCACATGCGGGCACACCAGGGATAGGATGTAACCACACACACCTGGGATAGAATCTAACCATGCACGCTCCCAGCCTACGTGAGCTGTGACCAGGAATCGATCTCAGGTCACCTGGTTTGTAGCGCAGTGCAGTAACCACCTGCATCACCTCTCCCCCCCATGGTACACTTCTCGTCGGTGTGCGACGCGGATTGTGGAGACCCCTCCCCCCAACTGTGGTAACGCGTTGGGAATGGTCATGCCCTTCGCCGTCTCCATCGCCGTTGTGTTCCACAGGAGTACATTCCTCAGGTGGTGCGAACGATCGCCGGCAGCGACGCTCACCCCGACGTTCAGGTGGCCGGGCTGCGTCTCCTGACCAACCTGACCGTCACGGACCAGTACCACGGCCAGTTTGCGGGGACGCTGCCCGACCTATGGCCCCTCATCGACAGCGACAATACGCAGGTGTCGCTGATGTCACATTTTGACCACACACTCACAGGTGTCACTGATGTCACCTGACCCCACACATGCGAGTGTGTACGGATCTTCAGATAAAATTTAAGTGACAGTGTTGGTGATTATGAATCGTTGCTTACGCAACGAAACCAAGTGTGAATTTACCCTTAGAGGGGATTGTTTACAAGGTTTCTGTAAGTTGTGAACACCCAGAGGAATCCATCCCTTTTAATATGAACGCCACCCTGTGGACATTGTATCGACAACAGGCCACAATATGGAGAAGCAGCAACTAGATTAGTCCAGATTTGGGCAACTAATTCTATTTAATTCAATAGGAAACTGGCAACCATTTCCTGATAACAGTCACTGGTAAGAGTTGCCAAACAAATGCCCTTATGCATCTGAGCTGTTTCAGCTCCAGCAGTAAAAACATGTGAAGGGGTCGTAGCATTGCCACCGTCTCTGTCTCTATTGCAGCTACAAGCCCTGAAGCTGTTTGTGAACCTGTCCGGGAATGCCGACATGAAAGCAGACATTCTCAGCCTGCCGGTATGGACTTGTAACTTGAGCATGTCTGCCAGTTGGCATCGTCAAACCCGTGGCAATTCACACTTTTGCTGGCAACGTTACACATCAATGATCAATCTTAACCACGGGCGGCAGTGTTGGTGAGAATGACGAATCTTTCCTCCTCTCCCCACAGGTGGCGAGCTCCTTTCTGAGGCTGCTCGAGGCCGAGGGGAGCGTGGAGGTAACGAGCCGCGTGCTCTTCCTGCTGAAGAACCTCGCGGCGACGACGAGGGCAGCGGATGAGGACGGTGCGGAGCCGGGCTCACTGCGCGCGCTGCTGTTGGACGGGCGTACCGAGGTGTGCGCCAGCGTCTACCGGCTCACGCGCCACGAAGACGACGGCCTCAGAGAGACGGCCTCCAGCGTCCTCGGCAGCTTCGTGACGTAGCTGCG